AAGATGGTAGGTGGGGGAAGTGGAAGGGCGGCCCGGTGGCTGTAGGCTGAAGGGTTTGGTGTGTAGATGGGTGATGAGCCGGATAGATCAGGGGGGTGCAGGGCGCAAGCAAGGGCTATAAACTATAGGTTTGCCGCGCGTGTGCCACCTCTGCTCCGCACACGCGCATGGCATGCTGGCATATCTCGAGATGTCTGCACTCTCGCGCCGGCCGCGGCTCCTTTCCTGATCCCTCCCCTAACGCCACCACCACTTTGACCCCCTGCCCAACATTCTATCTACCGGTATCTGTTGACCACACCCATCACCCAGGCATGGAGGGTCGCCCGCTCGGCGGTCCTCGGGACGAAGGCGCCCTGTTGTGCACCTACGACTGCTGCCGCCGCTCCTGCTGCTGCCGCTACTGCCGCCGCAGCACCTGCGGCACCTGCGGCGCAGGTGCCCCTACGCGTCCTCCGGGACCTCGCCTGTCTCATCCTGCTGCTCTCGGATCGTGCCGCTGAGCAGCAGCCCTGCAACAGCAGCCACAGCAGCGGCAGCGGCAAGAGCAGCGGCAGCGGCGGCGCGTGCATTGGCAATGGGGCGGACGTCCCCGTCGCCGCAGCAGGACCAAGGCATCAGCAGGGTTCGGCACCGCGGGCTGCTGCTGCTGCTGCTGCTGGGGATCCGAACTGCTCCGCATGCTCGCATGCGCCACGGGGCCTGCTGCAGCAGCTGCTTCCTGCGGATGAGTGGCGGAGGCTGCTGGGAACGTACTGGGAGGTCCGGCCGCTGCTGCTGCCGCTGCCACCGCCGCCGGTGTTGCAGTCCTCCCTGCCAGCGGCACAGCCGCCGCTGCCGCCGCCGCCGTCATCTCCCTCGGCATTATCAGAAGTTCGCGGCATTGCGCTGAGCGTTACGTCGTTGCTTCAGGAGTTGCTGCCGGCGTGCTGTCACTGTCCCTTCATGGACGCGGCGAGTCGAGAGGAAGGCGGTCATGGAGATCGGCCAGTAGATGCGAATGTCAAAGGTGGATACAGAGGAAGAACGGTGGCGAACGCTTCATTTCTGTCGTACGTACGGCAGGTTCGTGCTTCCGTACTGCCGTACATGGTCATGCGTGCTGACGTGGACCTTGTGCGTGCTGACGACACGCGGTTCCTAACAGCAGCTGCTGCAGCTGAGCGCGTCACGACAAAGACGCCGGAGGAGACAGGGCCGACATCGCTGAGTGCTTCCAATCTGCTTGCTTCTGCTGCTGCTGCTGCTGATGATGATGATGATTCTGGTAGTGATGGCAGTGCTGCTGCAGCTAAGACTGCAGCTGGTATGCCCCCCAGCAGCCCCGGGAATGCGACGACGGTGCAGGATTGTGAGGCGGCTCTCAGGGCCGGGTACACGGTCGTACTGCGGGCAGCTGGATCGAGATGTACGGCACTGTGTGCCCTTCAGGTACGGCAAAGTGGAGCCATGCCGTACTGTACTGTAGATTTACACCGTATGTGCATCGCCTAAAGATAGGCGTCTGGCAACGAGTATATGGAGCCTTACATGACATTAACATAGCGTGAAATGACGTGAGGGAACTGGCATGCGGGATTGCTTGGAGCTACAGAGGCCGTTGGGAAATTGAATGTTGGATTACCGGCCAGTACTGACCTTATCTGTGCATTTCGTTGTCCTAGATAGTGTTTGGAGAGAGCTAGGGCGTGACAGTGCGCTATGCGCTATAACCGCGCATGTTACTACGTATGTTCCTTGGGAGTCCCCAGGGTTTGCCGTACATTTCTCCATGTGCCGTACATGCATTTCTCCTCTCACGCCGTACATGCAGGACGAGCTAGAGGACATGCTCGGGATACCCGCCGGCATCAACATCTACTGCACACCCGCAGGTGCGCGTTGCTAATCCGCCGCAAAACGTGATGCTTTTAGTACCCCATTCACGTCCTGGCGCACTTCCCCGGGTTGTCGTACAAGTTGTCGTACCCGTTGTCGTACCCGTGCAGGCAGCCAGGGCCTCTCCGCGCACTACGACGACCACTGTGTGCTGCTGCTGCAGCTGCAGGGCGCCAAGCGGTGGCTGCTACAGCCGCCGCAGGTGCTGCCGCAGCAGCTACTGCCGCTCAGCTACTGCCCACGGCTGCCGCTACCGCCTCTGGAGCACTACCATGAAGCCAGCAGGCACGGGGATAGCGCCGCTGCTATTGCTGCTGCTGCTACAGCTACTGGTGTTGGTGAGGGTACTGCTAGTGTTGCGTCTGCGCTTGCTACTGCCGCGCACGCTGCGCTTGCTACGGCTGCGCACGCTGCGCCTGCTACTGCCGCTGTAGCTGGCTTGGTGCTGCGGCGCGGGGATGTGCTGTACATTCCTAGGGGCTGGGGACATGCGGCGGTAGCAGTGAGTGCTGCCGAGGCAACAGCACCGGATGCAGCGGAGACTTCAGGCGCTGCGCCTGATGCGGAGGCGGCGGTAGCCGAGGAGGAAGAGGGTGTCAGGGGTGCTGGTGGCTTGGAGCCCGATGGAGTGGAGAGCGGAGGCAGTGGCGCCATCATTGGCGTTGGTGGGAGCGGTGCGGTTCCATCGGTGCACCTTACCTTCGGCTTAGAGGTACGTAAGATGTGGGGATAGGAAATGGTTGGAAAGAGGCATTGACACACACAGGGCTATGCTGCCTATGCATACTGGCGGGATGCGGTTGTGTATAGTTGAGTAGGACAAGAGCAAGCAATTGGGAGAGGTTGGCGGGATGCGGTTGTGTATGTCTGGTTTGAGCAGTTGTTGACTGTTAGGATAGGAACACTACGGTCCGCAACTTCGTATCATGGAGCTTTGTTGACGTGTCACGTCCTGATATGGCGGTCGTGGAGCATGGTGGGGCCTGCTGGAGCATGGTGAGCCATGCGGTTCCCATATTGAGCTTTGGTGAACGCGATTGACGACCCATGGTTCCGCCCAACACCGGCGATAATCCTGCTGCTGTTGCCAGCATGATCTGCTGCTGTTGCCAGCAGGAATTGCTGCGTGCTGCAACAACGCTGCTGCTGCTGCTGCGCTACTTTACCACTGCAGGTGGAGGCGGTGTTCACGTGGCAGGCGGTCCTGCACTGCTCAATCGCGCTAGCGGCCCAGCATCCCCACGGCCGCATGGTTGGGCGGCACCAACAGCCCGCAGCCCATGCCGAGTCGGGCGCTGCGCCTGCTCCCCAGCCACACGTAGGAGCTGCTCGAGCATCAGCCCATGTGGCGAAGGCACAGCAACAGCCTGCGGCGGCGGCGGCGGCGGATGGGGGGCGTCTGGATGGACCGGCGGCGGCGGGGAGTGGTGCTGCTGTTGTTGCTGCTGCTGGCGGCGCTGCTGCTGCTGATTGTGTTGAGGCGTGTCAAGGGGAGCGTGGTGGCAATTACAACGACAACAACGACAACAACGACCGTGTTAACTGCCACCTGGATGGACCTAGTCACCACCCCCACCAGCCGCGTGGGGGGCTCTTCCTGCATGCCTGGCTGGTGCACACTGCCTTCAGCGCCTGCTCGGGCCCCTTGCTGGCGCTGAGGAAGGCCTGCCCGCTCACATGCCTCTTGCGACATGAGGAGCAGCAGCAACACCAGCAGCAGCAACACCAACAACAGCATGCGCAGCAAGCTGTCAACAGCACCTCAGTTGCTACATCCACTACTGCTGATACTGCAGCCGCCGCCGCCGCTGCTGCTGCTGCTACATCCAGCAGCGCAGACGTACGGGCTGCCGCCGCCGGGGCTATGTTGCAGAGCCTCTGTAACGTCGTCTGTGACAGGCAGGACGGGTCGCAGACGCAGGGGGAGGCAGGCGGCCGGCAGCGACCCATGGGTCAGCAGGCAGCACATGCACATGCACATGCTGCTGACGTCGTGCAGGCAGCAGCTCGAGACCTTCTGCGGGAGGTGAGATGTCGGTTGCGTGAGGAGGGCGCGGATGCGGTGTGTGCCTCTGCGCTGGCTGAGCTGGGAAGGCACATGCAGCCGGTGGAGGTGGCGGGGGAGGTGGCGGGGAAGGCGGGGGAGGTGGGATGGGCAGCAGGTGGGAAGGAACAAAGGGTGGAGGAAGTGGTGGAAAGGGATGTGGCGGCCGCGAGGGGTCCGGTTGCGTGCGGGCCTTATGACGTATCGTACTGGTTGGAATGGACGGAGGGGCTCATGGGGAAAGCAGGCACGTATGGGGGCGGCGAAGAAGCGTGCTATGGCAAGATGTATGACGATTTGTACGACGACAAGGTGTACAGCATGGTAGATCCATCATCATCATCATCATCAGCAGCAGCAGCAGCGGCAACGGCAGATGGCATTGTAGGCGAGATGGAAGAGCTGCTTGGATGTGCGGTTAGATGGCTACCTGCGGCGCTGGAGCTGTGCGCTACAGACCAGCGGGCTTGCCTGCAGGCGAGGCGCCGGGTCAGGCATGCGCTGCTGGCGCTCCACAGCTGGTGAGGGTGATAACCGTGGATCGAGATGAATGAAAGAGCGGTTACCGGGTATGGGAGTTGTGCGGGAGATGGGCTGGGTCTGGGGACTATGCAAGTGGTGGAGAGAAGCGAAGTGGGCCAAAGCCGTGAGCCGTGATAATGATCCCCCAGCAGCAGCTAGGGGTGTGCCGCGTCTTTGGACACTCTACACGTTCGTGTGGAGTACGTGCTTTTACTTGCAGACAGTAATAGCCGGTGCAACTATTCGAGCTATAGCTTTTCTATTGCATGACAGCTATGCCAGTCCCTTAGAGGCAGCAATCCGGTTGGTGGTTAACTTCTGCTCCGTACAAACAACGGAAAAGGATGGACCAAGCGGGGCCAGACGGCTGATTGTGTTGCTTTCTGATTTGAGAGAGTGGTGTGAGGCCTTTGGGATGCGGGTGAATGTCCGTAAATGTGAATTGATGGTTTTCCACCCTCGTGCCAATATCCGCGAGGCTTTTGCTGCCCTTTGCCCCGTGGTGTGGACTTCTATTGAGGGAAATGCGCGAGTACCTATGGTTATTCCCTGGGTACAACGAGCCCGTTACCTTGGTTTGCACTTTGGTCCTGGCACACCGTTTGTTTCCTGCACAGAGGAACTGTTGACCTCTGGCCGACGTGCTATGTTTTCTCTTCAGCGTAAATTAAAACGCCTAGGTCTTTTGGTCCCTGCTGTTGCAGTTAAGTGCTTCGACGTGCAAGTCCGCTCCATCTTGTCGTACGGTGTCCAGGTGTGGGGGCCTGATGTGGTGCTGAAGCTAATGACGGACTGCGAGAATTCCGCGAGGTACTTTGACAGATCCTTGCGGGACCCAATGGTGCAGTTACAAAGGGAATTTCTTCGGGAGATTGCGGGTGTGAAAGTCTCGCCTGATAAGTTGCTGTTTAAGGAGTTTAACCAGCGCCCCTTGCATGTCTTCTGGCTGGAACTGTTTCTGAGGTTTTGGAATGACCTGGTCAAGCAGAAGGACACGGTCTACCACCAGGCGTTGCGAGGTGAAATTCGTTCGGCTCTCAGTACTGAGCATTATGATGGCTGGGGTTCTAAGGTGTTGAAGATTCTGAAAATGTTAGGGACGGATTTGACGGCCTTGGGGGGTGAGTTGGACTTGAATGCGCGTGTGGAACGTATTGCTGGCACGGAGCTAAATGTGTCTGCTCTCACTAAAAAGTTTGCTGATAGAATGGATGCGGATTGGGAGGATAGGAGTTTGGAAGATGACCCGCGGCTTTTCAACCCAGTAGACCCCGTACCAGGGGTTGGAGTTAAGATGTGCAGGTACAAAAATTGGATGGGTGACCCGGTTGACAGGGGGTACATTACTCAGCGGCAGCATGTGAACCTGATGCGTTTTCGGCTGTGTGTGTGGGGCATTGAAGCCAATCGCCCTAGGGGTAGGCAACGAGTAGCGCGTGTCTGTCCTATGTGTGCCGTGCAGGGGTCGCCGGGGAGAGTGGAAGATGAGAAACACATCCTCATTGAATGTCCCGCTTACGATGATTTGCGTGATAAGATATGGGAAAGTGGTGTCTCACGGGATGCTGATATGATTGCTGTCATGGGCATGGAGAATCAGGCATTGCTTGCTAGCGTAATCACTAGCATGCGAAGTCGCAGGATTGCGCAGACAGGGTTTATCATATGATTAGCGTTCTGTTTGTTTGTCTCTTTTGTTTTACTTTTCTTCTTTTGGTTGTTTTCGCGTTTTGTGCTCGCGATCCATGAGCCTTCTGGCTCGGACGGATCTTACGAGCTCGGTACGAAGCTTGTAACACATACACATACATACATACATACATACAGCGGGGCCATGGAATACAGCACAATGTCGTTTATACCATCGAAAGCAAATTTGTTGTTGTTACGTTGCTATTTAACTTCCCCCGTTTGACCCGTCTAAATGCCTCGAAGTCTTCAAAATAGCAGTTAGGCGCCATGGGGAGTATTACACGTGATAGGTTAGCGAGGCATGCATGCTTCCTTGACAGCTTTGCCCCTTCGTCGATTCTCATGCGCGCTGCGTCACGCCTGCAGGGGCTGCCTCTATTACGTTCCTTGGCTGGCGACGCTGTGCGTTATCATAGCGGTTACGAGCTTAGGTGTCTGGTGAGCACAAAGCTGCTATACGGTCCAATTACCGGATTCGGTCATGTGCTATACTCGCCTTTGCTCTATTCACAACAGGGCTTACTTCACAAAACGATGCGAGGATTTGACATTAGGCGCCTTGGACGACTTGGGTATTAGCGCAAAGGAGCTCAATCGGATTAACCCGGCGTTGGTTGCCACCGCAATCACTTACCTTTCACTAACCCTCGTAATATACTTCATGAGCTTGTGGCGGTCGTTCATCGAAGCAAATCATGATGCAACAGGTGCGGTGCTTTCTTACGTTTGCTGACTGAAACCTGACATAGCAGTTGCCTGGGATGTGTGACTTCCAAGGAGTCCGCAAACGCCGCAACCTCACCCCTTCGCTCCGGCCGAACCTTAATCAATCCCCAGCCATCCGCCTGGCCCCTCTTCCTGTCAACACAATCTATATTCCCCCCTTTTCAGCATTCTTCCTGCTACCCTTCTCCATCCTCCTATCCCTCATGCCCTTGCTTCTTACCTCTTTACCCCTCCCCTACCCCCTTCTTACCACCGTAACCCCCTCCCTCCCCTGCTGCCCAGGTGTCACCGGCGGCGGCGCACTCGCCTTCCTGGTGCTCTCCTTCCTGCTGCTGTGCTGCTGGTGGCTTGTGGTGGTGTGGCTGGTGCTGCTGGTTATGGGTGGGTGGAGCCGGGGGTCGGGTCGAGGTTGGGATGAGTCGGGTGTGGGTGTGGGGGATCCCACCCGTGCTGCAGCTGCATGCGGCCGTGACCCCTTTTTTTAGCGATAATAACCGCTGTAATTGACCCCCTTCCTCGCCCCGCGCCCCCTTCCTCAAAACCCCCCCTCCCCGCCCCCCAGCCAACACCGTGTGGGCCGCCGCCCTGTACGTCACCCACGGCGCCTCCAAGCAGGCGCTGGCCGCCACCGCCAGCTTCGGAGCGGCCACCTGGCTGCCCAGCAGCGACCTGCCCTGCCCCGGGCAGTGCCTGGACCTCACGCAGCTGGTCTTCATGGCGTCGGAGCTGCAGGTGGGGGGTGGGTGGCTGCAGGTGGGGGGTTGGGTGGCTGCAGGTGGGGGGTTGGGTGGCTGCAGGTGGGGGGTGGGTGGAAGCTGCAGGTGGTGGTGGGGGGAGCTGCATGCATGCTGAAGCGCGATGCACCTGGAGCGCTCGGGAGGGAGGAAGGGCGAAACAGGGAGCGGTGGTAAATGCGGGTAAATGCAGCGTTGAACCAGTGCGACAAGCTGGATGTCGCAGCTTTTGCTGACCCAGTGGCTCCTGCTGGGTGTCTGCCTCCTTCTGCTGGTTCCTCCGTGGCCTTCCTCTCCTCCTTCTTTTTTTCCGTCCCTTCCTTCCTTCTTTCCTTGGGTTTGGCCACATCCCTTCCTTCCCTCCTTCCCTTCCGCTGCGTCTCCTCCCAGGACGCGTGCATCTGTGACACCGACAAGCTGGCCGCGGCCCGCGACTCCTTCAAGCACGCATACAACCAGATCCCCGGACTGGCAGTCGGCAACTGGGGCATGCTGGCGGCGGGGGTGTGGCTGCTGATGAACTTCGCATGCCAGGTAGGTGTGGGTGGGGGGAAGGGGAGCACCCTACCTGGGTGCGTGGGGGCCTGGGGCTGGGGGCACTGGGGGTGCGGGCTGGGCTGGGGGCAGCGATGTTTGGTGGAGTTTCGGGTGTGTGCGGGGTATCCATGATTGCATGCGGGTGGGTGGGTGTGAGGGGATCTCTCATCCGCTCGCCACGCTCACGCCTGTCATGTGCCCCATGCAGTGGGTTGTGGTGTGGTGTCGGGTCGGCTGCGTGCGTTTGTCGGTTGTGTAGCTGACACATAAGCACCACACGTCAGCACCACACATTACGGCGGCGCGTGCAGGGGAGAGCCCTGTGTGTATGGCAGCACATCTTGCAGCAACCAACAACTGCTTTCTAACCGTCATCTGGTCTCTAACCATCATCCCGTCCGCTGCCTCCCACCACCTCCCCTCCCGCAGTTTTCACACACCAAGAGGGAGCGGGAGATTCTTATCCGTGTGGCCACACGAATATACAGCGGGATCTAGTGTTGTTGGGGCGACACAGCTGCATGGTGCATGAAGCAGGGGATGTAGCCCGTGCGATTGACGCTGCTACTGCTGGCACTTAGTGGGTTTGTTGACCTACCTGAGTCCATACCTGAATTGTGACTCTGCAGTAATAACTGTTACTGCTGCGAGTTTGGATTTAAGGGTCCATGGCCGAGTCGTTGCGTAGATCTGCGAGGGGCTTGCCGTAACGTCTGTTTTGGGTGGGGCAACACCCACGTAACTGGTGTTTGCGGGATACGGTAACTCACGTACAGGATTCCAGCCGTGGTGCTGCGAAGGAGCGTAGTTTTAAGCATTATAGGACATGTATATTCAGCTAATTTTAAAACTGGGGATGCCTAAGTACTCATGAAAGCAGGTCGTTAGAAAGGTGGAAAGGTGGGGTAAAGAGGAAACAACTAACTGACCGTGTGATAGGGCGTCATCATGGTTGGGGGATCGTACATGTGCGGGGCTTATGTCTCTCTGGACAGTGTGCTGACAGTTCTTAGAGGGCGCACGCTTGCCGTACAGCTTGCCGTACAATATGATTACTGCTCAATAAATTTGTGATGTCTAGTTACCTGTCAGAAGGCGGCGGGAAACGCATGATGGAGTGCTTTTCGTGGTTCTCATTGATGGTGCTATCTGCTTGCGTGTGTACAGTGTGCACTGATTGCATCCGTACAGCGTACTGAACAGTGCATAAACGAGGAGGTGTTGTTCGGGAGCATGCTTGTATGGTAGCCGGAAAGCTGACGGTACTTGTCGCGTGTGTGATGTACCTGTTTTGCAGTTACAGCCTGTACGCGTGTACAGTGTGTCCGTACGAGCCAGGGGGGCCGAGGTTTTGCGTGGGCTGCATGACCTGTAGGCTTTCTCTGTTTAGACGTGGCATGATGACGTTTGTCAGCAGCCCTAACTTGTACGGAAATGCTGTTGCTTGTTAAAAGGTGTGGATGGTTTGTTTTGACCGGCAACGAATGCGATCCTAATTGGCAGTTTGCGATGATGGCGTTTCGGTAAATTAATTTAGTGAGTACTGACAACTATGGTTTGCGTATTTTCCGGCCCTGTGTGGCGTAGTAACCACTCCGGCAATTGCTGTGCATGCGCTGATCCGGATTGCGCAATCCTTGGACCCGGGACCATGGGTCATCCTGCATGGTGCTCCTTGGAATTGCCTTTTAAAAGCGAATCCATTTTTATATCTTAGTTTTGTTGATAACTAAGCCTTTTATAGCGTTTTTGCACGCCCTTCGAGACCCCAAGTGCGAGATCAGCAATTACGTGCTGCTGCCGGACCTTTATTGATTGCCTTGCCAAAAATAGCTCAGCTCTAAACTTTTCGAACTCAACAGTAGTAAAGATGCTTGTTTCCCGTGTTAACTGCAATGTATCCGCCCAGCGAGCTGGGCGGACCCGGCGCCCAGCCCGCCATGCAATGGTCGTCCGTGCCCAGGCGAAAGAGATGCCTCGATGGCCCGTCGTCTTTAAGGCGTTGACGGATGCGAAGATCCAGTCTATTTCGCCGCAGGAGGCCAAGGCTCGTGTGGACAGCGGTGAGGCCCGATGGTGCAAGTCTGTCGCAACTCCTCCTTTAGGAGATCCTAGTTTGCATCTTTTAGGCGCGGTGCTGATGTATACCAAAACTGAACAGCGTAAGCACTATGACAATTTTTACCTCGGTCGGGTGTGTCATTGGTACCGCCTATTGTCAGTTGCAAAGCTGCCAAACCAAACAGCTATGCAAACATCTAAGCAATTAATTTCTTCTTCTTATGGAGCACGTAAGGGCGCGCTGTTGTGTAAGGCTGCAAGCATAGTCGGTGCAAGCATGATGCCGCCAGATGGGCTATCCAGCCGCTTCCAGGCCTCATCCATCTTCACTTTCCCGCTATACCTCCACCCAAGGGATCCACTTAAACCTAACGTTGTCCTCCTGCAGGCGAGTGGATCCTGGTGGACGTGCGGCTCAAGGAGCAGTACGAGAAGGGGCACCCCCAGGGGGCGGTGTGCGTGCCAATGTACGAGGTGAGCGTACGGCACGCATGTACGGCAAACACACCGCACGGCAACATTTGCTGGCTGAACATTGCTGCAACTGAGTTTGGACGTTGTGGAGTTCTTTGAACACGTCAGGTGGAAACCATCCACAGTGACTACCGGTCTATACTATAAGGTTACGGCCCAGCGATAACGTTTCCTCTCTTTCCCCTCCCTCCCTCCCTCCCTTCCTTCTCCGCCCCTCTTGCCCGCTTGATTCCGCCTGCTGCCTCCAGACCATCCAGATGGCGGGAGCCGACCTGCGTAAGATGCTCAAGGCCATCATGTACAGGTGAGAGCAAGTGACGGGTTGAGAAAGAAACAAGCAAAAAGGACAGCAGGTTTAAGGCCAGACTTACCAGGGCATTCGCCGCGTTCCTGCTAAAGAGGGTTCGGGATTCAGGAGGAGCCAGGTCACAGGCGGTGCGGGAGTAGATCCTGGCTGCTGCCCGTGTAGCTCCGATTGCACCCCATCCAGTCCCCCTGCTTCTCCCCAGGGCACTCCATCCAATACCCTTCTCACCCCCGCCCTTCCCTTTTACCTCCTCCTTCCCTCTCTCCTCCTCCTTTCCCTCAACCTTCCCTCCTTCCCTCCTCTCCCCTCCTCTCCCTCGTCCTCCCCCCTCTCCTCTCACTGCATGAGTCGGGATATGGGATTGGGACTCGTTGTTTCACTTATATAATTATTTCCCCCCTCTCCCGCCTTCCCCGCCCCCTCAGGTCCAACGGAGTCAACCCAGTAGACCCCAACCCCGCATTCGCCGAGCAGCTCAAGGCCGCAGTGGCAGCCGCCTCCGCAGCCGCCACTCCCGCCGGCACCAGCGTGCGCGGCGTCATCACGTGCTGCGAGGCAGGGGGCACGCTGCGCCCCTCCACCAACTTCCCCGAGGGCAAACCCAGTCGCTCGCTGCAGGCCGCGTACCGAGTGATGTCGGAGGGACTGGCGCCCGAGGTGGCGCACCTGGGTGGGTGGGGGGTGAGGGGTGGGGGGTGGGTGGGTGGGGGGTGGGAGGTGGGGGGTGGCGCACCTGGGTGGGTGGGGGGTGGCGGGTGGGGGGTGGGAGGTGGTGAGGTGGGAGGTGGTGAGGTGGGGGGTGGCGCACCTGGGTGGGTGGGGGGTGGGGGGTGGGAGGTGGGGGGTGGGGGGTGGGAGGTGGTGGGGTGGGAGGTGGGGGGTGGGAAAAGAGGAAACAAACAAGGTGATGTGGCGTGGTGGGAGGTGGTGAGGTGGGGGTTGGTTGTCTAACTCTCTCCCATGCTGCTCCCCCTTTGTCCTCGCTCCCGCCACCACCTCCCACCACGCGCCATCACCTTGGCCCTCTCCCTCTGCACCTTGCCCCCTGCTTCGGCTCTGCCTGCCTCTCCCGGCTACGTCCGTCGTACGTGCATTCCAGCCCCTGCTGCCGCTCATTTTCTTTCAGTCTTCCCACGATCGCGTCGTGTTGTCAGCACGGCTCAGCTGACCCTTCCCCCTCACTCACTCCCTCCTTCCCCCCGCCTCCCCCTCCGCAGAACGCGGTGTGTTCGGGTGGTACCAGGCGGAGCTGCCGCTGCAGGGCGACTACAAGCCTGACATCGGGCGCACGCCCATGGTGGGGCTGGGCGGGGTGGGGTGGGGTGCGGCGGGGCGGGGTGGGGTGGGGTGGGGTGGTGCGGCCCTGATTTGCAGACCCCCCCACCGCACTGGGGGGGAAAGGAGCAGGGTACCGACAACACCGCTGTCGCGATGTGCCAAGATAGCCCAGCGGGGAGGGCCGGAACGAGGAGGAGAGAAGGGTGCCGCCCCGTCCCGCGACCCTTTCTTGCCCTGCTCTCCCAAACACACCGAGCACCGGTACTGCCATCAGCCGCCTCCCCCTGTCCTCACCTGCCCCCTCCCGCCCGCCCGCCCTCCCTTCCCTACCCCTCATGCACCTGCACAGGCTGCCGCGGAACCCACCCTGCAGCGGCTGAACCAGGAGCGCGGCTACGAGATGCGACCCGAGGTGAGCCCAACCGGGGGAAAAAGAAATTTCAAAGTCTAGCAGCAGGGGGGGCTGCAGCAGGTGCGGGGGTTCAAAGACCATGCCAAAACGTAGAAACCACGGGTTACGGCAAAGCAATGGGGATAGGAGGCGGCAGGGGGGAGGAACACGTACCATACTGTGCACGTAACGTATCCATTACACCGCTTGTGCGATGATGGGGCGTAGTTTTTGGCGACAGAGTATGAGGAGAAGACGGAGGGAAAGCAGGGGATATGCTGTTGGGAGGGGAACGTGTTGCCCCTTGTGTGGTGTGCCTAGAGGGGCGTGGCGGCGGCATTTTACTTAGTTTACTTAGCCCTACAGTGGTGTTCCAGGACCTGAATGTCCTCTTTAAGCACCCGCATGCATCCGCTCTGCCATCTTTTAAAATCCCACAACCCAACAACCCCCCCCCCGTCCCCACCCCAGGACAAGCCCGTGGAGGCTTCCAAGAAGTTCTGGCCCTGGTAGTTTGGTAGTTGGGCAGTTGGCGGTTGGAGCCCTGCCCTGCTGGTGGGAGCCCTGCCGGCGGGAACGTAGCGGTTGTTTCCCCCGGCATGCAGACAGAGCGGCAACACACTTGCAGCGGGGCTCTGGGGGCTGCGGCTGGCTGAGTGGCAGGAGCAGAAAGGCAGCGGAAGCGGGGAGGAATGGTGTGACTGCAGCCGCCGTTGCTACTGCGCATTACCAACTGCTCGACTGTGGCGGCTCTCGAGGAGGAGGGGGAGGAAGTGGAGGGAAGGTGTCATGCACTAGGGGCAGGAGCAGCGGCGGCAATGCGAGGCGAGGCAGCGGCAGTAGCACAGGATGGCTTTTTCATTTGAATTCGTGAGGTCTGGCACTAAAGGGGCGTTGAGGAGGGTACTCAGTATAGGTGGTGCATGCGACATGTGAACATACACATATCCTAATGTGGTAGTAGCGCAGGGACGTTTGGTGCTGTTGTTCCGGGTATGGTTGCAAATTGCAATGCGTCGCAGGGGGCCGCTTTGTGGCTTTTTTCTCACTGCAGCGTTGACTCACTGACTTTCAAGTTTAAGGAAGATTCCTTATCGTCCTCCAGTTCTTCACACGCGTGTTGAGTACGATCTCATGCAGGCGAGTGTGTGCATCACCGGGACCACCACCGAGTCCTCCCCCCTCAGCAACGTGAGCTGCTGACAGGGGGCCGCTGATATCAACTTGCAACGGCTCCGAACATCGTGAAACCAAGAAACGTAAAACCTCGCAACCTGACAACAAGTGCTAGCCACAACTGGCACATGCTGCAATTCCACAAGCAACGGGTTGCTGACCCTTTCGACAGCAGCTGCTCTACCAGCTCCCGAGGCATGTCGGGTGCTGTCTTCGTGACTGGCTGGGAGCGCCATTGCAATACACAGCAACACACCGGGCTACCGGCCTCAACTTCATAAATGCAAGGCAAAAGGAACCTACGAAACACGCCAAACTACGAGTAGCACAATAGCGCACCATGTATTCCGCATACCGGTAACTGACATGATATAGCCCGATTCGTCCCCACCCAGCGACCCGTCGCCGGGAAACCAAAGCCCGAGAAAGCCCCTCTTAAATCGCATATCCCCCTACATTGCACATCAATTTGCCCACGAAAACAACGCGGGTTAGCCGAAACGTCCCCCGCCGGGGACTTCGGAGTTCGGGAAGACCCAGCTTGCGAGCACTCACCAGCCCTAACCATCGCCCCCAGCCCTGTCGACATGCACTTTCTCGCCTGACGGACATGCGACCCGGTTGCAGCCGTCAGAGCTTGCGAGAGACGGCCAAGAGGGCAGCAACCCACCTTCCCGACCACTGCACCACCTCACATTTCATCAAGCAACAATAATTAAGTAGTTAAGCAACGCAACAGCCCTTTCAAAAAAGGTTGTGGGAATGTGTGTTAAAAACTGGCCACGAGTGTGTGAAACAATAAAAGTGCTTCACGGGAAGCGATAAGACATGTAATTGTAACGAGTTACCGTATAGTATCGTTTCCCACAAAGGCAAAGCGAGGCTTCCGTTGTCTTCGTGTTTAAAGGCACAGAGTTGTGTGTGCTACCGCAGCCCGTCGGGAACACACCGGGTGCACCTGATCCACACACCGCATACCACCCCACTCCACCCCACCCCACCCCACCCCATACCATAGCATTTCATACCTCACCGAACCCAACACCCCCTCTCTAGTATCCATATCATCGCGTAAACCGTAGGAACCTACAGTAGGCACGGCTCAGGAAAAAGCCCCACCAGAACGCGGCCATCGCAGTTCAAGACACCGTCAGCCAAGCAACGGCAACCGCCGGCTCCCGCCAATTGCTTAGTTTACCTCGTGCTCGCAGGGCTGTAATCACTTTGATACCGGTAAATCAGGGAACACACACTGTGTGGGGTATCACTGGGGTAATGCTGGAGCTCTGAGCTTCCGGACCCTTCCCGCCAAGCCTTCTTTAGCCCGCCTCGCATGGCCTCGAGCAGCACATCAGCCACACCAAACCGCGTGCTCAACCTTCCTTCAACTCATCACCTCAAGGGGCACCAAGATACGGCCAACAGCCTCTCGCCACAGCCCGGAATCTCCGGTGGCATTGCCCCCGACAAGACGACGTTCACCACCTCACGATCATACCATGAAACAAAGGCGCCTTTGCACTCAGGTTTGAGGACATGCTCCATGCGCCAAGAGCCGTGCGCCTACTCGAAGACCACGTACCACGTACCAAGGGTTACCGTGTTGTAGCCGCAGCTGCACATCACAGGAGGACGGCAGCAGCAGCAACATTACCCGCGCGTGCAGACAGGACCGCAGGACAGGATCCACGGTTCAGCCAATATTCAATCCTCTGCTTTGAGAGCTACCACCGACGTTGCTTCATCAGAGTTCCTATCTCAAATGCTCAATAGTTGCCAAAACAAGCACCCCGCCCGCCGAATGACACGGCACGCCTCGCCGCAACGCCTCCCCTCCTCCTGCCACTCCCAACCTCCTCCGATACAACCCTCATGGCTTGACACCCCCCGGATCCTCTTCACCCACCTCCGCATCCCCCTGTTACAGCGGCTGCAGGCTACTGGCGACCCTGACTTTTGCCGCTTGGGCGTTTGTTGACACGCCCCGCACCAAACCTCGACATAGCCGCCACAGCCGCCGCCCCAAGCATCCCAACGGCATGGAACAAGGCACCGGCATCGGCACCACCGGCCCGACTTGCAACAAGGGGCACATGGGCCGCTTCCCCCTGCGCAGGAACTTCCCTTCGGAAGCTCCATGCAATACAAGCATAAGGAGCATGCGCCCAGCCACTATAACCGCGAAAAGCTGGCGGCCCAACCATACAAGGCACGCAACGGTTTCTTCAACCCCTCCACGCACATGACCACATAACATACACCAGCCAGTGGGCTTCACACACGCACAGAGAAGCCGTTTTGCCTTCACATGGCAGCGAAAGGACGCCCAACCCTGCACCCCGCACACTCCCCCCGCTCGGGCTCACATGCAGTCTTCCATGCTTCCCCCCTAAGCATCATCGGCATTGCCGTACTTCGTCATGATCCACTTTTCGCACACAAGGCCCGTACCGCGTTCGACAGTTTAGTTTTTATAACCAAATACTCAATTACGGCAAATCTGTTGTAGTGCATGTCATACCTGTCCGTACAAAAAGCTGTCCATACAAAACACCCATGCCAGCAACGGCAGTAAGCATCCCTTTGCCCCATGACGGCCATGAGCACTCCTTCGGACCCGCGCACACAATGCCTCAACCCCATCGATCGCAGCTCAGCTCTCACAGCGGATGATCTGATGCCCCCGATCCGCATGCATGCTTTCCCCCCACCACTTCCTTGTATCTTAAGTCCCACAACCACAATCACGCCAGCGCGTCCACAACACAGCTGCAACTGGAATAAGTCCATTCCGAAACCGTAATCACAACCGCACCGCTGCCAACTGCCATGAAAGGCACTTCCTTCCTGGCACACATGTGGTGTTCCAAGTATGCAAGTATGTTTTCAGGTATGTGAGTGCCACGACCAAGAGCCGACCAAGACCTGAACCACATTGCTACCTCCCTCGTTACCCTAACGCCGCCGTCCATCGATGATCGGCTGTGCTCTACATGCTATCCCCTTACCCCACTGCACAACAGCCGGCTAAGGCACGCAGCATGGCCTAATCCTTGCTCGATTGATCCTTAAACTTTCGGACCAGAGACGACAGCAGCCTGCCTCCCAGCAGAGCCTTCGCCCTCGGCCACTTGCCCTTACTCCGCCCACTGCCGCTGGCGCTGCTGTCGACAGAATCGCGGGCGCCAGCCGATGTAACCAGCGGCTCTTCAGCAGCCGTCGGGGCAACTGTTGACGGTGACATCGGGTAACACCCACCCTGCGGGCTTGGGCTGGCTGCACTGGTGGTGGTGGCGGTGGTGGTGGCCGTTGCAGTGGGTGCCAGGGAGGATGCGGAAAGCTTCGCATCCCGCTTCGACCTCCCAGACCTGCTTTGGCCAAGCGAGCCGTCTGGCTGCACAGGCGGGTGCGGAGAGGTGGTCCGGAGGGTGCCGGAGTCGGAACCAAACGCGCCGCCGGTGGTGCCGCCTCCGCCTCCGCCTCCGCGTCCACTTCGTTGCGGTGCCGGAACCGCAGCCCAGGCAGCTGTAATTCGGCCGCCGGAGGAGTTCGAGACACTGTCGGATACCGCGACCCCGAGATGCACCCCTGCACCAGCCGGATAGCCCAAGCTGCCCCCGTTACCACCCCCACCACCACCCCCACCCCCACCACCACCGCCCGGAACGCTCCACTCGCCACTACACATCGCAATGGTCTGAATGGTGCCGTCATTGGCAGTGGTTGCGCACGTACCCCCGCCGACAGCTCCGCCGCCGCCACCGCCACCGGGCACCTCCTGGCCTTCCAGGAACACCTCCCGGTCCTCCGGCAGCGAGTCGATGAGGGCGGAGACCCACCGACCCACGCGACCCGCGCGAGCGCCCCCAACGGGCGGCAGCCCCTGCTGCTGCTGCTGTGGTACCATCTGCTGCTGCTGCTGCTGCTGGTGGTACACACCGCTGCCGCTGTGGCTGTTGTTGCAGTATCCGCCGGCGCTGTTGAAGCTGGCGCCTTGCTGGTTAAGCAACGGCATGCTTTGAACATGCATCGGCGGAGGGACGCCAGAAGCACCCGGGCCGCCCGGACTCATGCCCACTCCGCCGCCCCAGGGCCCCAACGTGTCCAGATCGACCGATGGCGCGTCTTCCACGCCGGCGGCTAGCTGCTGCAGGTTTTCCCTGGGATTGCTGACGGACAGATCGGACAAGTGACCCACGGTTCCGCTCGCCAGTCGACTGCGGCCTGCCGGCGTCAGCGGGTGCGGGTAGCCGCGAGAGGGAATCGACGTCATAAGGCCCACGCCGGGACTGGCGCTGGTGCCGCCACCGGTGCTGGTGACAACAGGGCCGCTCATGCCGCCTGCGCAGGGCCCATGCCCGCCCGCGGCACAGCCCGGGATGGGAACGGCCCCGCTTGTCTCCGTCACTCTGTGATGCGGCTGGCGGTAAACGCAGGGCGCGGAGCTGCCGAGCAGCATACCCGTGTCGCTAGTGGTGGTGGCCGCGCCATGCGGGCAAGGATAGTGGGTGTTGTTGTATGCAGGTCCGCGGGAGTAGTTCGGGCTGTTAGCGCCCGCGGCCGCGGCCGCACCCGTGGCAGCAGCGTGTTGGTGGTTTCCTGGCCCGCCTGACGGGCAGCGGTACGGCGGCATGCCGTTCCCGGCCTCGCTGGTGTACGGCAGGGACAGTACCGGACGGCGGTGAGATGTAGCGTACGGCACGCGACGCGACACCGCCGCGCAAGCGGCGGAGATGGTCGCGGCCGACGCGGAAGCGGTGCCCTGCATGTGCTCCGGGTAGCGCAGCCCGTGTTCCCGGTCCTCGGGCGAGAGCAGCTCTTCCGGCCGGTTCACCTGGATGGGGCTGTAGGCAACGTTGAGGTCGGCGGGGGTGCTCCGTAGGACTTCACCCATGGCGGCGGCCATGGCGGCGGCAGGCGGCACGCCATTCGCCGCCGCCCGGGCGACGGCTGTACGACAGGGCGTGAAGCCGCTCATGACTGCGCGGCGCTTCGGCGGCGTCGCGGAAGGTACCTCCGGCGCGCCGCCAGGGGTGCCGATTTCAGGCAACGCGTCGTACATGAGTTGGTTGAAGACCGTTGAGCCTTGCCGTGATACTGCTCGGCGGCAGCTGCTGCTCACACCGCCAACACCGACGCCACCCATTGTACAGTAACCGATGGCTGAGGGGCCTCCGGCGGTCGCATGGTAGCTATGCACGGGCAGTGAGGCGCGCGGCACCGGTAGCGCTAGGGATATGCTGGATGAGGTGGTGGTCATTCCGGTGACTGTTGAGTGGTGGTTGAGTGCTGGCAGGCCGGTAGGGGTAGTAGCATGGTGGAGGGATGTGTGGGAGTCCACTGCAGCAAGGCAGCGCGGACTAGCGAACCGACTGGAGCCGCCGCCGACCTCGGCCCCGAGGGACGTTGTGGTAGCCGCACGAGCCGACGGCGCTGCCGCTGCCGGCAGCGGCGTGTCCATTGGCGACGCTGCTGCCGTAACTGTTACGGACAACGACTCCGAGGTTGCGAGGTAACTGCCAACGGTCACGCGCTTCCGTTGCTGCTGCGTCGGCGAAAGCACAATGGAGCCGCCGGCGGCGGCGACGGCGCCACTGCCGCCTGCTGCAGCGACTGAGCCTGCGGTGCCTATCGTGCCGCCTCCGTTTTCAAGTCCGCCGAGCACCATGGCGGCCACACGACGAGCGCCCGGAAGCATCGCAGCGAGGCCGGAACTGCTGTTCTGGCGGGAGCCGTACAAGCTGCGATGAGCCACGTGTGCACTCCCCGCGAGCCGTACATCCGACGGCGCCCGGCGACCGCCCAGTGGCGACGGTACGGCAACGTTCGCGTTGTTGCCCGTCATGACGCCAAGGCTGCTGCCACTGCGCAGGCTCACTGTCGCCGCAACCGCCGCCGCCGCTGCTGCTCCTCCTCCAGACGTCGCGACGACGGATACAGACGCGCCTCGTCGTTCGATATCCGCACTTTCCAACATGGCGGACCGCGAGGTAGCGGCTCGGCGGCTCGCCGTCGGCCCCGCCGCCGCGGCCGCCGCCGGCGCCCTTGCGGCAAAGTACTGCATAAGCTCGTCGTCATCGCTGATGTGCCCCTCCTCCACATCGGACCCCTCCCTGCCGATTTCCTCAGCCAGCAGCGCCACCCCCGGGCCCAAGCCTGGACCCCCTTCAGGAGAGGAGGAGGAAGCGTTCCTCTGACGGCTCAACCCTGCACCTCCCACGCTGGCACCGCTGACGCCTGCGCCGCTGTCGCCATCGCCGTCGCTGAGCAACCCAGCGGCAATGGTTGCGTCGTCCGGCTCCATGTCCTGAGGTGTGTCTGGCCGCACATCGGGAGACGGCGTGGGTTGGCTCGTGCGGGCTGCAGCTGCCTCCTCGCCAAACGCCACTGCCGAACGACGGGTTTGCGCCGCCGCCGCCGCCGCTGCCGCTGGCGCCTGCTCTGCCGCCGCCGGCACCGGTTCGGAAGCCTCCCGGGCGCTTTGCGTTCGATTGTACGACAAATCCCGCAGCGCCGTCGCAGCCGTTGGCGCCGCCGTCAACGCCGCCGCCGTTGCCATGATATTTGCCGTCGCGCGCCGCTGTGGTAGCAGTTGCTGTTGTGCAGGGGGTTGCGGCTGCTGCTGCTGTTGCTGGTGAGGGGCGGCGGGCAACGCAGGCAGGGCCGGCACCTGAGAAGGTTGCCGCTGCACGGGTGGTGAGGGAGATCGGGAGGACGAGGTCCGCTGCTGCTGCTGCTGTGGCGGCGGGTGCTGTGCCGCCAGCGTCATGAACCGCGAGTGGCTGTGCGCGCGAGGCAAGCCAGAGGGCGGCGCGGGTGACGGCGTGCGAACCAACGCCGGAGCGCCGCTGCTGCCGCCCGACGCGGCTGCGACGCCGGTTGTGGCACTGCTGCTGCTGCTCTTGCCGAGGCCAGCAGCGGTAGCAACGGAGGCGGAAGCAGGTGCTGTAGGACTTATTACATGCTGCGGTGAGGGGTTCCTGCCTGGCGCCGCTGCAGCTGCAGCCGCCGCCGCCGCCCCACTGGCGTTATCGACACCGGCACCGCTAGCACCGGCAGAACCCTGCACCTGCGTCTGAGGCAGGGGCCGGGACTGTGGATGCGGCTGCGGTTGCGATGCAGGCGGCTGGGGCCGGGGTTGGGGCTGCTGCGCCTGCGCCTGTGGCTGCGTCGTCGGTGCTTGCGGCGGCAGCGGCGCCACCAGCGGCACGCTTCCGCCACCCGCACCGCTGCCCGACTGCGGGTGCTCCCCGATCAGCGACGCCGCCACCGCCGACAGCAGCACCGAAGGCGGCCGCGGCGGCTGACGTGACGACAAGTCCCCTCCTCCTCCGCCGCTGGCGTCGCCAGTCAGCCCTACCGCCGCCATAACCGTCGGACCATTCGCCGAGCTCTGCGGAGATAAAAGCATGTCCTCCGCCGCCCCTGCGGCGGCGCCGCCGCTTCCACGTGCCGTAGTAGGAGCCGCCGCGGAGGTGAAGGGCGACGACAGCGAGGCAGCGCCCGCCAGGCCGCTGCGGGAGATGTAGGAACGCAGGCGGCCGGAAACGGTGTGCTGCAGTTGCGGCTGGCAGAACGCCCCCACTCCGCCGTACTCCAGGTAGTGGCGCTCCAGGGGGGAGGCGGAGATGAGGCGGGGGACCTCCCAAAAGTACGGCATCTGCATGAGCTGTACGGCGGTGGGCCGTGTGGTTGGGTCCAGACGCAAACAGGCCTGCAGGGTGGCGCATGTGGGGGGTAGGGGAGGAGGTGAGGGAGGAGGGAGGAAGGAGGGCGCTGCGGCGGCTGAGCTGCGCCAACCCCCCTTCCCGCCCTACCTGCATCTGCACCCCTCATAGCAGCACCTCCTGAAAAACCCTTTTGCCCCTCCTCCCTCGTCGCCCCCCTCCCCCCAGTTCGTCGGCTTCTTCCTTTTACCCCCATGGCGGTTTTCTTTTTTCCCTCCCCTCTCCCATTTGCTATCCCAACTATCCAGCGTAATGCGGATTCTGTCTCCAAATTAATCCCCTCTCCTCCCCCTCCCCCCAAATGCGGAATATGTATCCCTATCCCCCCCCCCCACCTGCACCACATCCAGCAGGCGGCTGTCCAGCTCCGGCAGGCGCTGCCACAGCGACTTGCCGCGCGGGGGCGGCGGAGGCGGCTCAGGAAGCCCCGCGGCGGCTGCGGCGGCTGCGAAGCGCTCCGCCTGGCTGGGCGGCAGCGGCCCCAGGCAGCGCATGATGCGCCAGAGCTGGTCCAGGGAGGAGGTGCCTGGGTGGGGGCATGCGGAGGTGGGTGGGGGCATGCGGGTGGGGGCAGGAAGTTTGGCAGCAGGGAGGAACGTACTGGGGTTGCGGGTGGTGTGCGGAAGGGGATGCAGGGATGTATGGGGGTGCATGTCCCCGCCATGCACCAAGCTGCAAGCCCCTGCCGGCGCAGCTTCCACAGTTCACACCATCGTGAACTGTGAGTCTGTGACCCCCACATACAGAACGGGATTCCTTACCGGGGAACAGCGGCCTGCCTGTTGCCAGCTCCGCAAAGGTGCAGCCCAGCGACCAAATCTGGGGGGAGGGACCGCAACCCGACAGTAGCAGCAGCAGCGGCGATACGGCAGCAGCAGCGGCGGGGTGGGGGTGGGCAGGTCAGCATGAGCGCAGGACTCGCAGTGATGATAGCAGCAGCAGCAGCAGCAGAACTGAAGCCACAAGCGACCGCGGCAACCACCCATGCCACAGTAGGTATCGGGCTAGTCACAGCAGGCAAGGCAGGGCAAGGCGTGCGGCCTGTAGCTGCACACTAGCAAAAGGGCACCCCATGCCCGTACGTCCGCACTCACATCGGATGCGGCGCAGTACAGGTCGGACACCAGCATCTCTGCGGGGGGTGCAGGAGGGGTGAGGACAGCGGAGGGGGGGACAGGGCGGGAGGGCAGGGCGGAGGGATCAGACAAGAGGAGGGAGCAAAAGCGGAGGGAACAGAGAGGGGAAAGAAGGAAGGGGAGGGGAGGTCTAGCAGAGCCCGCGCGGGGAGACAGATGCGAGGCGACGGAGCTTGGAGGCGGTGGGTACAGGCAGCAAAGTCACTGCTGACACCAAGCCGTCCAAGCGGCGCGGGTTGTTGCCTGCGCGGCTCCCGCGGCATGCGGCATGCTGCTGGGGGCGGCGGCGGCGGCGGCAACCGCACCCGGTGACGCGTGTACGGCAGGCAAGGGCCCACTCGCCCCACACCAGCCGCATGTGTCCTCCTCCCTTCCTCCGCTCTTCCCCTGCTCCCCCTCCCCACCCCCACCCCCCCTCCGTACCCACCCGGCGAGCGGTACCAGCGTGTCACCACGTAGGAGGAGAAGCGGTCCGCCTGGTGCGGGTCGGCCCGGGTGGTGCGCGCGAAGCCAAAGTCACACAGCTTGACCAGCCCCTCTGCCGTGAGCAGCAGGTTGCCCGGCTTGATGTCGCGGTGGATGATCTGGAGGGGGGGGAGGGGGGGAGAGGGGGGGGGCGCATGGTGGGCAGAGGTGGGCACGCTTGGTGGAGGGGGGGCTCACGGCGAGAGGTGGGGATGTGGGGGCATTCCCAACGCCCTATCTCCCAGGCTCGGCCTGCACTACCCCCTCCCTTCTTCCAGCTTCTCCGCATGCGCTACTCCCTTCCCCCCCTGTCCCGCCCCCCTCCGACCCCCCCCTCCTGTCCTGCCTTCTTGGCGTGCAGGTGCGCCACCGCCGCCAGCAGCTGCCACAGCACCAGCCGCGTCTGCCCCGCCGGCAGCCCGCATGTGAAGCGCTTGTGCAGCTCGCTGCTCAGGCAGCGCTCCACGAACTCAAACACAAGGTACACGCGGCCGCTGCTGCTCCTGTGGGTCGTGGTGGTGGGGGGGAGCGGGGAGGAGGTGGGGGAAAAGATGAAGACCAAGTGGAGTGGGGTTGGAAGCGGATTGGGTGCAGAGTGGGCATGCACGAGTAGGGGTCCCCAGCCGTTGCTGTACCGCCCCATCCCTGTAGCCGGCCCCCGCAGCCCCGCCGCTCCTGGTAGTTCGTGTCGTCCTCCCTTCCCTCCCTTCCCTCCATCCCTTCCCCCCTCCTCCCCCCTCGCCCCCACCTGAACGCCTCCAGCAGCTGCACCACGTTGGGGTGGTCGCACGCCGCACGCAGCATGCGCACCTCGCGAATGGCCTGGTCCAGGAACTGCCAGGAGGGGGGGGAGGAAGAACAATACCCGTACCATGCCGTGGATGCATGCGGGGGGGGGGTAAATGCGTAATGAGGGGTTGTGTTGTCGAGTTGAGGGGCTTTGTGCTTACGAGGCGAAAGGACAGCCCCCAGCCCTCCCTACGCTCCCATGACCCAATCCTTTACACTCCCCGCTACCGACCCAGGGGTCTCTCCCTCCTTCCCTGTCTCTCCAACCCCTCCTACCCGCTTGTCCGTGTGCGCCAGTTTGAAGCCCTTCACCGCCACCGTTCGCCCGCTGCTGCGCTGCGTGCATTTCCACACGAACCCGTAGCTGCCGCTGCCCAGATCGGCTGCGGGCGGAGAAGGTGTGGAGCAGAACATGAGAGGGAGCGGGGCGGAAGGAGAGGATGGGAGAGGGAGCCGCGGACGGCCGCAAGCAGGCGCGGAATGGTGGGTGTTGGAATCGAGCGCATGCAGGTAAGGGGCAAAGGGCCCGGACCAAGCAAGGGCAAAGGGCCACCACAGGATACAAGGCAACAGGACACCTTGTCAACACGGACATGTTGCTCCGTGTTCTCTCCGCCCCCCTTCCCACTGTGCACTCCCAAGGCCCCTCTAAAGGTACCCGTCCCCCACCTATGTACTCCATGCACCCGCCCCCCACCTATGTACTCGTAGTTCTGGAAGTCACGTGGAAGCAGGCAGCGGGGTGTCGCAGGACGGAGGGACGCCGGGCCAGCGGAGAGGGTAACAGCCGCAGCGGCGGTGGTGGAGGGGTCGGGAGCCAACAGGAGGAGGGGCAGGGCAGGGGTGAACGGAGACGGGGCGGGCAAGGGAACGGGTAGAGGGCAGAGGCGGGTTGGGTAGAAAGCGGGTGGAGTGAGCAGTGGGCGGGGGTGGGTAAGCGCAGCACCACAGGTCAGAGTCCTTGCGGCGTTTCCTCACCTCCATATTGCCAGCTGAGGATGCCGGGCTTTCCTCAGGGAGAGGGCAGCACGGCTATGGCTGTTTTGAGGGCGGTTTAGGCGCCTTGCAAGCGGTAGCAATGCAGGCGCGGGGGCTTATCCTGGATAAGCTGTGAGCTAAAGGGCTGACTCCGCCAGGTGCGTTCCGGCCGAGGATGGATTGCCAACACCACAGTCAAGCGCGATGGCCCGGAAGTAGGCCGGCTTTAGCAGCTGCAACGGCCCACTACAAGGAGCGATGCTGCACGACACTGTGCCGCTGATTTTCCCTGCTGTTGCTGTCGTTATCGCTGCCGACCTGGTCACGTTGAACACATGTGCCATGCAGCAACACGACTGTACACCTGCGAAAACGGGTCAACGACGAACCAAATGGCGGTCGTGGTAGGGGAAGCAATAGCACCAGAAAGCGACAAAGGCCCCAGGGCTCAATATGTTGTGATTACCACCTACACGCTACCCTATGCTAATAGTCGTGAATAAGTTAGATGCATTGTGAGCGTAAGGAATTTGTTAACATTAAACATGTCAGGACTGTGTGCCAAGCCCATACAGTAGGACGTCTAACGCCCCAAGTGCTGGGCTTTAACGTGCCCGCGTTTACCTTGCTAATGTTGCCAAGCTTGCCTTCACTTAAGCCTTTCGTATTAAATCACCGACCCAGAGTGAGGGGTTAAACACCATATGGCTTGTCCCGAACGAAATGAAGGCGGGTTCTGACGTGACCTACTCGTATGTACTTTCGGTCAGAGGAATGCAGGCGACATGAAAAGCTTTGCCACATACTATTGTCTCGAGCGTAAGCTGGCCCCGAAATTCCGCCCTTTGGTATCAAAACTTCAACGTTTCTACGAATGCAGGCACTTCATAACGCGCACATTATAGGAAAGGTAACTGTCGATTACAAAAACACACTTGATGTCCTTCCTTTTCTGCGCTATGAAATGTGGATAGCCGCATAATGTACAACATGCAAGCATGAGCAGCCCGAAGCAAGGCTGAGCTAAATGCTGTTGTGGCATCCACAAGCAAGTCCTGTTCACTTATAATAATCATTACGGCTTGAAAGGAACCGCCTCGCCACTCTATTGCACCTCCCCTGCGGAGTGCAGTCCGACACACATCGGAAACCAACGATTACACGGTAGTCATCGCCGCAAGGCTAGATATTGAGACTGCGATCACCTCACTCGGTGTCATGCGCCCGGGAACTAGCTAGACAGTAGTTCCTGTCTAGCAACTGTAATAGCCTGGTCACACGACGTTAATTTCTACGTTACGTTTGTGAAAAATTAACGTGAACGTGAACGTAGCCCGGTCACATGACAAACGTAGGGTTACGTTTTCGCTCTACGTTAACGTAGGTCATAAACGTGAACGGAGGGGGTAGGGGGGGGGGTTCACGTTAAAACGTAGCGAACCGAGATGGACCCCTAGTCGTAAAATTAGTACTACAACTTCTTGAGTGCGTCTTTTTAATTCATTTCTTCACCATAACCTTGTAAACTCCTTAAAGTGATTAACTTATTTATTGGTGCCTGAGCGCGTGACCATTCGCGCCGAACTGAGTAGCAGATTAGCCATAAACTCCTCATAAAACGCCCCAAACTCAAGCAAACATGGCTAGGTCTGCTGCCAGGGCACTCGTAGACATTAGTAACATTGCTGGTCCTGTTGCAAAGCCTACTAGGCAGGTTGTTTCCGGTCTGCGCGCGAAATCCGTTGCTAGTGCTGGACAAAAGCGCGGGAGGCAGCAGCAGGCAACTGTGCAGCCCTCACAAGCTGCCCAGAATGCACCTGCCGCAGTTGAGCACGCCACACAGCACTACGGCGATGAGCAGGAGCTCTTCGTTAACCAGTACGCCGCCCCAGAGCCCCCGGAAAACGACGACGACGACGAGTACCAGCCCAGTGGTGAGCCAGATTATGCGGAAGACGACGTTATGGAGGAATCTCCACAGCCCACCACCAAGAGCGGCAAGCCGAAGGCCAAGAAGGCGAAGGTTGAGCAGCCTCTTTCCTTCAAGGTCGGCGCCAAGTACAGCGCGGAGTTCACCGGCGTTTGCATTGAGGAGGCCGCGAAGTTCTTGAAGGGGGGGCAGAACGTCATGGGCAGCAAGCTAGCAAAGCTGCAGCCCGCCGTTATCAGCATTCAGAAGCGATGGGCGGTTCTCAGTAAGTGCCCGCAGCGGCCCACGGGTCAGGTGCTTAGCCCTACGGACTTCACCGCCAAGAACCTCGTTGACATGATCGACAACCTGAACAAGAAGGTCCGGAAGGTGGCCGCTCAGCTGCGGAAGCGGTACAACTGCTCTACGGGCTCGGAATTCACGGACGACATGCTTCAGGCGTACCAAGCCGAGCAGTAAGTATGGCAAAAGCTTCATGTGTTTGGTTAGCATTGGATTGCCGCTTGCTTTGATCCCTAGGGTGTGCTTACATGCGCATTCCTTACCTACCTTGACGTTATGAACCATGTAGGAAGGCGCTGCCGCACTTCGCGCTATGGCTACGGGTTTTCAAGTCCCACCCTACGTACAGCGGCTACAAGTCCCTGGATAGCTCCGAGCCGAGCTATGTAATGGCCGCAGACCCATGGGTCAAGTTATCAACAATGACCAATATTGCCCTGATTTGTAACGCCTTACTCAGCCTGGAAGATACTGGCTGGTCGAATGGGGTTGACAGTCGCAAGATACGTAGCCAGTGCATCACGAATCTCTACAGCCGAGCTATCATTCTCCACATCAGCCTCCGGCACCAACTTGCGCTTTCCGCTCTTCTTGGGCGCAGGAACCTCCACCTCCCATGATTCGTCGTACTTCACATTCATCCTCTTGGCAAAGTTGTGAAGCGCAGCAGCAACCATAGACACCTTCCCGGCAAACTCAGGATTCGTCAGCCGTGAGCCCGAAACCACAGGAAAGCGCCCCTTCAACTGGCCAAATGCGTTTTCCACCACCCGGCGTGTGCGAATAATAGAGTAGTTAAACGAAAACTGTGCAGGTGTAAGCATGGCCATGTCGTACGCCTTCAACGAACGAGGTGTCAAAGCAAAAGCACTGTCGGCAACCAAGAAGGGCTTAATTGGAACACCCCCCAAACGGCCAACCACCACATCGTGCAAGTCCCCATCATCCAGTAGACGACGTAGCGGGCTTGTGTTATAAGCAAATGCATCGCCTACAGAACCAGGATGACCAGTGGAGACGTACATGAAACGGCTCCTTGAATCCACGACAGCAAGCATGAGGATTGAAGTGAAACCCTTGTAGCAGTAGTAGACGTCGCCCCACTCCGTTGGCTTCTGGATTTTCATAAACGTACCATCCATAGCACCCATGCAGTAGGGCATGAAGCACAGCTCCTTGAAACCATCCATAACCCCTGGAAGCTCTTCAGAAGTAGGAAGCCTGACCTCAACTGGCACAAGGCACCTGTTGAATATACGCACTCCGTCATGGACAGCCTCAACTACAGCTGCCTTGCTGACATCAAACTTGGCGGCAACCTCCCGCAAAGGCGAGTTGGAAGACATCCACGTGAGAAAGATAGCCATGCGCTTCTCCCCGGGTATTGGGTTACGGGCAATGACACGACGCAGCCCAGGGACAGGCCGAGCGAAGTGGTATCCATAGTCCTGGTACAGTTTCCTGAACGCTGCCTTGTCGAGGCGGAAGTGGCCAAGATACTCGGCGTCCTCACGGTCAGGGAAGCGCATGCCTATCTCAACCCAGTCGCCCATGACTTGCTTCTCCCAAAAGGCGAAGGACGAGTCGCGAATAGACCAAAACCGGCGTGGCATGGGGCCGCTCGCGGTTGGAATAAGAGCCAGGGCAACCAAACTGGTAGCCATTCGAGGGCGCCGGGAGCGAGTCGTAGAGTTTAGGAGTATGTACATACAGTATAGCATGAGCATGTTCTCGATAGGAGCAAATATCGCGTCTACTAACATGTATATGACTAGGATAACCGGTGAAGTCCGCAATCGCATAATCGCTGCAAAGGTTTGCAGCGCGAAGTAAGAGAAGAGCAATCATATTTATGCATTCGTGCTAAGCATAGGGGAAATACCTATGAACCGCTGCGGTCGGCGGTGATTAGTTCGGCCATAGGTACCATGGCCAATGGCAGCACCAAGGCACCAAAGGGTTGCCCTGAGTAACCGTTAAGCCACTAATGTACCGCCGGTAGCTGGCCGCGGGGAAGTCGGTTGTCTCAATAAGCTGCTTCTACCAGTCGTTACCAGCTGCAGGCTGTACCGCTATCGTATATCCGACTTTTACAGCCCAAAGCTCCTTGACTTCCCCGACTATTTACAGGTGCCAAAGTTGAAGCCATTTGCTGAGGCCTGTAACCGTGAGAGATAACGTAAACGACGAACCACCGATTATGGTTGAGCCGGAAGCAATGTCGCAACGTCCCGCGGGTCACTCCTAGCCAGCCGGCAACTGCTGCAACACTCAGGCAGCCCCCGTCGCGATGCAATCACCGCCGCTCGGCAGCGTATCAACTGCCCCTGTCTCCGTGCTGATCTTTATTTAAATTCGATATGGAATGCTATTAGCCTAGCTGGGCTACAAACAGCTGATTGCCCTACAATGCATGCGGATGTGTGCGTGATTGCATGAGCCAGGTCTGCAGGCCAGCTAGCATCGTACCGGTAATCACACCACTAGTGGGCTTACATGGTTCCATGAACGCTCCGCCTCCCGCATCCTGCCCCCTTATTTCTGAAATCCGGACGCCGTGCGCCGTAACCTGTGATTTCCAACGGTTTGATAGGGCCCTTTTCCTCCCTGTGCACCTGCCAGGGCTGCTCCGCCCTCTTGAAGGCATCAGACCCCCCCATGAAGCTCCGTACGGCTGCCCACATGGCCTTCGTGTCAGCTTGTACGGCGGGCTCCGCGTGTGCCGAGTGGTTGATGCCGCCCATGTTCCACACACCCACCCCGCGCAACCCCAACTCGCCAGCCAACCGGTAACGCAGCTCCAGGCTCCCCGGCGTCTCAAACCACACCTGCTGGTGTACGGCACACAGCGTACGGCAGCAGCAGTGGCAGTAGCAGCAGTCGTTGCAGCAGCAGTAGCGGGAGCAGAGCGTAGAACATAAGCAGCAGGAGCAGCAGCAGCAGTAATGCTTTAGCAGCAAAAACTCAAAGCAAGTAAATCCGAGGAATACAGCCACCCCAGCCGTGTCGTGGGCCTCCTCCCTGACATACCTGGTGCACCTGCTGCTGCCCCCCGCCGCCACCGGCCTCCCCCGCTACGGCTGCTGACGCAGCTCCTGCTGCCCCCGCTGCCCCTGCTCCTGTTGCCCCCGCTGCCCCTGCTGCCCCTGCCCCTGCTGGCTCCAGATAGTTGAATCGCGGACTGCCCGCCAGCGAGTCCCACAGCAGTGGGGTGCTGTTGCGACCCGACCGCAGCACTGCAGGGGGGGCAGCGGAGGGCGACAGAGCGGTATGCCGGCAGGGGGCCGGCAGAGGCGGTGAGGGGCCCGGCAGAGGTGGAGAGGGGCATGATGGGCATCGACTCGTCGGCAAGAGCCATACGTACAAGCTACCATGATAAACACTGTTCTCAACACACCAGGGGTATTGCTGTACTGTAGTTGTGCATCATCTTCGCGCAAATTGAATTATGTCTGGGAACATGTGCATGCGTCGTGGACCTCATACTGCGTGGTCGGTTTCCTCGCGGCATCACCCACACATCCGCCACGAGCTGTTTTGCCTACGGTAGTCAACATGGTGGCCAGCACCAAACGGTATCGTACACTATCGTACCCTTAACGTTCCCACACGCCACCGTGGCCGGTTTCCTGTCGCTACCACCCCTGCCGCACCCACCCCTGTCGCACCCGCCCATCCCCCCAACCCAGCACCCACCCTGCATGAACTCCTGGAAGGCCCGCTGCGCCCCCGCGGCATCGCTGCATGGACTGCCCCGGTACTCCACCGCTGCGATGGGGCAGATGTCAGCATCCGGCTCCGGAACCACTCCCCGCGCGTCAGGCTGGCAGGCGTAGTCGTAACCGTACCTGTTGGGATTTGAATGAGACGTGGATGGGTCGTTATTGGGTCATTGTTGGTCTTCTTCGGTGGTTGTAAGGTGGGTCGTGTATCTCGTACGGCATATTGCAGATGTGGCAAGAGTGTGTTGCAGGCTTTAGCACAAACTAACAACTTACCAAGCCACGCCCAAGATGAGTTTGCGCGGGGAGATGCCCAGGTCCAAATACTGTTGCAGCCCCTTCAATACCTTGCGGGGGGACGACAGGAGACGGTGTAAGGGCTTCACTTTTGCTTGCTTGTGAGTAGAAAAGGATGGCCGGGGTGTGTTAAAGTAACTGGCCGGGGCATGTGCGTGTGCCTGGGTGGCATGTTGGGCAGGCCAAAACAGGAGGGGCGTTCAAGAATGAAGCGCATCACCTCAGGGAATGGGCCGGTCAAGGATGCCATGGGGGCTGGCGTTTGGTGGCAAATAGGCCCCCCATGTGGGATGGAAGCTTGGAGGTAAGGGAGCAAAGGACACGCACCTGAGGCAGGGGGCTGTTTGCAGCGGCAACGCAGCGACCATAGATCTGCGGCGGGGACCGTTAGGAGTGCCGGACGTGCTTGGGGTTAGTAGATAAAAGGCTAAGGAAGAAAGGCAGTTGTTGGAGGAAGGTCAGTGATCTTGTGATGGCGATTGTGGCCTTGTCCAGATACCGGCATGGCCCTGTATTGACATGTGCGCAATGAACTTCTATTAATAGGGCCCCTTGTCCTACGTAGTTGCCGTACGTGCCTGGGCCTGCATGTCGTACGACATAACGAACAGTCTGTCAGCTGCCTCCGCAAGGCCCACATAGTCGTAATCCCGGCCGTCGTTGCCGAACGCTGCCCAGGGAACATCCACGGAAATCTGCGGCTCGGGGATGGCGTCAGTCATCAAGATCTGGTCAAGGTGTGTTATGTGCCGTAAAATCCCAAGACCCTAAAAGGCACCATGTAACGTTTCCCATTCCACATCAGCAGCATCCCTTCCTCGGTAACAGTCCACATCGGAAAAACAAGCAGCATCAACTTTCTTGTCACCCTAGAGTCCCTTTAGCACCCCATCCTAGCGGAATTCACTCGCCTGCGCGTGCGGATTGAGCTGTCGGAAGGCCTCCGCCGTCTCCCGAACCAGCTGTGTGTAATTGCGGGCGAGCTCGGACCCCATCTGCATGTAGCATCAAATTTCAGCAAGCTTAAGGGTCTTCCAACATGCCCTCAACTCAATGGGGCACCCTCCAGGATAGACCAGATACCGGATACACGTGCATGCTATGTGCGGAATGGAGCAACCAAGCTGCGCGTTATGCTTTAGGCACGTTCCTGACTACCGGTATGATTTGTCACAAAATTGAGAGTGTGGTGGCGCCCTGCGTATCCCACCTTTGTAGGGAGTTCGTAGTCGAAGTTGATTCCGTCGTACCAAAACTCCCGAGCCACGGCCACTTGACGTGAGATCTGTCGTACTCGCACAACAGGCAGGTACGTCGGGGCTTCCTCATCGTGGAGAAACAAGGCCGCCGAACACCTCCATACACTACTCCTATTGCAAGGACGCTGAAACCTCTTCACATTCACAATGCAAGCATGCCTCACATGTTTCACCGGACTTCCTTAGCTTGCCGGTAACACCAGAGGACTTCACTCGTCACTGGAGTTTGTGACGCCAGTGCTTAATTCATGGACTCCCTTTCCGTGAAGCAACATCCCAACATCCAAGGGACTCACCCACTCTTTCCGGATTCCGGCGTCCGATAGCGGCATGGACACGTCCTCTGCGTTGATGACCACTCGAACGCCTGGCGGGGGCAGACCCATGGGTCAATTCCCCAAAACGTTACACGCCCGTACATCCCGACGGGCAATCAAGGCTCAGCCAATGACCTGCCTGCTATTATTGCTATAGCGCTAATGAGCAGTTTGATAAACAAGTTCAGGGCGAAAAAGAGGGCCGCATGGATGGAAGCGCCAACAATTATGCACCGTTGGGAGTTAACCGCCCTGAGCAGTCCTCAGGCCAGCGTGCGGCAACCCCGCAGAAGTCACGCACACGCACTGCCGTACCTGCCGCATGGGCGGCGCAGACAACATCGACACGGTGTTTTGGAACCCAAGCAAGCGCCGTGATTTGGCTCCAGTCGTACGTGTCGATCGGTTGGTCGTACGGAAAGAAGAATCCAAGGAACTATAGATAGAGTAGCACAGGCAGCGGACAAAGCAAATAGTGGAAATGCAGGAGAGCGGCAGAGAGCGGTGTAAAATGGTCAAGTGGGGCCGTTGCATGGGGCATGGGGCATGGCACGTTGGCATATGCAGGCTACATGACCTTGAAGTACACGGCACGCCGTACGTGTGCGTACATGTGCACATTCCTGCTGATGAACAGCGGACGCCGTACTGAGAGCATAGCAGCAGGTCGTTTGTGCCATCTTCATCGGGGACCGTGACAGCAAGTATCCGGATTGATGCCCAACTTGTTGTGCGACATGTACACATGTTGTATAAAAACCTCACCTCCCGTTCATGCTCCGCATTTACGAACGCGCAGAGTTCCGTACGCTCGCAAGGGCACGACGACGACGTCGCGCTCGAGGTTGAACCAGACGCGCCTTGCAATTGCAGATTTTGCGCAGCGCTTTGTGCTAGGCCTAGGGTCCTTGGTACCTGCAGGAACGTGCAGAGGAGAGCAGCACCGACCAGGTGTGCTGGTCCGAGCACCAACCGTCGCATAGTGCGCGATGTGAGCTGCCCAGATGCGTAATGAGACGTTGTTTGGATTTAGGAATGGTATAAGATGATGGCTTGGTTTGCTTTCTCAGGCTGAATTGTTTTGTCAAATGGATTGTGTGCGAAAGTCCAGGGTATGAAGGAGCTAAGATTAGAAGCTGCCAGGCTATGTCGTGAATGCCAGAAAGGAAGCCTGGCGAAATGTTGGCACAGCGGAGAAACGCTCTACTGCTTGCTTGTGACACGTGATCACTGCGCGTAATAAGCGGTTGACAAAAGATTAACCAAAGCCCAAAACGGCATCTACGAAAAGAGTCGTGCATAGCTCTATGCTCTAGTTCTAAGTGTAACTTAACTATAATGTCAATGTTGCTTCATTTCGTAGGCTGGGACAGGCATCTGCCAGCCAACCGTCGTCGCACCATCTCTTTCCCTGTGCCCGCCTCGGTCCTTCGAAAGGCATGGGTGCTAGGCATGTACAATGCAAAGGGTTCATGTGGAGGGGAATCTAAGAGAACGACTTTTCATTGCAAGGTGCGACTAGGTTCCCCATAGCGTAAACAGGTTGGCAATCCCAAGGCACCAACTCACCCACTAAGTCAACGGGTTGGGTGGGTCCCAAAGAAGCGCCAAAGCGTGAAGACCTGTACCCGCACAGCTGCGCACAGCCATGATTGGACAGGAGTCCCATTAGCCGAAAATGCTCACCCACGCGTCGAGGCTTACTGGTGGGGGTAACATGCATTGTTACCGTACAACGTGCACAATCGACCATACAAGGCTGATGCCACAAGCACCCACCAACACCGCCAACCGCCGACAAGTGAGCTACGCAGTTGTGCTACAACAAGGGGAGAAAATTGATGATATGTGCAGCAAGGGGAGAGGGTTTAGGAATATACCGGTACGCATGCCAGCAACAAAACCTTGCCTGGGCACTTCCTTGAGACCGTGACGTCCGCTACCGGTGGTATGTCACCCAGCTGCCTGAAACACACGAACACAGATACAGCACACGGAAGCCCGGTACGACAACAGAATGGAAGCATGGGTGCCCCCCACATGCAAAAAAGACGGAAGCAAGCCACTGCTCGGGACCAGGACGGCTTGCTTGCCCACACTTGCTGCTACTATAAATGCTACCCACATCCTCCGGAAAGCGCTCTCCGGCGGAACGTTATGCCGCCGTCAACAGCAACCAATCGCCGGAACGTGACACAATGCACATGGCTTACTCCCGTAAACTTGAATAAGCACGCTGGGATAACCCCATGAAAGTTCCAACTTCCAAGCCACTGCATGTAATTTTTCAAGGTTCGACTAGGCGATACAGCACCTACGATACCACCGTCACTTGTACCGTTAGTTAGCACCAAAGCAACCACCAAGGTTTTGACAGTCTAGGGTTGTAAGCCGCACCATGCAACCGTGCCGGCCGCCTGTAGTCGTGACGAGTCACATGTCTTAGCAGCGTACAACATGCCACAATGGCAGCATACTTGATGATACATGCAACGGCGTGTGAGGCACATCCCACACGGCGCACTCGCTCGTACACATGAATGGTCACTCGCACACAACTGCCGCACAAGTTTACAGATGCAGTGCCCAGCCTGCCACTAGGCTGTGTGGGCTGTGGGGTAATGGCCCCTAACGGGGTGCAGGACACGGGTGCGGGTGCACGATACGTCCAAGCACTCAGCTCCACACACACCCAGAACCCAGTTGGCAGATGGTCCCAGTCGTACAGGGTACAGGGGACTGCGCTTCACTTCTCATTTCTTCCCCGTCAAGCCGGCCAACCAGTAAGGACCAAGGAGCAGGCGGTCCTAACAGGTTTGCCGGGGGGGAAAGAGAAAAGAGGTTTGCCGGGGGGAGGGGGCAGGAGAAAATCTGGTCCTGCCAGCATGACAGACTAGAAGGAGCAGCATACATAGAGAAAGTAGGGGCGAACGCACAGCAATTATTTCGAGTTAACTGCTACCAGGCTATCGGTACAACCGAACAAACCAACAAACTCAACCCAGCCTGCACCTCCGCAAGACACCCTGGGACGCGCAGCTAGCAGCTAACCACACCTAGTGCACCTGGAGGAACCTGCGGTACCCAGTCAGACCAAGTATGTGGTATTACCACGTCTGACTTGGTTAAACCGCAGGAGCATGAGGTAGCAAGGTAGTTCTCAGGTTCAAAGTGTGTAGAAGCAAGCAGGACCCACCAGCAGCAAGACACATGAGCCGCTGGCTCGCACCTGGTAGGTTGTTGCTCATATCTAAATCCGTAAGGCTTGCGACCATGCGCACAGAAAGACTAACTCGTACGCAGCAGCCCCAAGAGCCGTGTATGTAAACATTCCTGTTGCTACAGGTTAGCAATGTGTATATTTCAATACAGCGATATCGGTAACCGCGGCCTCGCCTTACGTATCATCAGTGCTCCTCAATTTCTGAATAGCTAATGTTCGCACGACCTTGCTGCAGCACCGCGCTCCCGCCGAGGTGCACATCCCCAACAGGAGGTGCTACAGCAGCAGCAGCAGTAGTGGTGCGTTGGGGAGCTGGGGACCTAGGAGGACTGCCGCCGAGGCCCCCGGATCCCCCCAGCCGCTGATGCATGGGACTGCTGTCAGCTGCTGCCGCTGGCATGATCCCAGCAGTCACGAACTGTCCAGCCTGAAGAGCATGTTGTCCCGATTTGTGTGCCTTTGCACCGGTTGACATGGCAACCGCCGAAGTGACCCGCTGGGAAGTGGATTGTGTTGGGCTGTTGTCGCCCGCCGCTTGTTGTTTTGAGAATGAGGATGAGGCGCCGCGTCTGGCGGGGATCACAACCGCCGTTGCCATGGTGGCCTCCTTGACCATCGACCACCGCCGTTGAGCCACGGTGTTGCTGGCGGCCAGAGAGTTGCTCCGACTGTCCATATCGCCGCTGCCAGTGCCAAGAGGCGTCACGCGACCTGTTCACAACCGCACACCCGGTGTGGTGTTAAGCCCAAAACCGAGCGGAAGTTGCAACCCCCAGTTCTTTAATGCACGTCTTTAATGCACTTGCAACATTCCATAGCAGCTGCAACAACCCAGCCATAAACCAGCAGCCTTACACCAAGCTCGGGTGTACAACCCACCTGAAGAGAACCCAAACGCCCTCTCAACAGCAATGCTCCGATCCCGCTGCTGTGGAGCCGGCCCGCCGACGACGCCGTCCTCCCCGTCACGCCGCTGCTGGTTGCCGCCCAATAATAAACCCCAGCGCTTGGCACCCACGTTGTTTGCCATTGGCCTGTCACCGTTGACCGTTGACCGTTTGCTGCTGCGCGCTGTGACCTCGGACTGGGCGCCGATCGGGGACTCGAGTGCCCTGCTGATCACAAAGACATTCTGCTCCGCCACAGGTCGCAGGCTCAGCCGCCTGTCTGTCACAAGCCTTGTGGGGGAGCTGGCGTTGCTGCCGCTGTTGTTGTTGTTGCTCAAGCTATGGCTGGTCATGAAGAGGCTCAGCCGCCTAGCCATCCCGTTCCTTGGCGTGCGTTTGTCGCCACCACCCCCGGTCAGCTTGTCTCCAATGTCGGCTGAATCAAGTAGCTGGTCAGCGAGTCTGCCGCTTGCGGCGCCGCCACGGTCTGCTAGCAGCGGCTGCGCGTCCGTAAACCTCCTGCTGGTGCTTCCAACCACGTTGTAGTGCAGCAGGCTAGTGCGCCTGCCGACAACCTGCATGTTGGCTGACGCCTGCCTGTCTGCACCCGCCGTGACGGGCCGGTCACCGAGGCTGGTGCGGTCGTTGTTGCCGCCACCGCTCGCAGAAGCAGTGGGGATGTCACCCGTCTGGTGGAGAGCCAAGTGGCCAGCGGCCCCCAGTCCCAGGAAGTCCGCGTGCCCGTGCACGTGCTGCCCCTCAATGCGGGCAGCGGTGGCGTCCGCGTCCTCGAGCCGCGCCTCCAGGTCCTCCACCTGCATGCAAGTCATGATAATGTGTAATGACCCACGGGTCGTTACGCACTTGGTGGTAGCCCTAATAAGTGATGGAATAGAGCATGGAGTATCCAAAGCTTTGGATGAGCTGGGATGAGCTGCCAAGGTACCGTAATTATGTGAACAGGAGCCGGGATCTCCTCTTCAAGCGAGTCACATATTGGGAAGCAAGCAAGACGGATACCGTCTGCCTCAACTCTCAAAATCACTCCGTTTTGCACACAGACCGACACCGCACCACCCCCCACCTCACCTTACTGCTTAGCATCACAATCGACTCCACCAGCTCCACAACCGTTGTGTGGACGGTTGTGCTCTGCTGCAGCTGAAACGCCATCTCCTCCTGGCAGCGGGCCACCTCCGCCCGACATCGTGCTGCATCCGCTTGGTGTTGGGCCGCCTCGGCCTGCCAGCGGGCGGCCTCCGATCGCCAGTGGGCGAGCTCCCCCTCTCGCCGCTCTACCTCCCCCTCCCGATGGAGCAGCTGTGACTCCCGCCTGCAGCGTACACGAAGAGAAGCGATGGCTGGTGGTCAGGTGAGTAGGAGTGAGTAGGGGAGGAGGAGAGGAGGAGAGAAGGAGAGGAGGAGGGGAGGAGGAGGCCCCCTTGTGTACTGGACTAACTCACAGCTGCGGCACCCATACGAGCCGGATGGGCTTGCAACCGCGGATTGCAACCAGGGTTGGGCTGAGGTATGCAGAGGTAGGCTGTAGGGCTCAGCCTGGCAGCCAACTTCGCACGGAGAGAGGAATCTGATGCCCCAGCGCTTCCCAGGTGGAGATGCGCATGGAGAGATGGTGGTGGCAGAGATACCTCCGTCCAGCGTTGCACCCCGCCCGCGCACAACCTCTCACACAAAGCAGCATCTATCCTCACTTCCTCACTCACAGCCAAGCACGGCAACAAAAAAACAGACGGACCGTCCAATCATTTTCGTTTTTGCACATCCTGTGTACAGATCAGTACGTTCCACTTCGCCGCCTTCTTCCTCAACTACACACCTGTGGACCTCGGCCTCACGTCGTGTCAGGTCCGCCAGGTGCGCCGGCAGCAGCCCCGCACCCTGGACCCCCTGCACTGCTGCCGCTGCCACCCCGCTACCATGCGCGCTGCTGCTGCCGCCCATTGCAGGCCCCCCACCCGCCGCCGCAGCGCCCGGCGGGGCCGCCAGCGAATAGCCTGGGGGCAACGCACCCGACGGCACGCCACCACTGCTCGAATGGGCGTTGAGGCTGCTGTGCCGGACCTTGCCTAGTCGGTACCTGGACACACGAACCCACTCCGACCGCACGGCCGCCTTCTCCTCCCCGGCTTCATCGCTGGGTCGCCAGGAGCCGTCTTGCGGGTGCCAAGGTGCGGTGCCGGGATCCTCGCCCGTCGAGTCAGGACCCTGGGCGGAGTGACCGTGGGGGGCGTGGAATTGCCGGTTCGCCTCCAAGGGCGTGAGAGTTGTGCGACTGCGCCAGAGGTGCCGTTCGGCAGGTGGTGGTCGCTCGGGGACGTCTCCGGCTGCCGAGCCAGCATCGCCGTTGCCGGTTGCTGCAGCGGCAGGTTGTGGAGCAGGTTGCGGGGCTCAGGTGTGCGGGTGCCAGCCTAATGACAAGTGGCAGGCGTGGGCCGAAACAGTGATAGGCCAGTGTCAAACAGTACCAAATGTGGCCGCTAGGTTCACACGCATGCACTTGTGTGCCCCGCCGATGCCAGCTGATGCCCTGCACACCTTGCCAGCGCTCCCTTACCTGTATTGCCTCCGCTCCAGGAAGGCTCCAGGTGCCGTGGGAGTGCATGCTGCGGCGCGGTGACGCTGGAGATGCGCTTTGCGAGCCGGGCGGAACCATCCGTGGTGCTGTGACTTGAGCTCTCCACGGCTGATATCTCCGTGGTTGCAAACCTGGGAGAGAGGTCAAAGCCCGGGCGGGCGGACAGAGGGTGGAGCTGTGTGGTAATGGGCTGTTCGGTAAGGGGACGGCTCGGAAGGATCTGAAGAGGAGCAGGTCCAAGATGCCGCCCACGTGCACATCCAATCACCGCCCAACCAACACGCACAGGTGGCCTCGTCAGCCCCGTGCCTTCCGTAAGGCAGCCAACTTGTAGCTACACTTACAGCTACATTGTTGCAGTCACAGTTTGTATGCATGTGTACCGTACACTGCTTTTTTTAATCAAAACCTAAACTTCACATAAACAAGATCAGCTCATACTCACCGCCGTAGACTCGCCCTGCCGCCTCCAATCAAGGCAGAGAAGAAGCTATGGGCGGCCGCAGGGACCAGCGAGCCCCGGGACGCCTCTGAGTCCTCCCTGTGACGCTGCTGCTGCTGCTGCTGGCGATGGGACCCTGACGGATCCATGAATGCATGGCCCCCATGCACAGCCCCCTCCGTGCCCACACGTGCCGGAGTGCCGGACTGTGCCACTTCCAAATGATGGGTGGCTCCCTCAGCCCGCCGCGCAGCAGCAGACCGCATGTGAGCCTCAGCGTGCTGTGCGTGCTGTGGTTCAGACGCCTTGCCAGGCAGCAACCCGCTAGCTCTCATCAGCCCAAACGCACCCCCCATGGAAGCTACGTGCGCCAGCACCCCATGGTGCGCTCCCGAGGGCGTGTCCATGGGAGCAGCTGCGGACCCCTCCATCGTGGGGTTTGGGTGCTGTGCCGAGCTGCGAGGCACACCCCCCTGTCGTGCATTGCCCACCCTGGCCGCCACACTCGCAGCCGTTGCCGCTAGGGCTGCGGCGAACGAGGTGGACTGGTGGTGTAGCGTCCTGGCTGACGGATTTGGGTCAAGCCTTGAATCGTCCGGTTCTGAGGGAGTGGAGACAGGGCCGCTGTCGTAGTTTCCAGTAGGGACGGCGGCAGCAGCTCGGAGGCCAGCGCCGGTATGCAGCGGCGGCTCCAGCGACCTGGCCAGTGGGCCCATATCAGCACCACAGGGAGGCTCCAAGTCGGCAAAGGGGTTCGTGGGCCCACCAAAAGGCGTGCCGTGCGGGCCGAGGTGGGAACGCCGGCGCTCTCGCGCTGTTGTGGTTGCCGTACCGATGAGTGCTGCAGGGCGTGTTGTGTAACCCGTAGAGGAGGCCTTGTGGCTGCTGGTAAAGGACGACTGCTGTGGGTGCTGTTGCTGCAGCTGCAGCTCACGCAGGGCTGAGGCCGTTGCCTCTAATGACGATCGCATCGAGTCCTCCCTATCCGCAGCCTCTAAGCCTCCCCCGTCGGCGCCTCGAACGGCTGCTTTGAACAAGCCCCTCCTCGTCTCCATGGATTCGGAAGCATGAAGTGAAGCATTCAGCGCGTCGCTGGGCGTCGTAGCTGCTGCTGCTGCCAAAGAATGCTGCAGGCTGCTTGCAGTAGGGCGCAGGGCCTTTGCCTGCGCCGCAGAAGCAGCCTGCTTTGTAAACGACAGTGCCCTGCCTTCCACTCCTTCTGACACGGGCCCCGAGCCACGGGGGCGTGCGGGAGCTGGTACCTGCCACTCATGAGGCGGCGCGGCCACATCCGCCTCCTCCGCAGCCTCCTCCACCGCGGCCTCCTCCTCCTGACCACCCCCGGATGCCCCCCACGAACGTGCCAATGAGGATTGTGGGGACTGGAAGTGCTCGACTGCGTCAAACTGAGCCGGGGCTTCTGGCACGGGCGTGTTGGGCGGGAGCTGCTTGGATGCTGCACTGGCAAGGGCTGGATGCCCCGCCGCTCCAGCCGGCGCACAGCTGCTCTCCCCTGGATTGCTCCGAAGAAACCGCTGTGCCCGGTTGGAGGACCGGCCCGGCGGGTCAGACGTGGGGTCAGCCAGGGGCAACCCAGGCATGGGGCTGGAGGGTCGGGTACGCGGCGGTTGGGCAGTGCAGCCCTCATCCACGGTGGCGCTGCAGGGGTGTGTGCCAGTTGCTGAGACACAACGCCGGCGCATGGGTGCGTCTGCCGCGTCGGAAGGCCGGGGCGACGGACGCCGGACAAGCGAAGTGACATGCATGCCGTGTTCGCTGTTCCGGCTGCTGCTGCTGCTGCTACTACATGTAGCATTCGGAGCTGCACCCTCAAGCTGTGAGGTGCGTGCGGCGTTGGCAGCTAGGAGGCTCGAAACCGAGACCTGACGTGGGGCAGAAGCCGGCCTGCTTGGACCCGGCGCCGCCGGGTTAGACGTCCCGACCACCATCATACTAGCAGCTCCTCGTCTCGGCCCATCCAGCACCCCCTGCGCCGAATCACCCAAACTCAGGCTGCTGCGGCGGCTGGCCTGGCCGCTGCTTTGCCCGCGTTCGCGCGTGTCAGTGTCCGGCACAGCTGCCACGTTGCTGTCACCGCCCCCCAGCTGATCACCAACACAGCCATCCAGGCTGTTGCTAACAAAGCCGTTAATGCTCCCAGTCCCGCAATCCACGACGCCAGCGGAAGCCTCAGCAGCCTCCGCCTGCCGCGCGGACCACTCCCGTTGCTCCTGGAGGGCTGCTTGGACACGGAGCTCTTCAAGCTGTTGGATGAGCGCAGCCTGGTGTGGTGCCTGCTTGGCTTGCCGTGATACACTGGGGGCGCGATCTGGGGCCACGGGGCACGTCGAACAAAAGCCATGTCTAGCGTGTGCCCAAATGTCAAGCATGAGGATGGGGGGGCAAGGCGCTGGGCAAAGGGGCCTAAGGGCTGCAACCAAACTAGGACGTGCATGTAAGCCCATGCACCATGGCTGGTCCCCGGCTTGGACGCGGCATGTATGGCGTGCATAGGAACGAAAAACATGCAGGTGTGATAAACCAAATCCCCTGGTTTGCTCATGCAACGCGGCCGTACCCCCCCAACACAGGCACGTAACCTATCATCCACAGCACTGTCGGCCCCGCTGTTGTATCTCTAGCTACAAAATGCTACATACACACACCCGTCGTGAAGCGTGCAATGGCCTTCATGCGCGCCCGACGCAGCTCCGCCCGCTCCTGTTTCTCCTCCTCGCCCTCCTCATCACTCAGGTCGTGATCCTGGCGGCCCCCCGCACGGCCCGCGATCTGCAGCTGGTGCAGCCGCTCCCGCGCGGCCGCCTGCAGCCGGTGCGCACTGTCCGGGAACTCCTTCATCAGGATCTGTATCAAGGTGGGGGCGGGGTCGGATGGCGAGAAAGTGGGTTGCGCAACACGGCTGGCGCTTCATCGGTGGGGGAAGCATGGTAGCTTGGTAGGGAAGCGGGCATGAGAGTCCAGTCAAACACGGTGTGCACGAAAGGCGGCAGCTTTGGAGCAACATCTGCGTCCCGCAGTACATAAAAAATACATAGAACGGTAGGAGAACAGTAACAGTCTCCCGCGCGGTCGTTAGCGCGTCGAGGCGGCTGCTGGCCTGAAGAAAGCGGCAAGTGTTGCATGTTAACCACGCACGTACCTTGAGCTCTATGGAGTTGAGTACGGCGAGGTCACAGTTTGTCAAGGCAATGCATTCTGCAGTACGACGTGCCTGCAGAGAAGTCAACGGGAGCAGGGCAAGTAAGTTACATGCATGCAAGCAATCCTCGACAGCTACTGGCCCCTGGAACCTGTTTTTCCGCAAGCACCGGTCAAGGACGCGCGCGCGGATGGACACCCCGGGGGTGGACCTGTTTTCCATGCATCGGTTGCCCCGGGTGCGCCCCTGGTGCGCATCCAAGGTAGGCAGCATACGTGCCTGTGTCAGTAGGGCAATCTCCCCGAAGAAGTCCCCGGCCTGCAGGAACGGAAAGGGAGGATGAAGCGGTTGCGCAGTGTTGAGCATTAGGAAGTAACAGTGCCCCTGGTAGAATAAGCATACACACACAAGTGCACACTGACCCATTCATATCCATTGCCCCGCTGGTTGCCCCTTATTTGACCTGCCTGTACACTTGCACGTATAGAAAGGCATCCTCACAGGTGCCGCAACATACACAAGCCACGGAGTGCACCCAACCCAAAATATATAAACATGGTTTAGGGTGTTGCAGCAACGGCCACGCTTACCTTCAGCATGCTCATCATTTCCTTGGTCTTGCTTACTACGGCCACGCAGCCCCCCCGAATGATGTACATCTCATGGCCTAGGTCGCCCTGTCCCGCAGCCAGGAGGAGGATGCAGCAACCCCAACCTCACTGAGTAAGGAGCGTAGGAGGAGGAAACTAGGGTAGCAAGCACAGCAGACAGTGGACGATGTTGCAGTGAACGATGTTACCGAGAGCTTCCAGACATGCCCTGCTGCACAGCAGCATTGCTTACCTGGCGAAAAATAATTTCTCTAGGAATGAACGTCACAATCTTCATGCGCATGCCGAGAGAGCGGATGAACGCCGTTTCGCAGTCCTGCATGAACCCAAAGGCCAGCCGTGGAAAGTGCCATCTGCCATTGAACCAGTAGGTTGGTAAACTAGGTCGCGTGCTTGGGGACAGGCACTCCGTGCTTTCCAGATATGGTACGCTGAGCTCACGGTATAACCCCTCAACAGATGCAGCGCAAGCTGACCCCCCCTGGTCCGGATGCCACGTTCCTCAGGGGCCAACTTCACGCATGGACCGTCACGTGCCTCAAAAGCTTCATCATGCGACCGTCCCCGGCCGTCAGCCCCACCGACCCCACCTTGAACAAGTATATCCGCTTTAGGGGCTCCTCATGCAGGAACATATGCAAATCCTCATTGATGCCCTGGAGCAGTTAGGGAGCAAGGGAGCAAGAGGCACGCCATGACCACAGCAGGAATTCCGAGCTAGGGAGGGACATCACGCATGAAAACGGCGACCGGAGGGACATCACCCCCTTTGCGCAGGGGGACAAGCTAGCAACAGCGCCAACAAGCTGCTTAATTGCAACAGTTCTGCTGCAGTGTAGGGTGCTCCTGTGCCCATAGCCCTCCGGCGTGCCACGTACCTTGGTCAACTCCGACAGAAAGCCAAGACCCTCGGCGGAAGGGTGGTTGAAGGAAGTAATATAGTCGTAAAATGCCTGCAGGAGGCCGAGCCATTGCAGCAGCAGGAAAGCGCATAAGGAGGCTGCTGCATGCACGTAAGGGTGCATACCGTAAAGGTGCATGCGGCGACTCTTAAATCACTCCGCACTGTCGCACGGATGTGCCGTGCGAAGGCCACTCAAACACTCTACTGTTCCTTCCATATCCCATGCACTCACCTGCACACGCTCTATTTGTGCTTCAGGAACGCGCATGTATCGCAGCGCGTCCTGTGTCATGTCTAACCGCTGCCTGCGAGGTGGCCAGCAGGGGGACAGCGTATTGGGGTAATTTGGGAAAGCTGCCCACTTCTGCGCATGATTTTGGGGCAACCCCATTTGCTTGCCCCATTGGGGTAGGGCGTGACTGCTACATGTTTGACTGCATGGCATTCGTTAAACGGAAGACCGCGAATGAGCAGCTTACACAGTAGAAGCTGTCTACAAACTCCATGTCCTGCGGTCGTACTTCAAGCCGTTGTGTTGCGCACCTGTATCGCACGGCAACGGTGTTCAAGTTTGCTACCAGCAGCGCCATGTTTCCCACCACTGCCGAGTAGAAGCAGGCCCCGCACAGGAGCGCAACGACGAAGAACACACGCTCGTAGTTGTTGAGTGCAACTGCGTTATCGCCGACCAGCAGCAAGAAGGACGAGTAGAATGCAGATAAGTACCTGAGCGGGAGCAGGGGTGCATCGCGGCGGCAGTACACGGTAAATATGCATCCAGCATGCAGTCGCGGTATAGTACTGGGGAGGCTATAATCACAACACCGTGTCCCTCCACCACCTCCAAGACCTACGCTACCTAATGAATGCCACCTCTTTCCACCACATGGACTCCCATCGCCTACCCAGCGTACAGCTGGACATCAGCAAGAAGGCGTCTTAGAACCATCGGCCTACAGCATCCAACCTTGTAAAACCCACAGCCATCTCATAGGGTAGGAAGCACTGATACAGCACTGTTATGGTGACAGCACCATAATGGTGCACTGCAGGAAATCCACTTCCATGTGACCTTCCCGTTTCCAGATAAACCCACCATGTAAATTTATTGCCGTCGTGCAGCGTGTCGAAGCCCCACTGCTCCTGCTGCGGCGCATACTCGCTGATGATGTACCAGGTGCATGCCAGCCAGTGAGCAATCTGCGGCAGGCGCGCGGCCATCACAGGCCGGGATGGGGCAGTGAAGGGCCCTGAACCAAGCGTCAAGGAAGGGTCAACATCCACGGTACCAACCAATTGGCGAAAGTCAACCGGTGTCTGCAGTCGAACGACTGTTTGCGCGCCGTGCGTGTAAATGGAACGGTGCAACAGTGTACGGTATCTCACGGATAATAAACAGCCCGACGTCCACCTCACAGCCCATTGCACAGGCCCCTGTCATACATGGTGATACCGTGCAGCGAGTGCCTCCAACCTCTCATCCGTCTCACCATGAGCATTAGGAGGAAGAGCTGCAACACCCGGAGCAGGTTTCCATTGCGAATTCGGTCCAGAAGCCGGCTCATCCTGACATCCGGGTAGCAGTCAGCAGCAACAGGGCACGCCATATGTCATATACGATACGTTGTATCGTATACAACACGTATACAAGAATACAACACTGCTGCTACTGGCGTCCTTCATGATGGTTGGTTTGGGCATGCAGAAACCAAGCCAAGCCAAGCCAGGGTGCGCAAACAAACGACGGTACGACAGCGGTGCTGTTGTTGCATGTCGATACCCCGCTGCCCTTCTCGTACGGTTAGGCCCATCCACACAGGAAACCAACTCTCCTGCTGTTGAACGGACCAGGAGGCGGCTACAATGCCTCTAAACAGAATGCTTACAAGTCACCCGGTTGCGCTGGAGCTCCCTTACACAAGGAACACTACCTCAGTTGCGCCGACCTACTTGATCAGTCGTAGCAGGCGCGGCGTCTTGAGGAACGCGAGGATCATCAGCTGAGACCGGCCGCTCCCCATGCCAGCGGCTGCCCCGATGGCATCGAACGGAACAGTTGCGAAGAAGTCGATGAGAAACCAGGTTTTCAAGTAGTTACGGGCCACGGGCCAGCTGTCACGGACCTGTCCATGAACGGTGCATCGGCGGGTGGTCAATGAAACACCGGGCTTTGGGCTATTACACAAGTGCAACCGGAAAGTGCGACCGGAGGGGCGTATAAGCTGAGTAAAGTCGTACATATGTTTGCTTGGCGCTGTTGACGCCAGACGCCAAGCCATGGACCATGCCACGCACCGGTACCTGCCACCCGCCCGCATGTCCACCCGCCCCAGACCAGAGCCCGGGACCCTACCACGTTTCCGTCGTCGTCATAGTAGCCCGTTCGGAAGCTGACGGCCATGTCCACCAGGTACAGAAACGTCATCACCCACTCCAGGATGAACAGCGCAGGCCAGTCCGGCAGGCCGTACGAGAACGCGAGCGGTACCAGGACCGAGTTGTACAGCACCAACACCATGATGAACAGGTCCCAAGCGGTTTTGGCCCATGTGTGCGGCGCGATCACTGGGAAAGCAGAGTCCATTCTGCCGTGCAAGTTGAAGCGCAGCCACCAGCTGCCAAGGTCCCGAGACACGACGTGACGCAGCGGGACCGCGCTGAACCCCAGGGCCAGCCCGCCAGCGGCGTTGCGGTGCTTGAGGAGCCTGGAGGGCGCACCGCCTGCATGGAGCAGGGTGAGCCAGCCAGCCCGTGGGCAGGAGAGGTGCACAGGTCACATGTCGCGTGTCCTACCTCGCGACCCCTCGGTATTCATGGGCAGGACGAGGCGAACGACCTAACTTTTGGGCATTTGGGCTGTTGGGCATGCATTGGTATGGCAAAGCAATAGCTACCGGTACTCTAGGCCATGGCACTCGCAGCTGCTGTGATAAGTGCTCCTCGTCAGCCGGGAGGCAGAAGCGCCAAGGGGACGCATGAAGAGCCCTCCAATGCTAGGGCGTTAATGCCGTACGGCAGCCGCTATGCATGCCTGCCCGCCGTACCCGGGGCTGCGGTCGTCTGCACCGGCTGCGGCTACCTCCGTCCAAGCCACACGCTAGGTAGGGACTAGGGAGCCGCAAGAAGCCGCTGCCAATTCCCTGGGCATTTTACCAACCAACGTCTCCAACAGTACGCACCAGTGTGCACCCGAACCAGCTGCTGCCGCACAGCAGCCCGCCTATCCAGCGCTACCCAGACGTCTGACTACTGCCCGCTAGCGAGCGTACGGTATGCCGATTCGCCGATCGAGCCCACCTGTTGTGTACGAGCGCTGGAACTGCCTGCTCCAGTCCGTGGAGCCGAGCAGCCAGTTGCTGACCTTCTCCTGCCCGGAAGGGGCACCTGTGGGGCGCAGAGGGCGGATGCATGGGAGGATGACTGGGGTGAGGCGATGGGGACCCAGGCGGTGGTGCGGCACCGTGCGGGCATTTTGCTAAGCAGTTAATGGAGGTGTGATGAAGTACGGAGGGTGTAAGTACAGGCCTGCTGCGCTAGGGGACGACGGACTGGGGGTGATGTACGCTCCGATGGAATGCGGTGGCAGTGCGGTTGGTAGATAGGAAAGCCCACCACAGCAGTTGCGATAAACCTACCTGTCCGTTTCCGCCGCCGAAGTGCTTCCACATTGCGCTTCGGTACAAGCACCTGCTGTTCCTGCATCGTGTTCAGTGCAATTCGAATGGGACGTGCAGTTGCGTAAGGAGAAGCGTGTGGGGGCACGTGTGGGCGAGGGTGGCCAGGGGCGGGGGCCTAGGCTGACCAAAGGGCTCTGCCCTTTAGGCCACGAGCGACCCAACAACGCAAAGCAGGGCTACGGTGTTGCGTCAGCAAGGCCCATCACCAACAGTTCCTTTGGAATGCATGGGAATCTTTACGAATTAGCTTAGGGCAATCGTATTACCCGTTTGGTTAGCATAGGGTCAGGCCAGGGCCAGGCATGGGGCCAACGGCTGCAGCTAGGCAAGGAGTGGACAACGTATCCCTTTACAGCAGCACAATCTCGCCTGGGAATTATTCCACAGCTGTTGATTGCCCCTTTTGCTGGTGTCTTCGAGGGTATCGCTGTCGCTGCTGTCAAGAATGTTGGCCTTGAGCCGCAGCTCGTCGGCCTGCAAGGTAGGTAGGGACACGGGGGGCACCTAGCTACTCGCAAACAGGGATGGGATAAGGGGAAAGCCGTCGGCGAGGCATGTCCGAAAACGTGTGGGGAAACCTCAAACAAAACATTAGTCTATAGTGCAATATAACGGCGATGCTTAGTCCAAATGGGTTAGTCTGGGCAATACTGCTGTCTCTATGATACGCCAATCACAACGAATGCAGCTTAACAAGGTAAAACGCCTATATAGGGGAATGTCCGTGTGCATATGCAAAAAGTGCACTTTGCATCAAAAGAACAAGAAGAGCGCTATTGATAGGCCAACCCAGTAAGCATCACGCACGAATAAACTCATCTATACAACACTCCTTATTTACAAGACCCCCTTCGCGCGACGTACCATTTCATTGACAGCCTCATCGTAGAGCTGCTGCTGCAGAAAAGGTGCGATGACCGCCATTGCGTTGTTTGTAACCCGGGAAGTCCTTCACAACAGGGGGTCCGCCATGAGCGCCCAGGGCGAGGCTACCCAATGCTTAACAAAAAAGCGTTGCGTAGGCTGATCATGGCAGCTACAACAATAATAATCGTAATGAACATATCAGTAGATGTGTATGACGAGCAAACGTGATAACATCGTCTATCCAGGATTCTCATTATTTCCCGTGCTTCGACCACTCGTACTGTGACAGCGAGGGGGCACTCTTACGTCAAGAATGTACTCTATGGTACATAGCTACATACAGCAACTAATCGTGCAGCCAGAATTCGGCGACAAGGGTCGGGCGAAAACCCTCAAACAGTTTCCGTCCTTGACACCTAACTTTGTAGGTGATGGCCTATTGTTGAACCAGCCAATTTCGGGAAAATAATTTGTTCTTAAGCTGCCGCGTGCATATCGCTGGAGTAAGTCCTATAGCGTTTTACAGGCTTTCTCCAGGTTCTGGAGCTCAAGCTGTGAAACTGTCTGGCTAGCAATTCCGAGTTAAGGGTCGTCCCTTGGCGAACATTGATGTAGCATCAGAGAGCACGGTTGGTTGACTGCTTCAATGCTGGCCTGCGACGCACTATTCTTCTTTCCTACTGTAGGGAGAAACGTGCATGCCAGATCTGATTTATACTTGACGTCCAAACCTTATCTACAGCCCTTCTGTCAGGCATAGATACGTGATGGGTTTTAGGCTCGAGGGCTGGTAATACCGGTGCTCCACGCAGGAAGGTTGCAAGACAAAAAATAGGCATGCAGCATAGCCGCATAGGGCTTTCAACCTCTTGCTGTCACGACAGAACAATATTACATGAGGGATGGTTTTGGCAGCACGCTACAGACCAAAATGTACAATGTGCCGTGCAATGGTTTCTTACAGGCTGTACCTACCTGTTCCAGTTCAGCCCACCAAGGGCCCCTCGTATGTATCACATCGCACCACATCATGCACGGTAGCGACCCAGCTTGGCTCAAACTGATATCTATTGTCCAGGACATTTCACCAACAACACTAACATGAGTAAGGTGCCTCATTGACCCGTGCGTCCACCACCGTCAACGTAGCTAGGCTCATGGATGCAAGCATATAGGGTACAGCGGTGCGGCATGCAAGTGATGGCCACGTGGACTAGGTCAGAAAGGCTTACTCCCGCAAAGCTCTACGATCCTCAAAACACAGGGCATGCATCTGTACACGAAGCATGCATGACTCTCCACACCCTGCGAAATATTCCCTGCCCGCTCTACGTTCCTTGGTACATGCCAAGGACCCGGGTGTGTCAGCAATAGGAGGGCGTTGTGCGCAAGAACCTTTACTTCAGCCTTGAATCCGGGTGCCGTCATGTATGTAGCACTCCAGGTCACATAATGTATGGTAGCTTCACAGGGGCATATTCCGACACGCCCAGTTCAGCCTCCTAGAAATCTACCTCGGAGGGTAGCCTGCACAGGGAAGAGACACGGGCGGCGGGAACACATGACCAGACTTACTCATTGCTTTTGTTGCAGTAAGTGCCAGGGCGTACAAGCAGCAGCACAGGCATCACAGCCGCACAGGGATACCAAGATGACACACGGAGGCCTTAATTCAGGGCCTTGCAAGCATATACGCAGCTTTCCGACAACCAAAAGCTTGCAATACCGTACCTTCTGCAACAAGAGGGGGTGAACGGCCGTTCAATACCTACCGTAAGTTGGGGGTGGTGCACCGTACGGCGCCTGGGGCGGAGCTCCGTACGGCGCTGGCGCACCGTACTGTCCGGGAGGCGGGTACGACTGCTGGGGCGGGTAGCCGGGTTGCTGCGGGGCCGACGGGTAGCCAGCGCCGCCAGGAGGTGGGTAGGCGGCGCCTGGGTGGTGGGACGGGGGCCGGGGGCGGCGGCAAGAAGCAAGGTTCAGTTACCACATGAATGCCACGAATCATGCGGGCCGTCAAAACTGGTGAAAGAATGCCTAGGCTTGCAAGAAGCCAAAATTCAACGGCCCGCAACAGTATCAGCGCGGGACGTAAGAGCCGCAGCAGCTCAGGTGCGTTTGGAATTCCTCGAAGCGCCTTGCATTTGGAATTCCCCGAAGCGCCTTCAACACTTAAGGAGCAGATGCGCCGTCCTAGCAGTGTTAGAAAGCCAGACCGTCGCCAGGGATACCGTTACAGAGACGTACCGGGAGGCGGGTAGCCGGCAGGAGCCCCGTAGGCGGGGGGAGGGGCACCATAGGCCGGCGGGGGCGCGCCGTACGCTCCGTAGGCAGGAGGCGGCACGCCATACCCTGTTGCAGTGACGAGGATAGTACCGGTATCAGCTAAGTTTGCAAGCCGGAGGGCTGGCAGCAACGGCGATGAGTGTGCTGGGGGCTAACCAGTCCTTGCACGGCACACTGGCAACACGCAAGGCGCTGTCTGGTTCTACCGTTGCTGTGTGGGCATATATGCGATTCCGTTCACTGGTCTCCTGGGATGTGCCCGCCAGATGACATGCGTGTGCATATCTACTGCCCGGCAGCAAACACTAACCTGGGACTTGCTGAGGATAGCTGTACTGGGCATACTGCTGAGCAGGGTAACCGGAGTAAGCGCCGGTAGCCTGCGATCCAATGCAGACACCGCAGAAGAGGGCAAAAAGCTAAGAATGTGAATAGTGTTCTAGTTGCCGGGGCGCCGGTAACTTTCAACACGTAACTTCCGACACCACACAGGGACCTAAGGGCCCCACAGCAGAGGACAATGCCTGCGACGATCACCCCAGGAGCAGCAGGAGGTCATGCGCTCGTGCCCGACTGGGCCCTAAGCGGCGCGTGGAGCGCGCTGCACGCGGCTGCTGCGCACCTTGTTTGGCGTGAAGACCAAGCTGACCTGCACGAATCCGTGCTGCTTGCCGTGCTTGCTGTACACAGGCGCCTGCATGGTGTCCCTCCCGAACTGACGAGCCTGTTGCAACGTCAGTACGGCAGTTGCGGAAGAAACCTTTAGCTCACATGGGATGAAGCCGAGGCCTGGAAGCGGTTGGATATGTCGGTAGCAGGGGTTACGTACCCTTGCAAGCGAGATCCTCGCGGTGCCTATATTGTCGTCACGGCCCACGTCAGAGTCCTTGATTGTGAGCTCTACGTCATTCTCGTTAATGACGTTGAAACGGAAGGTCTGCGAAGTGCCGCAACACTGTTAAGAGCAAAGAATTGGGAAGCAATGAAGCGCACCCCGCTCCTAATGAACATGACGTCCGCAGGGTACATCTTGCCCAACATCTTGCCTGGTTCCAGACCTGCGCAGGCCATGCGGAAAGGAGTGGCGGGCGGTTAGCGCAGACTTTGAAGAGTACAGCAGGTGGAAAGCGAGCTTCAGGAGGCGCACACGTAGCCGATCATACACGGTTAGCGTGATCGAAGGCAAGCTAGACAGCATGTGTGCGGAATGGCGACAGCTTGTACGGCAAGAGGTCGAACAGCTTGACTAAATGAGTTCACCCCGACCGTCAGGTAGGCTTAACAGTTACACAACGCCGTGGGGTGACCATGGTCTGCAATCAACCACGCCGACACGCCGCACCCACCGGGTTCCTGCCACCGTCTGAAGGGGTACGGCGATAGAAGAGACGTGGGAGTGGGGGCGAGGGCTTGCGTAAGGAGAGGCCATATGTCACATCGACAGCAGTCAGAACGAGGAAACACATACCGGTCGCGGTGTGGGTGCGGAAGTGCTGACCACCAACGCTCAGGACGCAGTAAGGGTCTTGACGACCGAACCTGCATGATGCCAAAGACACAAGGTTGGTTGTGACATCGTGCAACCCCAACCTAGAAACTGTAACAACGTAGATCTGCTTGCGATTCCTGTCGTCCAGTTCCATGCTCACCAGTCCTGAACGGAAGTTGGTCAAAAGTGTCGACAATGCCAAGCCAATTTTTGCTCTAGTAAACGAGCCAATCCACGGCCCAACAAGAGTCATATCACTGTTTACTAACCTTATCCTTCAGGCCTTGGGCGAATTCTATAGTGACCGATACCTCTCCCGCTTCCAGCGCCATGCTGACTTTTGGAATCCGAAGAAGCCACGCGGCGGCAAGAGATAGACACAGTCCCTTGCAGACTTTAGCTACAAGGAAAGTAGTACCTGTAGCTACTCGCAGTTACAGCAGGTTTACTGGGATAGTGTATCAGCCGTCAGTAAGCTTGTTTGGGGAAAGGCTCAGACTGATCATAAAAATTGTTAAAAAGATCGATTGGAATAGCAGGTAGCCAGCCTCGGAGCTGATGCCCAAACGACGTTTCGTCGTGCCATTTGTACGATGCTAGCTACACCCGCATGCATGGGCGTACGTCAAGCCTCCAAGCAGTTTGACATAAAGCTGCTATATAATTACTCGGACAAGACAGGACGGTCCGTTTCCTGGCACTTCCGGCGTTTATACCGTGTCTGCATCTGGACCCCCACCTTCTCCCAGCAGCAAGACTATCGTTGCAGGGATACGAGGCCTGCCGTGCAGCGCGGAGCTTTGATAGAAGCGGTTGCTGGGCCCAGGGGTCGGATGGGGTTTGCCGCCGATCTAGTAATGTCGACACTGTCCCGCAATTTACAACTTCAAGCTTCTCCCCATCTCTGCTGTGGCTTCTAACCGGGCTAGACTGGGCTAAACACACATTCCCTGGCTGTTTCCAGTCTTTCAGGTGTTCGGCTTCTTGTTACTTTGCTGTGGCTGCATTCCAATCACCGCAGAGGCTGGTAACCCCATTGAAGCACGGCGCATTACCCCAAGGCCCCACAGCCCGGGACGTGTCCCCGCGGCACTGCCGTCCTATGTGTTTCTCACGAAATTACAAGGCACAAGAGCGGCGCTGCTACGAAATCCAATTCCCCAAATCCACCAGTGCCTAAGAGGAATACCCACTATCCAGAGTTGCTTCCATGCAAATATCGATGCCGTTTGCCGCTACGCGAAACAAAACATACGTGTCTGTGAATTGAGGCTTGCAACAAAGGCGCAAGCTCTCAACTTGGTACATCCGAAAGCAAGCAAGCAAGCAATGCTAGACCACAACATATAGTACACGTACAACACCTACATAACCACTAGGAGACCTGAAGTTCCACAACGTAACCAGGCGAGGGAGACGTGTACAAGAAACGGATGGAAGCGTCTAAACGGCAAATCATGACAGCTAGGACACCCCGGCCCGTAAACATGCATGGACAAAACCGCGTTCACTCACTCCCCTCCCAAGCTCCCCCGCAAACATACCTCTCTACATGCAACCTAACCTTCTGGGACAGGAGTGTTCATCGCAACGCGGGCAGCAGTGTGGCAAGCCGCCAAAGCTGTGCCTACGACAGCTGACGCTTAGGAAATGACTGAATTCGTCAAAACTTAGGAACTTAAGTTCATCCGCAAGATGCAAACAACCACGACGTCGTCCTTGCGGGTGAACATCAGTGTCGTTGCATGGCCGATAGCCAATTGACGGTTAGCAAAAACACGGTAAGGGTTCACTCTTCTCGGCCCTTGTGCGAAACCACATCGAATAGCCCGATGCCGGCCCCGCAGAAAAGAGGCCGCCCTGCTCCTAACAACATTTACCTCCTTTGGAACGCAAAGCGCCCCGGAAGTCCTATAAACTACAAAATCCATACAAGCCCCCTTCACTTCACTCCCCTCTCAGGTTATGTCTCTGCACAGCAACAGCGCAAGCTTTCCAATAACCGGCACAGCAGCTGGCCCAAGCAGCTCCCCAGTACCTGTACACCGCCAAACAAGTTCGACTACCCAGCTCATTCCCCCCTCTGCTCTCAGCACTCACCGCTCGCCTCTCACAGCCCTGTACGGCAGCATTCACGCCACAGCCCACAAACCCTCAACCCCCACTCCATGCGCTGCTTGTCGTACACACGACAGCATGACCCTGGGCAGGCCACCGCATACCCCACTCCAGAGCTGTGCCCTATTGCAAGCACCAATGCCAGCCCTCGCTCTCTCTCCCCCCCTCGTGGCCATGTGGCCCCCCTCGTGGCCATGTGGCCCTTCGCTATGCTGCCCGAATGGACGCTCTACGCACCGATGCAGTGCTCCCCCGCTCGCAATCCGCTAGCTGCCCACTCCCCTGCTCCGAGCAATTCGCCAGGTCGCCGAGGGAAAGGCACAGGCCATTCGCTGTGAGGATCAGGTCCTTGAACCGATTGAGGTAGTCCTGTGGGGGAAGCACGGGGGTGCAGCGAAGAAGGGCTATAACAGCATGACGCACAGATCCCCAGGGACGCTAGGGCTGGATAAACAGAGCCACGAGGACGCCATGGACTGGGCTGATGATGGGGGCGATGGCAGTTGGCACGCACCTCTACGTCTAGCTTTGCCAGCCACTGGAGGTCATAGTGAGCCCGTCGCCGCTCGTTTGACAAGACTGCATGGGGAGGTAAGGGGGGCGTGTGCATGGTTGGTGGTTGTGGGCGTGTGAAGCCAGGCCCCGTGTGATCGTTGCGCAGGGTTACAAACCCCTGCCTCGGAAAGAAATAACGCTACCGAGAGGGGACCAACCAGGAAGCCAGCCCTACTGGCAACCTTGAATGCAGGACGCGGGACTCCTGAGCCTACGTTACTCCCCCTCGTGGCCCCATGGTGTCACCCAAACCCTCCGGTGCCAACACGTACCCTCATACGCGCACTGTATTTGTTGGAACTTGCGCTTGGCGCTCTCAGAACCACCGTGACGGTCAGGGTGCCATAACTATACATGCAGCAGCGGGAGTTGCAAAACGGAAGAGGGAAGAGGAGCACGGGGTTCAGTGCGTCTGGTGCGTGCAAGGACGACCCAACAACTTGACACAGCCGGAACGAGACGCTGGGACCGTAATACCAAGAGGCTCGGCAGACTAACCCACAGGACTCAATGGATGATACAACATAATTATACTAATGGCGTCAATTCCTGTGCGAAGATGTTCATAACACGGGCACGCAACCCGACGCAAGAAGGTGCGCTCGACAAACGACTGCTGACTGACAACAACGGTGCGCAAGTGCAAACCAAATAAAACGACACGAATGCAGCTCTTCTGAGGGCCAGCAATGCGCACAACGCCAATAACGCAAGCGTTAGAGGCGAGTTTGTGAATCAGGCCAAGTTAGCGTCGATACCGTACCCGCGCGAGCTTCAAGTATGATAACCGTATCTCTTCTGTTGTTGCCTGCAGGAAATTGAAGCAAGCCAGCTAAGCTGCTTGAGAATCGAGGAGGCCCCCGCGCCATAGGCGACGCAAGCCCGAACTAACCTTAAGCGAAACACCCAGGACTTCATACAAGCTTGGCGTCCCTGAGCATTGAGATACGCTAACTGTTTGAAGCGGCACACACATTTCTGACAACTTCAGCCGACAACGTTGTGAGGAACGAACGGTGTTGTATAGATCAAGCCTAAGGACCCTATCGTGCAGTTAGTGAGTTGCCGGCTTCAACGGAGCGTCTGGACCAGAGGTTCATTCAGCAACAAGTAAAGCTAACAGTACCAGCAGGAATGCGCTACTGTTCCTTTTTATTGCACATACATAGCAATGTTGCACCGTGGAGAAAGCAGTAAGCAGCGACAGCATACCTTCATCCGGTCGTACACATGCCTAGTCAGCTGTGGCTATGACCGCAGCTTGTGTATAATGCACCAATCGCACAATGTACATACTATCATATGGACATTATACCGCCTGCCTTACTTGCTGCCCTGTTTATCTTTGGCTTGAAAGCGCCGCGCACGAAACAGCCGAGCCATCAACGACATCGGCAGGGACCTCGGCCTCCCCGCTGGTTCCAGACCGAAGCAGAGATCGGGATAGCCAAAATCTACATTCCGAAGTCCACCCGCTCAAATCCCAAAAGAGTTGAGTTTCATGGTCGTGACGGTTGAACGAGCAAGGCATGTCAAAACTCTTACAACGGGTTTTCTACGGCTTGCCATTCATGGGGTCTTCAACATTCCCAGTTCTTTTGTCTTTAGCAGCAAAATATAACAGCCATGGCTTCGGTGTTTGGTACAGTATCGTGAATTGTTAGTGTGCTGGCAGGTGCTGGTGTGTATTGAGCAGGATTGCCTGCTGAGAGCACTGCATGTGGTAGGAAAGTATTATTTGACTGAATGGCTCACCGTCGTTTCATTCAGTGTACCGGTAGGCGTTTCCTAACTCCTCAACTCTCCCGAGCTGGTTAACGGACAGTTCCCAAAGGATGCATGTTGCAACCATACCATTAATCCCACCTCTTCCGTTCCCGTACTTTTCTCCGTAGCCTCTGCACTATCCGCCAAACCACCTCTATCTTTAAGCGAAGCCCCACTTGCCATAGTGACTGCGAGTATTCTGTCGCACATGGGTTATAAGATGCTGCCGTCTAGCGTTATCACCTTCAATCCTTACAATTCCAGCACGCCTAGACCACCATGGGCCGTTTCCAATCTATGTACTGACATGTAACCAAAATGTTGGTATCCAACCAACTGTACACGTTAAACCAGACCTCTTGTATACTTGCTTTACTTCGCTGTGATATGACAAATACATCTTAGCCTCAAAATTGTGCTCAGTATACAACATACATCGCCGAACCCCAATCAAATCCATTGCCTTCCGACTTGCATCAATAAAAACTGCGTGGGCATTCATCCTTCAGCTGCTTACCATGCCCTTGTTGCTGCAAATGGTTGTAAATGCTGTCCCGTCAAAGTCACATCCATTGCCTGGATTGACTTGATGACCTGTTCTCTCCATGCCACAAACATCGGTCTATATTCATGCTTGCGGGAAACACTGACAATGCCGCCTAAACCAGCCACGACTGCCACTCCTCACCACTCACCTGCCAGTCACTACGCGCCTACGTACATTACTTGCTGACATTGCTGCTGTTATGATCGCTGCACCCTTCCCTTGCCCGCTTTCCTTTCCCAAGCTTCCCATGCCTAACGCCACCCAGGCCCTGACAGAACCGGTGACAGATCACACAAGCACAAGCCCCACCCCATGTATATCTTCCATAGCCTGCCTTGTATCTCTGACGCGCCGCCCTTTGTCTTCCAGTTGATAGCGCTGCAATGCCGAAAGCTCGTGCTCCCCCACCATGCGCCAGGACTCCCTCTCGCTCGCTCCGTTCCATGGCAAAGTGACAACCCTATATGTCACCCAACCCGCCGACTTTGTCAATTAGCTTTCGACAAACCCAGTACCTCAGCTTGCCGATGCCCTTCCTCAGGCCCTTTCACTCTTCAGGCCCTTTCACTCATTTGACCAACTCCTCAATCAGCTCCCCTGAGTCGTACAAGCGCTTGTGGTCGGGGTTCTTCAACACATTGTAGGCCTAACGGGGTAGGGGTAAGGGGCGCAGCGGTGAAGGCACACGCACAATGGAATGACACATGCTGCACCCTGCACTGTACAGATAACACCACCGCCATTTGTTGCCATTTGCTGCAACGTTTTGCCAACTGCAGCCACTCCAATCACCCACCTTTTGTAGTCTTTGGAACTTGAGGCTAGCGGATTGCTGCGCGACGGCATCACCCCCTGCTACCTGTTCGGATCACAGCAGCGGACAGACGGCGTTGGACAAGGCACACAAGCCTTAGGCAAGGAGCACGTATCATGTGCATGGAGAACCGAGGATACATGCACACATGGGCATAGCCAAGACCTCTTCCCTCTCACAACATCACAAGCAAGTAACGTCACCATGCAACGCACACGGCCAGCCACGTCCCCCAACATGCCTACAGCCTTACCTTATCCGGGTGCATCTCCATGGCTTTAGCGCGGTAGGCCGCCTTGATCTCCTCGGGACCGTACGCCGCCACCCGCCGTACATCTAGCCCCAGGATCGCGTAATACCCCAAGGTGTCTACCACCGTAGCACCCCCCAGGGAGGTGGGCCCCGGGCCCATGCCGGGCATGGGGCCTAAGCCCAGGCCTGGGGATAGACGAGCATTTGGGGTGAGGGACGGAGTAGAGAGTTGGTGTTTGGAAGGGCAACAGGCGAACTGGCAGGACAGCAGGGATGCCTGTGTGGCCTCCCTGGTTACAAGGAAGAGTAGGAAGAGTAAGATCAAGACTGCCTTTTCCATGAACCTGAAGACCCATAACGCCATCACCCCCATGCCTCCATTCCCCCACAAGCATATCCCCCATCCTGCACGTCACCGGTACCACCTACCGTCCCACATGGACTGCCAGGACCAGTTGCTAGGCGCCGCCTTGGCCCTGCTCGCTCGGTTCTCCTCCGCCTCCTCCTCAGGCTCCAACTGTGGGGCCGGGAGGCGAAGGAGAGGCATGACAGGCACGTCACGCCTTATGACACGTCACAGCACGTAAGGACACGGGAGTTTGGGATGATGACAGCCCTAAGCCAGTTTACAGTTTGCTGCAAACATGGCAAGCCCAGGCAAGCTCTAACATGCCTTTTGAGGGGCATGACAGGGGCTGTGCAAGCTGGAGAGCATGGTAGCCGAGAGCTCGGCACCCCGCAGATAGAGAGGATGTACGACATACCTGGATCTTGCGCAGGGGCGTGTCGGGCCCGATGAGCAGGCGAGCCAAGTTATTGAGGCCCTGCTCCGGGATCTTGCTTAGCGCGCCTGTAAGGCAAAGATCATGTTGGTCAGTGGAAGGAGTTTAGTAGGCGAGTAACGGGGCGGGTATGTGTGCAGCATGGAAGGCAGCAATCACAGCGTTCGTGTGAGGTGAGGACTTGCTTGCGTGGAGGAAAGGGCAGGGAAAGCGTCAGGAGTATTCGTGTTGGGGCATGGAAGGGTCGGCAAGCGCCAGGTTTGTTCAAAGCTTTCTTATAGGCGCCGTTCGGGGTGGGGAAGCCCCCTATAACGGTGTAGCTGGATCAAAGCAAAACTAACGTCATCGTAGTTCTTTGGATCTGGAAGGTCGGGAAGGGGCACACTACAAAACGAAAGCTATGAAAGCTGGTTAGGGAAAGACCCGTGGGTCGCACCTGACAACAGCGGCTGCAGCGCGCCGGCAAAGCTCTTCAGCTCCAGCTTCTTTATGTATCGGATGTTCGTATAGTTGCGGTCCTGCGCATGAAAAGAAACAGTTCAAGGGGAGTGGATGGTAGGGGTTGCATACTTAACAGCGTTTGGGCATGCCAGTAAATCCTTGCAACCTGCTGGACCCCTCTGAGCAATCCCTCTTGCATGCACGCGGGACTCAATGGTCCCAGGTAACGCATTGCAGTTCCCTAAAAAGATTCAAACCACCTGCAGGCCCCAGCCCAGGACCTAGGAGGGGTGGAAAGGCTGAGCGCCCGAACCCATTCGTCGGCAACCGTTAGAGCAGCGGGGAGCTCACCGAGGGGTCTTCCATGAAGTGCAGCTGGTGCACAGCGGTGTGCACCGGGCTCTCGGCGCTGTAAACCACTTTTCGCCCCGGCGTGAGGTCAACGATCTCGTATCTGCAGCGTTGAACGACAACGTCCCGCTTGGCAAGTGGCCGGGCTTTGGCTCTGCAGCACAGCTTGGGCAACAGCCAGCAAGCAAACTCACTGTGACGTGTGGTTCATACGCAAGATTGTGCGTTCTACGGTATATACGTTTTTTACATTGATGCCCTCCCCGCGAATTCGTGTAACTGAGGCCACGCCTGCGAAGTCCATGAGCAACAAAGGCGGTTAGGAGAGTCGCAGGAACATTGGCTTTAATCGGCATTGCACTTACCTGGATACCATTCTGGCAAGTGTTGGAAGTCAGCTGTGTATTTAAACACCCGCTTCACCGAGCCCTTTACTCTGCCCGTTTGAACATGGGAGCAGGGAGTTTAAGAAGTGCCGAGCATTTTCACAACATATTGCATAAATGCCCGTATGTCTACCTTACGGAGGCGTCATACTGCTTACAAAGAACATTTAACGTCGCACGCCGAAGGGAACGAGGCCCTGTAACAGGCTGCGCGCTGCGGCCAGAGAACGATGCCTGCATTGGTGGGCTAATGCTTTTAAGCAGATCACTACGTTTTAGGCTTACGGTTGCTAGCCCATCATGTTTGCAAAAGCTCCAAGTACGGGGTTCTGGAGCTGATGCGTATCTCGTTTCATACCTTGCCGATTCAGCCCAAACACTTGCAAGCTTCTTTAAAGTTAACTGCGTAGAGACATAGTGCTTTCCGGGATTTAGGCGGTCGGCTTAAGCCGCAGCCCTACGACTACCGCAAGCATGCAAGCGCCGCGACTTCCCTACGGCACTTCTTACCATAAAAGCAGTACCCTGCGGGCTTACACACATCATAATGCTATTAGAACCCACGGTTCAATTACGCACTTGTTGCCTCCAGCTCCCGGACGCACCAGGTCCAACCGATCCCGAACCGCAGCCTCCGAAACCCCCTCCGCAATCACATCCACCTCCACAACTCCAGCTTCCCAACTCCACGCCTTCTCCTCCTCCCCTCTCCGCAGCCCTTTCACCTCTCAACCTCCTCCTCCTTCTCCTCCTCTTCCTCCTTCACCCACCTCCTCGCCTTCGCCTGCACCCGGCCTGTGCGGTCTCCCAGGCGTTACCTCGCCCGCTCACCTGCACGCCTATTGGCGGGATGTCGTACGACCTCGCCTTGACGCCCTGCTCCGAGCTGCCTCCCTGGAGCCCCCCGGGCCCGCCCTCCTGGGCCTTATCGACCGCTTGCTTGCGGAGCTCCGAAACACAGCGGTGCCGGCACGCCATGCGGCGAGCTGCCATGTGACGGCTGAGTGGCGGGAGGCGGCGGAGGAGGTTGCGGCGGCGTGCAGCAAGTACGAGACATACATTTTCCAGGTTAGTAGGGATTTATTATTGTAGGAATGGACTATTCCTAGATTTCCTACGGCTTGTGGAACTCTACTATGTGTGTTGAGCTACCTTAGTTCACTACCGGTATGGCGCGAGCACGGTGGCTGCCTTGCAAGATTCCTTCCTTGTTCATCCCCTTCCTTCCTTCCGCCCCCAGGCTGCGGATGCGCAGCTGCTGTCCGCGCTGCAAGCCACCTCGCAGCGCCTGACTACACGGCTGCGTAAGCTCCAGGGGGGGCCTAGCGTGCACGGGTCCCCCATGCCGAGCCCGGGGGAGGCACGCCTCGCGCAGGCGCAGCATGCGGGGACTCCAGGAGGTGCCGTGAGGCAGGCGGAAGGTGAGGGAGAGCAGCAGCAGGAGCAGCAGCAGGAGCAGCAGCAGCGGGAGGAGGAGGAGGGGCGGCGGCAGGTGGCGGCTGCGGAGTTGGCTGCGGTGCGGCGGCAGTTGCGGCTGGGATGGCTGCTGCGCAGGTCGCTGCTGCGGGGCGGAGCGGGGCTGGAGGACGAGGAGGGGCTGGGGGCGCTGTTCGCAGTGAGGGTGAGGAGGGGAGGGAGGAAGGGTAAAATGAGGAAACTGACGAGCTGTATGGCTTTATCATGGGGTTGCTAGGGAGGGAGGGGTGTGTGAGGTAGGGGGCTGTGAGGGTAGGGCAGGGTAGGGTTGGAAGTGGAGGAGGTGGGTGGGTTGAAGGGGCGCTTGGTCCTCCTGACCCACTGCCACCCGCGTAGATCCAGTTCGCTACTCCGCAGCCCACATGCGCCGTTTCCCTGTCCGAGGTCCTCCCTCGAACCCACCCACCCACCCACCCTCTGTTCCCGCCCTCCGCCACCCCATGCGCCCCCTGCTGTTTACCTAATCCCCTGCTGTTTACCTAATCCCCTGCTGCGTCCCCTGCTGCAACCCCCAGTCTGCCCCCAGCGGGGCCCAGGAGCGGCTATCCCGGCTACTGGAGGCGGAGAGGCGGGCGGTGGAGGCGGTGGCGCAGGCTGTCGCATCGGGACCCGGGCCGCCGCTGGCGCTGCCGGCGGGGCGGCTCCTGTCGGCCCTGCCTGTACGGCAGCAGGAGCAGCAACCGCTGCAAGGGGAGCCACTGCAAGGGCAGGAGCAGCAGGGTATTGCTGTGCGTATTGATCCAGGTGCAGGGGGAGCAAGCAGAGCAGAAGGGCATGGAGGAGTGGGGCAAGGAGAAACGCGTCAGGAAGGGGAGGAGGGAGAAGGAGGAGGAGGAGGGGAAATGGACTCCGAGTTCAAGGTGCTACTTTGTGATCCGCTGCTAGGCCCTATGCTCAAGGCTGCAGCGGCGGCAGGTGTCCCATGGGTCGGCGTCGGCCTTCCGCTGACGCCAGCCAACCTCCGCACCATCCTTCGTTATCACCCGGTCTCTGCTGTACGACAGCTGTCGTACGAGCTGGGGCTACTTCCCCGCTTGGCGGCTGCCCTGCAGCAACTTGGGGAAGTAGCGGCTGTACGACAGGAGATGGCGGCGATGCTAGGGTACGACTCATTCACCAGTTACAGCTACAGCCGTACAGGTCTGGCTGTAGCGGATGAGGATGTGGTTTCGGAGCTGCTTCAGGTGCGTCAGCAGCGGGGCTGCGGGGCCGCGGTGGTGCGCGTTAGGCGGCGTGCTGAGGGTGCTGAAGGAGGGGAGGCCCCCTTGTGACACGATTCCTAAAGTACGGTAATCCCCACCCATCTGCATTCCTGTTGGCCCATCACACTTGCACGCCTGTTACCCGTGTGTTTCTCGTTCTTTGACATGTGTTGCGATATGAAGGCTTGTGTGTGCGTGGGTCACCCCAATTCTGACCCGGCTCAACTACACTCAGCCGAACCCGCACCATTCCCGATTGTATGCTTGCTTCTTCACATCCCGACCTAGCCAGCAGCACATGGGGCAGCTCCCTGGCCTCCCACCGCACCTTGCCCTCCGTACTTCCTTACTGTCTGACCTCCTGACCTCCTTACTTCCTTACTTCCTGACCTCCTGGGTCCTCCTGACCTCCTGACCTCCTGACCGCCCACCGCTCGGCTGCTCAGGCTGTCGCACAAGCGCTGGGTCCAGCCGCAGAGGCGGAGGTACGTGTTCTGGACCCCACCGCTGACGTGCTTGGTGAACGCGGGATATGTGAAGCTTCGGAATGGCCCCCCTGTTTCTGTGCCGCGATGGGGCCCCAGACAAACTCAACCCACGTGACCCCTGCAGGTGAGGCTCTTGGGAGAGGCTCTGGCGAGGGGGCAACAAAAACACGAAGAGGCCCCTCAGGCGGCAGCATCGCGATCAGCGGAGGAGCGTGAGGAGGAGCGTGAGGGGGTTGCGGAGGCCGAGCGGCGAGGAGCTGGGGAAGCTGCATGTGCCGGCGACAGCAGCAGCGGCAGCAGCGACACCCCCCTAGCAGGTCTGCACGGCAGCAGCAGCGGCGGTGAGGAGAGTGGCAGCAGCAGCGATGGCACGCGGATGGCCCCCTGGGATGTGGACCATGCGGAGGCTGTCCTACTGCGGCAGCTGCTGCCTGCGGGTGAGGCTCGGCGGAGGGGGGGAGGGTGATGGAGTGGGGGTGGTGGTGGAGTGGAGGTTGGGTAGTGGCTGATGACCCATGCCTTGTCACTTTTCCTTGCTTGCAGACTCTCATCCTCTTCCTTTTTTAGACCGCTCGGGGCATAACCCGACTCCTTCCTCCCTTACGGCTTGCTGGTTTGCCACCATGCCCATGCCAATCCCGCAGACGTCGCCTCCCTCCTGTCCTCCGAGTACATGCAGCTGGGCAGTGTCCTCAGCGGCCTCAGCGACTTGCTGCATGTGCTCATGGGGGTACGACTGCAAGTAGAGGCTGCTGACGTCGCCAACATTGCCAACCGCAACGCTAACGGTCGTGTTGGCGCAGCAGCCGGGGTGTTGGGGCGCCCTGAAGCGCAGCCTCAGGATCAGCCGCAGCCTCGGCCCGGGGCTCAAGGGGTAGTTGAATCCAATGCAGAGCTTTGGGACCCACGGGTCATTCGTGTGACGGTGTGGTCGGAACGCGTTGACCATCAAGGGTTTTGCCCAGGGCAAGAAGAGGAAGGAGGAGGGGCAGTCCTAGCTGGCGTAATCTATCTGGATCCGGGATCTGGGTACGGCACACGACAGCTCAGATTCCCGGTTGCAACAGCTGCAGCTAATGAAGCGGCATCAGGACATCGACCACATCAGTCTCCAAGTACCATGCCGGGTGATATTGCATCAGTGCAAACAAAAGCGCCGTCGTCGGTGTTGGGGGGTGTCATCGGTTTCAGCAGCAGCAGCAGCAATGCTGACGGCGACAGCGGTTTCAGAGCGCTGCCGTACGAAACCGTTCCGGCGGTGGCAGTCGGCCTGCAGTACGAATGGCGTGACGGCGTTGCAGGTGTGCCGTACATACGTCCGTGCTGCCGTACCGCAGAGCTATTGATCAATTGCCTCAATTGTCACTTCAGCTTAATTTTTACCCGAACCCTGGCGCATAACAACGCATGCGCATATCAACGCATATCAATGTCTCCAGCTCCAGCCGCATATTAAAGGAGCCGCACGTGCTCTCCAGCCCCCCGCCTCGCCCTCCCGTTCTGCCGCCCACAGACCGCCCCTCAGCCCTCCACGAGCTCCTCCACGAGACCGGACACGCACTGCACCTCCTCCTCTCCTCCTCCCCTGCCGCTAGCAACAGCAACAGCCGCGATAGCACTGGCAGCACACACCGCAGCACCGCATGCCGCCAAAACGCCATGCACTTCGGCGGCCTGCAGCTGCCCCTGGACCTGCTTGAAGTGCCCTCGTCGCTGCTGCAGTCGCTGTCGTACGACCCCGCGGCGCTCGCATGGCTCTGTCGCCGCCGCCGCCAACTTCCCCCCTGCCGTCCACATTCGAAAATGCGATCCTGGCACCAAGAGCAGCAGCAGCAGGACTTACAACAGAAGCAGCAGCAGCAGGGGTCAGGGCAACGAGTGCAGCCAGAGCTCGAAAAGGAGGAAGCAAAGCAGCCGGTGAAGGAGGACGGAGCGCAGGGAGGAGCGGAGGAAGGGTGGGAAGAGGAGAAGGAGGAGTTCTTGCCGGCTGAGCTCTGTTCCCAGCTGGCCACCTACCTGGCGGCTGAGCACTGCAGCGCGCTAGGAGTGGAGCGCAAGGTGCGGTATACGGCAGGCTGATGAAGTGCTGGCGGCGTGTGTCGTACAGATGTGTCGTACACACTGACCCTCGCCAACCTGAGGTTCGGACTTGCTGCACAGCCCCGGCCGCCATCCCAACCGCGCCATGCGGCATCCCTTCCCCCGCAGCTGGCGATGCAAACATGAATTCTGACACTTGGTGACCTTCTACTCATTTCTCCATTCACATATTTACAGCCAGTTGCGTGTACCGTAACCCCATGTGTTTGTCGCCCTCCCCCCCCCCCCCCCGCAGGTGCGGGCCAGCCTCGTGGACCTTGTGCTGCACTCCGCCGATTGGGCCGGCCAGCGGGGGGGGCCATCATCATCATCATCATCATCATCATCATCATCATCATCATCATCATCATCATCATCATCATCATCATCATCATCATCATCATCATCATCATCGTCATCATCGTCATCACCAGCAGCAGGGGCCGCCGCGGCGGAGGACCTCCCGCTGGGAGCTGCTGCTGACGTGGCGGAGCTGTGGCTGGCGGTACGGCAGTCGTACGGCAGTTTGCCGTACTGCCCTGCCACACTGCGGGAGGTAGGGTGGGTTGCGTGGGTGGCTGGGTGGGATGCGGGTGCGGAATGCGGGTGGTTGCTGGGGGCGACGTAGTCATGTGGGGTAGCAGTGGAGAGGCTATATCGCTATATGTCATGGGTAGGGGTGGTGTACAGGCTGCACGGAGTAACAGGCTACAGCTTACACTGAATGTATCGCATTGGATCTTCGGAACGTGCTGCTGCTGTGTGCTGTTGTGTGTTCTGGGGTCGGCAGTGAACGAACGTCCAGCGCACCGTGTTACCAGCAGCCCAGCAGCGACCCAGCCTAAGCTTCGGAACCCGGATTTCCTGCTCTGTTTGCAGCTGGCGGCGCTGCCCTCCCTGGCGCACTACCAGGCAACCTTCCACGCCTACCTCCTGGGCCTCGTCGCGGCGAGCTGCTTGCGCCTGGCGCACCCGCACATCCCACCCCCACCCCCACCGCCTGCTGCTGAAGCAGCCGCTGCTGCCGGGCCGAGGCTTGGGCGACGGCCTTGGGCGGATATTCGGCGGGATGTGTTCGAAGCGGGCGCCGCGGAGGACCCCGAGGAGCTCCTTCGTCGCATGCTGTCGCAGTCCCCGCGGCCGTTGCCAGCAGAGCTGCCGCCGCCAGCAGCGGGGCTGGCAGGGGCAGACGCGGCGGCGGCGGCGCAAGCGGGAAGGACGGCGGCGGGGCGGCAGGCGGGTGTTCATCCGCCGTGGGGGCCTACTGGGGTGCCACAGGGTGTGGAGGGCATGGCGGCATGCGGGGAGCAGCAAGGGGCGGCGGTGGGGGCTGCTGCTGCTGCTGTGCCGGCGGCTATGGTCGCGCTGGCGCGTGTGGGGAGGGCGATGGTGGGTTATAGGGAAGAGGAGTAGGGGGTGGCATGCGGGCTGTGGCATGCGCCCCATGTGAAGCAAGGGCCCTTTGGTTGGTGCCAGAGCGTGGTAGGGGGTTTAGGGGGCTTCTCTGCCTGCTGGAGGCACCGAGTGACTCGGTAAGACAGATACTACGGTAGCTGCTTACAGCAGGTATATATGCAGCTGTCGCTTGTAAGGAATACCGTATGAGGCCACGTCAGCACGTACGGACCACCAAGGCAGATAGGCAGATGGGCCGCGGTGCATCCAAACTGCGGCCTCATCAGGGGAAAGGAGGCCGGCGGCCCAGGGGTATGTACGCCGCTCAACAGCACCCCACGCCGCCCCACAGCCCCGTTCCACATGCGATATGTATGTTGACCCCCTGCTCAGCCGTCTAGTCGTTATTGATGTAATAAGCGCCATTGCATGCATGCGCACCTCTTCGGGCGGCAAGCCGCTATCTAGCTACTAACGCCGACCACCTTGTATATCTCCTATATCGCCTTAAACAAACTTTGGTATTGCATCTATCTCGCTTCCACTGCCGTTGCGGCAGGCTTGCGACAAAGTTCCTCCAAGCTGTGCTCCTGGGCTTAATCCGCCGCCCCCCGTCGTCATTATTATACTCCGTCACCGCCGTTCTTCCATCCGCCATCCAGGCATCCACCCAACCTCGGCTGCCTACTCGTGTGCTATAATATGTTCTCTAACAGCAGCACCCTGCGGCACCCTGAGGCCAAAACATAATAACAAAGTATCATGAATGTATTGAATGTGAACCGACATGAAAGCCCCACCCAACACATTACCACCCGCCCCTATTTTGTTAGGGGATGGGGCACACATGCACATGAAGGCAATCCACCCTTGCGCCCTAAGCGATTGTCCTTCACAACCATCTCACGCAAGAGTACACAGGGTTGCCGGACACAAAGCTACCGGTAACCAAACATAGGAGGTAGAAACCAGTGGGAAAATGCTAACGCAGAACTCTGCCATCTGATTTATTGACCTAATACGGATTCCATTCATGCACCTCTTCGTTCGTCGATTTACTGAACGACAGGTACTTCCCAGATCCTAAGAAACCCACCCACAGCAAACGCTACTGCCAAACAGAACTACAGTATTGTTCTTGGGGCTGAGGCGCCATTAATTACTTTGACCATACATTATGACAACTATTCAACCTAACCCAATTTGCAATCCCTTTCAGCACGAAATGACCCATGGTTCACACTTTGCCACCACATGCTGACCAACATGGGCATCCACCCAGCCATAACGTTCAACCCGCCCATAAGTAAATAGTCGTGAACTGCACATTCGCAAAGCTAAAGTTTAGAGTGCCGTACGTGATACATGCATGATACATACAGCAGCGCAGAAATCCCCAAACCAAACAACCCTTTCCATGTCATGAAACCACACGCATATACCGGTATATTGCACGACATATTTGGCTGATTAAACCAGCTTTTTTCTCTCGGTTTGCTCCAAGGAATACAGGCCACTGCAACACCCATTCGCCCATGATGTAAACAAAGGAAATCCCTGATGACCTGCCCCGGTCTTTACTTGGTGTACTTCTTCTGAGGCACTTATTCACCTGCCTCACATACGGTGCACTTACTTGATGATGCATCCAAGTGATTCCAGCGTTCCTTGCATGACACAGCAGCAAAAACACGCACCTTAAAAGCCTACATCTCTTCAAAACACAAAATGACGGTTCTGCGCGGCTCTCAACTTGAAAGCCACTCAAAACTTGCATTATCTCGAACTTCAAGTCTTCAAGGCCGCCAAATGGCGCATGCAGCAATCAACGATGCGGCCAGGAACAAAGGATCAATCCTCAATTACTTCAGGTAGAGATTGGCAATGGACAGCTGACAGTATGCGAGAGCAAACCTCCCCCGACCCCTTTCCCAACAACACAACCAACACCACCTCCCCTGTGTTTGATAACTGGCAGCTGCTGTCTACACACCAGCAGTTGACTGTACACACACCTGCGTTGCAATTCGATAACGTGACCGCGGCTGCAGCCGACTTTTCGCTCAGCATGTGACAAAATAAAGGTTTAATACATGGCATCGTGGTGCATGCCGCAAGAACACTTAACGAGCGAGTGCCGGACGATGAAGCTTCCTTATTAGGCAACTTGGCAAAAATCCGTTAAACGGCGGCCCACCTTCACATAGCCACAATGCCAACCACCGCAACCCACCTATGCTTCATGGGAACAGGACCAGTGCATGCGCCATTTCCTCCCATGCAAGTTGTTTCCATAAATACTGCGAGGGCTATCCAAGCAAGGACCTCCGTTCCTGCTGCTGCCACCACAAGTACAATGTAGTACAAGAGGAATAACAAACAAACTATGATGCTGGATGAACAACCAACTACAGTGAAGTGCTCGTACCCCGATGCATGATGAGCGCCAGTGATGCCCACCCACAGAACGACTCGCTCTGAGCCTCACCAACAGATGCCTGCTGCGCTATCAAAAAAGGTTTAAGCGTGTTATTCCCCTCCCCCATGGACGAGCCTGCTGTAACACGGACGGCAGGTGGAACGCTGCCGCCACCAACCGCCGTAACCCGATTAAAACCTGCAAATCCGAATACCCGCCGCCCAATGTCGCCAGCCGAGCATTGCCAACACAGGCAACCGGCTGGTATGACGAATTGCCAGTTTGCCCACCACCATTATCACTCCCAATGATGCACAATAAACGTAGGTATCACTGACATGCGCGGCTTGAGTGAGTCCATGTTGCAATTCGCAAGGCTACAATACAAGATTCCTAAAGGGACAACGTCTCGAGAGGCCTTTAAGGACCTATGTTACAGTCCAAGGCGCAGTATCCTATCTAGGTGCTTGCCTCATGACGCCTCACGGCGCCTTACTTTGCACGCTGCTGCTTCGCGCTCTTCAAAGTCTGCTCCAGAGTGCGGATCTCGAAAAGGATCTGCGAAAGGTGCGTCGCCGGACGCAGGAAAACAGTAAACGGAAGTTAGCTTGATTAGTAACCGCATGCAGTGCGGATGCTACTAAGAACAGGTACCGCAGCAGGGGGGGCGGGCAGAGATACCAGGAAAACGAGTGGGTGGTGCCGCAGAGCAGCACATGCTGCCTTGGGGTACTGGGCACTAATGCAGCATTCCTACGTTGTAAAGACATCATGGGTATGTGGGTGTACGAAGAGTACTGTGTGCCCACCTGCTTAAAGCTGGGTCGGTCCTCCGGCTTGCGCGCGATGCAGCGGTAGAAGAGGGGTGCGAGGTGCTCGTGGTGACCCATGGGCCACTCCGGTTGCAAGCCCTCAGAGACCACCGCCGTGAGTGTTGGAACTGCAGGTGGGATTGTTCGAATGAAGGGGTGTCAAGGGCATTGGAGGGACAGTGTGGTCTTAATAAGGGAACTACACATTGAGGAGGCATGCAGGGCTCTGACAGCGAACATGCACGGCGCCCTTCAATGGGCTTCCAAGCAACCGCCGCGCTGCTTCGTTCAAGCCCTGCTATCAAGACAAAGGGCGCCAGACAGCACCCAAACACCTCCCCAGGTGTGTTTCGTACTTTCCACAGCCCCCAAACACCTACTCAGGTGTCGCCCAGCAAAGGGCATCTCCCCAGCTGCCATGACGTACAGCAGCATGCCGTACGAATACACGTCGGCAGATGCGCCACCTCCAGCACCACCAACGCCTCCTCCTCCTCCTCCCCCAGCACCAGCAGCAGTAGCGCCGTCCCCCACCATCACCTCAGGCGCCAGCAGCACCATGCAGGGGCCCACAGTCAGCAGCGGATTCGCAGCGGCGTGCTGCAGGCTTTCCGAGCCCACGTCCGCTACTACCGCCACGTAGCCCCGTCGGTCGGCTGAAGATCTGCGCAGCAGCACGTTGGACGGCCGCAGCGCGCCATGCACAATGCCCTGTGCATGCAGAGCCCGCATGGCCGCTGCTACCTCCCGAGCCGTACGCAGCAGCGCCCGCTGGGCTACGTGCAGCAACCAGGAGCGGCTGGGCTTGAAGGGTGAGGTGCTGCCGCAGGATAAGGAGAGGAGGTTGCCCTGCAACAGAGACGGCGGGGCATGCACGTGAAGGTATTGGGGGCGAGCAGGGAGGAAAAAATTAAATAAGTGAAACAACGAGTCCCAATCCCATATCCCGACTCATGCAGTGAGCAGGGAGGTTGCGGTTGGGAGGCATGGGGATTGGACAGGGTGGGTAGAGGTTGAAGGGCGGTTACTAGGCGACCAGTCGAGGACCGAACGGAGGCGCCTGCTGGTTGGTCTGGGTAATGCCGCGGCCGCGTTGGAGTGAAACCACTGGTACATGCATGCGTCCCAGGTTGGTTGCCCCGCTTAGTTCGCACCATGTCGCAATACTCTGTAATGGCAGCCACCACGCAGCCACCCGGGTGCAGAGGCAGGGCCGACAGCGCGCGTTGTGCGGGCGATGGTGGGGCCGCATCAGCGACGATGCATATTGACCCAGTTGCTGAAACGACATCGCCTGGAAAGACGGTCAGCGAGGGCGCGGAATCCGTGGTGCTCCCTGCGACAAAATACGACAAAGGCAGAATAGGCGGGCCCTCTGCTTAGGATTAGGAGTCATAAGCTGGGGTTACCCAAAGGCGCTAGAGTATATCGGTGGTTGGCGATTATCTACTTTAATGTGGCCATATCCCCCCTCCCCACACATAGCCATGGCCGTGTTTGGCACCGCCGCTTGCCCGGGTATGGTACGACGGTCGAACGGTGACCTTGAAGCAGGTGGCATCCACCCGACTGACTCGCTAGACATGGAAGGACCTTGCTCCGCTATCCGGTCACACCCATCTACAACACCTACGTCCGCGGCACCTGCTACCCCGTTCCTTCTCGTCGCACTTTGATGTCCTTACCTGGCGTTTGCAAGGGTGGCATGTTCAGCGCGAGGAAGCGTTGTAGCCGACCCATGGGTCTGCACCGATCAGTCCAGCCGGACCTCAGGGCGGTTGCCTGAATCGGATCTAAGCTCGCGGCGGTTTGCTCGTCCACCAGCGCCGCCCGCGTGTCATATACATTCAACAGGTTGGGGTGGCGCACCCCGCTTGCCCTGGTAGTCGCAAGCAGCTGAGCTGTGGCGGCGTCTGCTGAGGGATAGCTGGTGAGTTTGACCACAACCTGGTTGCCATGCCAGGTGCCTGCGAGGGGCACAGTAACGAACATGCGCAGGACACGCTCTTTGTCACGTGGGGTGGACATGCGGGGTCCATGCCAATATGACATATGCGTGGCGGTGTCGACTGGTGCAACACCCACAACAGCACTTTCTGTCAGCTTGCGATCGCCGCCGTACCCCACAACTGCCAACATGCCAAGCAAGTGCCTCCAGAACAACACCGCACCATCACCCACCCAGCCATGCACCGCCCAAGGCGCCAGGGCGCGCAAGGCTGGTCAGGTCCCCCAGGTCTGCCAGCATCTGCAGCGGGCATGGCAGCAGCACGGCTAGCTGGCCTGGCTGCAACAGCAGCTGCTGTTGGATCTTCATTAAGGACGCTCCCTCCCGCTCCGCAGCGTCCACCAGGGCAACCGTCGCGGTGGGTTTACCCGGGGCCGCTGATTCGAGGCGGACGTCCTCAAGGGAACGCGGCAGGTGGCTTTGGCCTTGCGGAGCACCCACGTCTGACTCTGCTGCACCGACCTGGCAGGGCTCATAGGAGTCCTGAGCGTCGTGCGGGTGTGTCATGGTGGCTGAAGCGGCGTCATCGTCGTTCGTATCACGCCGGAACGCAGGGAAAGCAGCAGACCAGGTTTTTGGCTCATCAGGTTGCACCTTGCCAGTGACTGCAGCGGGCAGTTGGGAATACACGGCGAGCAGGAACAAGCCCTTGCCACGGTTCGGCTTGATGCTGCCGCACGCAGCTGGAAAGGCATCTTGGTCCGCCGTCACGCCCTTGGCGAAGGCTGGTATGCATGGCCCTGCACTGAGCACCGAAGACGCTGCTGCGCCTAGCAGGCCGTAGCCTGCGACAACATCTTGGCCGACCTCCCCGGCCGATAAGCGAGTTGCAGCACTTGCTAGGACAGGCTCGGACTCAACGGTAAAATTTGGTGAAGGTTCCATGGCTGCATTCAACGGACCTTTCACACCCTGTCTGCAAGGGTTTGGAGGCTGCTGGTGACGATCTTCGTCCGGGCCTTTGTCAGAATTGTCCAAGCTGAGCCGCTTGCCTGCAGTCAGCGGTGGGTTGCAAGCACGTGGCAGCGGTTGGCGACAGCATTCGAGCCAGGCCAGGGAAGACGAACCGGCATCACATGCGCCTTAGCGTAGTGTTACCTGTGGGTATAGTGTTGTGCTCATCAGGCTCGTAAGCTGAGAACATGTTGTTGCTGCTCGTAACGGACCACATGTCGCAACACTTTCTGGTGAGTGAGGAAGCAGTGTCCAGCGTTGTCACTGCGCATGCACGGGCTCGCATATCTGATAGCATTGATTCGATGAAGAGTGCTGTTTCACTCAGATGGGGATCGCTGCTGGCTTCTTCCTCGAAGTATGAGAAAAGCAGCATTGACTCAGCGCGCGCGAGGCCAATGGAAGACCTCCCTTCAGCACTCGCTAAGCTAGAAGTTGTTGAGGAGCCGAGTGCGTAGCTAGACGGCTGGCCCTCTTGCGCTGGGGCTCTTGATGTACTGGTGCTCGGCGGACGACCGCGCCCTCCAGTGAAACTTCCGCCTGCGCTGTTGCTGAAATGTATGCTTCGCCGACCCTGTGGCGCTGATATGGGCTGACTGCTTCCATCGATGTTATCGAGGCTTGACGCGCAGAAGCACGAGAAAATCCCCGGCAAGGTAAAACGTTTTGCTACACCAACCATGTGCACCTCAGTTTATCAGTAACCTGATCAACTAATCATTGAAATATAAAATGCGAAGGTCTGCCCACCCCTTGTCCCACTTTTTAAGTATGTACCGGTTCGTGCACTGTAGCAATGATCCGGTGAGCAGGATGTTGTGAGCAATCAAAAAGTTTCATGAAAAATAGGTTTGGACCATTGGCGTTTGATATTCTATGGCATTAGTACGATATGACCGTCGTCAACAGCTTGCCTAATATGGAAGCGCGCACGATGTCAGATGCACAGCATCCAGCTAACAGGTCAATCTCGCCAAAACTAAGTCCTGCACTGTAACAGTTGTGCACTATGCGTAAACCTTGCATTGAGCTTGCCCTAACATCAGTAAACGAAGAACGGAACTCCATCCGCAGGTACAGCGGTACTGCAGCGTACTTTCGCAATATCCCAATACCGAATTAACGCTTAATATAATATATGTCAGGTACGGCGGCGTGGAGGCGGTTGGGGTTCTGGGGTAGCTGTCTGAAGAGAGGTATGAACGCGATGGAGCGAACACCAGGCTCTCCGGGTACCGTATTCGTACGAAGCGGGATCATGATCGGGCGGGTTGCATCAAGGCACGATGCAGGTGGGCGGACTGATGCGCGCCTGTTTGCATGCGTGTCCTCACATACGGCACCTGTCCTGAACACGACCTGATAGCCCGACCGCTGCATGTGCCCGGCTTGCAAAGCGTGGATCACCACCAACTTCATAAATTGACAAGCCCTGACATGAACGCAAGGAGAGTACCGGATATTGCTGGATGCATGTTTTGAAAGGGATAGCAGCATCCACGAGGGTCCGATCTCCCAGGTATGTCCGGCTACCGTACGTGCGTACGTGTCCAACGCAGCAAGAGCTGACAGCTGAGGTATTTGAAAATCGATTTGTCGCACGACTCTCTGGAACACGGGTACCGGTACAGTGGCTTTCGACTCCACGCAAAGACACTTACAGTCGGGGTTTTCCATAATTGGAAAGATGGGTTACACCCATGTCAAAAGGTGTCTAACGGTTGCACACGTGCATTGTCATTCGTTCCATTCGTCGGTGCCCTCTCTGGCCTACCCTACGCAAGTTAACAACCTGAACTTTGACCAACAATCCGCCAACCCAGCTTGCAACGGGCCCTCACTCCTGCTGGACAATTTCGGAGTGGCCCAAAGCCCGCAGCTTCGCAGTGGCCCAAAGCCCGCAGCTGTGCACCGCCATGCCTGCTGCTTCGGCACTCGTCCTGTGATTACTGTTTGGCGTATGTGATGTTCATGGCGTTGGCTGGTGTGATCTTGAAGCCTTGCAGGCCCTGCATGGCTGTCGTTGACTGCATGTCGTTCTCATACCTGGGGGAGGGAACGGTTAGGCGGAAAGCCGTATTAGTTTATGCAGGCGGACAGCAAGGGGACTCGAAACGCTCTAGACCAACACTAGCGCTTGTGCAACGAGTGGTCACTTGGCACACAGAGGGAAGACCATTGCCCAACGGATCTGCATAGATCCCTGCTGAACCTTCCCATGAAAGGTTTGCCTAACGTGGTGTGCCTCGCCCTCAACGCCCACCGCTTGCATGGTGAGCAATCAGCATGCAGGACAGCGCAAGCACATGCAAACCGCTCCGAAGCAGCCTTCCTCTCCCACATGGCTGATTTGGACGTTTCCCCTCCTCGAATTCGCCATCCATCTTAAAGCACAACAACACGGGGCCACCCACCCCAACCTCCCAGCCATGTGTACGGAATGAACAGCGTGTACGACACTACTTACTCGACGAACGCGATGCCTGGCCGCGCCTCCACCATGCGCACCTCCCGGAAGCCCGGGAACTGCTGGAAGAGCATGCCCAGCATGGCCTCGTTGGAGTTCTCCGGCAGGTTCTGTACGAACAAGATCTTGTTGGGTGCGTTGGCCAGGCCGCCGCCACCGCCGCCGCCGTGCGCCTGCATGCATGGGTGCATGCCAGCAGCGCGGGTGTGATGCAGGTTTGAGAGAGGGCGGGGGTGAATGCTAGCAAGCGTCAATGTGGGGGTGAATGCTAGCAAGTGTCAATGCTAGCATGAGGCGTTGCGCGGGTGCTGTTGTGCGGGGAACATTGCAGGACGGGAGATGCATCGGAGGATGTGGTGCTGCAGTGTAGAGGGACGGCCGTTGATGCGCTTCAGCGCTCATTGGATGTGAACGGCAGCGTCCGAGCCGGTACTGCGGATGGAACGCACACGCTTCAGTGGGTTCCTGCCCTGCAAGGTGCGGCTATCCCCAAGGACACTCCCACACGCAGCATGCTCGCCAAGAACATATCAACACGGGGATACCCATATGGGCCACGTTGCATTGAGCGGCAGCTGACTACAACTCCGTAAAGCTGCTACGAACCGGTACTGTGTTGAGCAAGGTGCAGGCTGTGGTGTGTTAAGAAAACTGGCCGCGAGTAGGAACCACACCGATCCGCACACGATACGCCCCCCACTGACCACGGTCAGGGTCAGTGTTTCCGCGGCTCAGTTTGTCTAAGCCCCCCACTGTTACCGGTACCAGTATTCCTGTGCGCACTTCCAATGTTCCTTCCCTACCGCGCCAGACGCCGGAGCTTGCGGTCCCGCCTTGCTTCCGCTGGGCCGCTTGAGCATAGCCTCTGTGCATGGGACATAGGCACGTTAGCTCGCGTGGATATTAGCATATGGCCCGAGTTGCACCAGAGCTAGGAATCCTTAGGGAACCCAAGCATGGGGCGCCCACGGCCCAACCGCTCCTTGGCAACGATCCCCGTCCAGTGTACTTGTGCTGCGCCTCCCACCTCTTGCCGCCGCATTCTTTTGCGCTCGCTGCTTCTTGTCCGGCTTGTACGTCCCATCCACCTTCGCCACCGCGTCCGACTTGCCGCGCGCGTATGTTATCCGCTGGAGCGAGGGAGGGGTATGGGGGTCAGCCATGTTGACGCAAATGTAAACCCCCTGTCCCAGTGCCGGGGCCCCTACTGGCACAGTGGTATGGCTGTACTCACAATTGGCTTGTCAAAGAACGGAAACCCCTGCATAGTCCGCAGCGCGTTCGTTGCAGCCGCTGTGTCAGTGAATACCACCCAGGCTTGGCCGCGGAGACGGTAGGTCTTCATAGCCACGATATCCATGATCCGCCCGAACTGGGAGAACATGGCGTACAGGCATTTCTTCAACTCTGCAGCAAAATACCACATCCATTTTAAACATGTCGCAACTACTAATACTGTGCCCAGTATGAGGCATAAGCCAGTGAGAGAAGGCCGCCATTCGTTAGTGGGCCTAACCTTCTTTGCTAAGCTTTTCATAAAGGTTGTTGACGTATATAGTCTGGTTAGGCGGAATGTCCATGTTCCTACTAGTGCGCTGGTTCCAGTAAATGCAAGGACTCTTGCAGCAAATACAGATACGAAGGTAATGTAGATAGGTAAAACGTTGCGCTTAACTACACCTAGGTCGGCAAATTGCTCTTAGCATTAGGCAACTCGTCAACGGGGTTCAGCAAGAAAATGGTTTCGGAGACGTGTGGAAGTCATTTCACCTGACTACGAAACAGCAAAGTCCTAACCTGTTGTTAGCTTTTCCTGGCAAAAGCTAGTTTGATCCTTGAGCTGCCAGACATAGGCTGTGCTGATCCCCTTTAGACGGAAGCGGTTGCATTTATACTTATAGAAAATGCCGTCTTACAAGTTCCTCCACGAGTATGAGCCGGCGCGCCCTGCTACTGCTGACAAGCCCTCAGCTAGCCCGGTTTATCGGCACGTCTGCGCGAAAGATGGCTTCCCCGCAGCGGAGTTCACCACGCTGTTTGAGATGTTTGAGCAGTCATGCGCGAAGTACCCTAACAACCAGTGCTTAGGTGAGTAAGTAGATAGCGCAGATGACATAGAATTCAGTCGACGTGGTGTCTGCACGGACATGCAGGCAAGCGCGAGAAGAACGAACAGGGCGAGGTGGGCCCCTTCGTGTTCAAGTCTTACAAGGAAGTTCAGCAAGAAGTATCGCATGTGGCATCGGCGCTGCGAGCGCTTGGTGTTGAGCCCAGCCAACGCGTCGGCGTGTTCGGCGCCAACTGCCCAGAATGGATGGTCGCCATGCAGGTGAGCTTATCTATCACCATAGGCATGATTCTGAAATTGACACGCTGTGTTATCGCACATCTGGAGCGCATTTAATGGGTAGTCATGTTGGCGTTGAAGTCATGATCGGAAGCCTGTAAACCTCCTCGTTAATCCGTAAGCGTTACTAATTCCCTTGTAACCCATATATCTATCCTATGGATCTAGCTTGTTCATTTTTCACATCGAAACCGTCGTGTCACAGGGTTTGGTCTAGGTAGTTCCTTCCCACTAAATGTCAATTTCCAAAGCCGTGGAAACACCCATTCCAGTTGTGTCTTTAGCGAGAGGCAGGCCTCCGCAAGCCTAGCTGCCAAACCAATTCCTCCCGTCCAGCAAGCATGTAACACTGACCCTGTCTTCACCTGCAGGCATGCAACCGCATGTCCATGCACTGCGTTCCGCTGTACGACAGCCTGGGTGAGAACGCCATCGAGTACATCATCAACCACAGCGAGTCGGTGGTGGCCTTCTGCTCCACCGAGAAGCTGCCCAACCTGACGAAAGCGCTGCCGAAGACCAAGGACACGCTCAAGCTGGTGGTCTACTGGGGCGCCGGCAACGAGGCTGCCCTCAAGGTAAGCCACCTGCATACTCCTCTACCGGTACCTGTCATCACCTCATCAACATGGAGACCACAGACCAGGCACTGCAGGCTGTCGGGTGGCTGCGTTGCCCCTATGTGCAGCGAAGCGGCAGAGATGGCTTCGAACAGTGAAATACGGAGACACTTGCATGAACACCCCGTACCCACCCGGCGCCGTTTTTGTGCCGGGGCACGTACCTGCGGAGCATATGTTTGAGGGTCTCCTCCGGGGTCATTCTTTACGGGTCCCTGCAGGCCGCCCGGGAGCTGGGCTACACGGTGCACTCCTTCGCGGAGCTGTTGGAGCTCGGCGCCAAGCAGCCCGCGCAGCCGGTGCCGCCCAAGCCCTCGGACCTGTGCACCATTATGTACACCTCGGGTAGGGGATGTCCTGACCCGGACAGGAAAACGGGAAGGCCTTGCCATGCATGAGCACGCGCCGCCCCATGCAACAATGGCGGACTCCTGTGGAGCGAAGATGGGCCTTCACTGCTGGCTTCCGAACATTGAAGTGTGCTTATCCTTGTGCGCACTTCGGACACCGCTTACATGCGTCGTGCGTGTTGCACCCCAACGCTGGCCACGGTTTTGCTGCTTACTTTGTCGTACGCGCCGTTTTGGCCATTGACCTGCATTTACTCATGCATGCATGCGCACCATGCGCCAACCAACGTTCAACAGGCACCACCGGCAACCCCAAGGGTGTCATGCTGACGCACTCGGCGGTGGTTGCGGCCGTTGTGACCGCTGCGGAGTACTGCAAGTTCAACAAGGTGGATCTGAACCACACCGACCGCCTGCTGTCGTACCTGCCGCTGGCACACATCTTTGACCGGTGGGTGGAGAGTTGCTGAGGGCCTGGGCTCAGCAGGAATATAGGCGGGTAATCACTGTTAAGAGTAAATCAATTCCTATCATGGTTGCGTGCCGACTATCACAAGGCGTGTTGGTCTTCCCTCTTGTTTAAACGTGTCGACCCTCGTTTTTCCGGGCAGGGTGAACGAGGAGTGGTTCCTCGCCATGGGTGCTGCCATCGGCTACTGGCAGGTGCGGTCACCGGGACGCCTGCACGCTGGTTTGGCCTAGCCGAGGCACGGGTACCCTATGTGGGAAGCGCAAGCACGTGGCAATAACGACATCCCCGCTCACAGACCTGCACAAACTAGCATTTTACTGCATCGGGGTCGGGGCTGATGCTCCTCATGATAGGAGCACTGGTCATGGGTCTGCCGTTTAGGGGATGCGCTGCTTGACGTACCTCACCCAGCACCTTCCAGGGGTGTTTTTCCGGGGCCATGCTCCTTGCCAACCTAAAACCCGCATCTGATCACCCCTGCTCGCCTGCCCTCGTGCTCCAGGGCGATGTGACGAAGCTGGTGGATGATGTGGCGGCGCTGCAGCCGTCGCTGTTCCTGGGCGTGCCGCGCGTGTTTGACCGCATCTACACCCGCATCATGTCCCAGGTTCGTGGACGGCGTGACCCATGGGTCAACATACGTCAGCATATAGTAACGGGCGACGAAGGCTAGGCACGAATGCGTGTGTGAGTGTGGTGTTTACAGTCAACAGCTTGGCGAATTGAAGCAGCGAAGTGACTTGCAGAATTTAGACCCGTCTGCTCTGTTTGCTCGTAACAGATTAACGGCGCTGGCTTCGTGAAGAAGACGCTGTTCAACTGGGGCTTCAGCCGCAAGCTGTTCTTCATGCGCCAGGGCTGCGGCCACGACAAGGTATGTCGGTGAAAGCGGGGCCTTTGCTGGCCATAAGTCTGAAACTGTATTAGACCTCTTTGCACGGGACAGGAGCGTTTAAAAGTGCTGCTGACCCAGATCGCGGTTGGTGGAATATGTTTCCCAACTGTCCCAAGATGTAAGCTTGTTAGGGTTGTTTGCGCAAAGAGCTAGTCACCCAAAGGATCTGGGTCTAAACGTGGCGGTGTAAAAGTGTGTACATGGGATGTTGTTGCGCGCAGGCCGCCCCCTTCTTCGACAAGCTCGTCTTCAGCAAGATCGCGGGGCGCTTCGGCGGCAAGGTCAGTCGAGCGAAAGTTCCTGTCCACTACCCATTTCAGTCGCTGAGCCTTATGAGCACTGACATGCATGAGGCCAACCATTTTTCCGTTTCTTGCTTCGTCGTAGTCACGCCTGTACTTCCTGAAAAGCTCCCTACCCCCACCTGTCGTACAGATCAAGGCGGTTGTCAGCGGCGGTGCGCCGCTCGCCCCCCATGTGGAGGACTTCCTGCGCGTCATCATGTGCGCGCCCGTGGTGCAGGGCTACGGCCTGACGGAGACCAGTGCGGCGTCCTTCATCGCATGCGCTGACGTCATGGTACGACACGGAATCCACTGCTGCATGGATTGCTTGTTTGCCATATCTCGGTATCCCCTGCCTCATATGGACACGCTGTACTTGCGTTCAGACTGCAATCTATAAACTACAGACACTGCTTTCCTGTGTGTGAGCTTTCCTCGCCTGCTGGTGCTTGGTGGTTGCGCTGCAGGACCACGCGGCCATGGTTGGCCCGCCCACGCCCATGACCGAGTTCCGTCTGGAGTCGGTTCCCGACATGAACTGCGACGCGCTTGACCCGAAGCAGCCCAAGGGCGAGGTGAGGGCCGCACGAATGCGACAAAATTTTGTCGTAACAAACACGGCACTGTGTTGGGGTTGCGAAAAACTTGCACTGTTTGTAGCTTGTCTTGCATGCCTGGGACGCATGTCTATTCTTCCCCAGAGTGGCTTGGCATGACATCGCCGGGTTGCGGGATGTGTCCTGCAGGTGCTCATCCGCGGCGCTGCCAACTTCACCGGCTACTTCAAGGACCAGGACAAGACGGTTGAGGTGCTGGAGTCGGACGGCTGGTTTCACACCGGTGGGACACCCGGTAGCTGTTAGCCGCAGGCTACATAGGTTGCCAAAAGCTTTGGGGAGGTCCTTCAGCTTTCTGGAAGTTTCATTACTGTATTCACTTTGCAGAAACCCCCATGTTTCAGACGCGCAGTCATGTGCGCATGGCTCTTGCTTATAGCGCTAATAGTGCGCTGAAGCGAACCTGCAGCTGCTGCTGTTGCAACCTTCCCAGCTGAAGCTAGAGGCCATGTGTGTCATGTCCCGTCGCAGGCGACATTGCCATCCTGACGCCCACGGGCGCCATCAAGATTGTAGACCGCAAGAAGAACATCTTCAAGCTCAGCCAGGGCGAGTATGTGGCGGTGGAGCAGATCGAGGCGACCTGCAAGAAGGCGACGGTGGCGGAGCAGGTGCGGACATGAGCTCGGTAACAGCAAAGGAGGGGTTTGTTTTGTAATGGTACGGGTATGGCGGCATGGAGGAGACACATGAAACAGGTCCTGCTGTTGCACGCAAGAGTGTTACCATTTGCACTCTGTTCCAGGTATCAGAAATTGCGGTAAAGTAACAAGTCTGCGGCGTTATACCGGTGCGTCCTGGAGCACAACACGGCTGCGACACATTTGTTTCATTGTTTGCCTGCCCGTCCCATGCAGGTCTGGGTGTACGGCAACAGCTTTGAGAGCTACCTGGTGGCGGTGGTGGTGCCCTGCAAGGACACCATCACCGCGTGGGCCAAGACCGCGGACGTGCAGGGAGAGTACGAGAAGGTGCTGGAGGACCCCCGCACCAAGGCCTACATTCTCTCGGTGAGTTTGGCGCTGGGGTGTGCATACCGGTATGTGCTGGGCCGCAAGAAAACACTGACCAAGAATTGATTTAGTGGGATGTCGTCGGATGTCGTCCAAGTGTAGATGCCCAGATGCTGGAATGATGCCGGGTGGGACGTGTCACTTTGGTTGGGGTGTTGGTCAACGCCCATTTGTAGCGCCAGTACTGAAGCTGGCTAGGATTAGGCGACATGAGATAGGGCGGTGATGTGTGTGTTGCCAGCACTGCCTTACACAGCCATTAGGAGGCGGGGTCGGGTAGTACGACATGCATGACACTGTGTCGTTTCTTGCCCTGCAGGAGCTGACCCGCGTTGCCAAGGAGGACCGCCTGAAGGGCTACGAGGTGGTCAAGGCGATCCACCTGGAGCGTGTGCCGTTCAGCGTGGAGGAGGACCTGCTGACGCCCAGCTTCAAGCTGCGCAGGCCACAGCTGCAGGTGGGCGACGGGTTTTAGGAACATACTGCCGTACTGCTCAAGGTGGTCCTGGTGCGCCGGCATTCCTGAACTCGCGTTGTTCACGCTGTCTGGGGGAGCATACAGCACCTGAAGTCCATGTGCTCAGTTCCTGGTGTACGCGTGTATGCAAAGCACCTATCCAGTGGGTGTTTTCATCTTCTGCTTTAATGCAAGGTTTCATTCCAAATCGGCCACAGGCTAAGTACCAGAAGCAGATCGACGGGATGTACGAGGCTCTCAAGAAGGCGGAAGCGGTAAGGATGTAGCGCATATGGAATTTTGGGACTGGTTGGCGGACGATCGGAGATGACTGAGAGCTTTATTATACGTGCCAGCCCTCGTACGTTTTCCTGTGAAGCTGGACAAGCTAAGAAATCTCGTTACCCATTTACCGTCCCCCAGGCCAAGGCTGCGCGCGAGTAGACGACCCCGGGGTTGCCGGCTGACTACAAGCAACGTCAACCTTCAGTTCCCATGTTAGGCAAAAGGGCCTTGAGGCCCAGCAATGGACGTACATTTGTTCCATATACTCTGCTGTGAAAGTGCTGGATGGTGAAGGTATAGGAGCCATGGATCTCTTATTTCGTAGCGTATACGCCGATGGTGTGTGGTATGTTGCATGCGCCGGTGGGTTTTAGTGTTGGGTGTACAGTATAGGTCGTTCCTGCCCAGTTCCCCTATGTAGCGGCACTGCACGGGAAGTGTCCTCGGAAGCTATATTGGCTCGACGCTCTGCAGGAACGTTTTCTTGCATGCAGCAGGCTTAGTGCGGTGATGCTGCTGTCACCGTATATCTTGTTGATGGCTGCCTTGTAGGCATAAGGGTATGTGAGCGTTTTTCCTTTCATACCAGTTGCTGCTTTGAGCAAATGCAGTTGGGTATACTTAACCATGTTCACTGTTACACTATAAGGTTCTCTTTGTCTATTTTACTACTAGTACCCCACCACACAAAAACAATACCAAGGTGTATACTTCTCAATTCACCCTCAAGAGCAACTTCATTAGCAACATTCTCATTTATTTGTCTTGCAAATCCAACGAAAATTTACTAAGACTGGAGACCACACTTGTCAGCACGTCAAAACATCAAATTTGCACCCACGTTAGTATCATGCACTGCCCCCAATGTTTTTCATAACCAAGTCAAACCAGTTTGCAGACAAGCATCCTGAAACGTACGGTGGACCCCAGCAACAGATGTAACCATCCCTAGCCATTAGCTAATTTGCCCAAGGATCGGAGTCAAGCCTGAGGTTAAGCCCAATGAGCATGCTCAGCGTTTGCGGCCCAAGAATCCGCCTCTTGCGTGAGCCCTTCCGCAAGTCGCCACTTGGAGTTACGCCTTCACATCAACGTTACTTCCATGCCTTGAACCTGAGTGGCCGACCAAACCCTACCAAGCCCGACCGCAAGAAGCGAACACCGACATTCCCTACGCGCACATCTCAGCGCCGCCAGCCGCCATGCATTGTAGCAGCTGCTGCTTACTAGTAACATACAACCCGAACGCAGCTTACAGCGTACACGCTGCCATGGGTAGCTGCATGCACGTTACGCGTCTGTAAGGACACATATAAACTCAACGTCATTTTCCACGAAGGGCGTGCTAAACGCGCTTGGATGCATTCCACAAGCGTCTTGGGAAAAAAGCAAAGACGCCAAAGCGGCGGGCCAGGGCACAAGCCAGAGTGGAGGAAATGTCCACTAGCGGCGTTGGGCCATCTCAAGACGTAACCGGCGGTTCACGCCAGCCACAGACGGTACATCCACCAACCTCATTGAAAGCCTGTATCAACCTTGCCGTCAACCGCCAACCGTCATATCTTCATTACATGGCCCAGAACTGGCCTTCCTAGCAATTAGCCAACTGGCAGATCACTAACAACCCCCCAAACCAGTGGCACAACCCCAAAGCCGGAAAAACTGATCATAACAACAAGATGCCGCACCCGGAAGGCCGCATTGGGAACATGTCGTTTAGCTGGCAACACTCAAAAACCGTAACGAACAGCCCCAGCTGCTACTCCTCACAACTGCTCCGGCTGAGACGACGAATTCGGTTGCCCGCCCGTTGTGCTCATGCTGCCCGACTCGCGGGTTGCCTGTTAACGGAAGAAAGGGCGGTATGTACGACTTCTACTGCTAACGGACAAAACGGGCAAGGCTAAGGAGTGGCATAGAAGGTGGAAGGGCGCTTGCCGTAAACAGCCAGAATTGGCCAGAACGGGGCTTCAGCTCTGTGCTGAATGCTTGGCAAGCCTTACAGCCTCAGCTGTAGCCCTCCCGGCCATCACAGAATGCCTCCGAATACGGTAAGGCACCTTCCAACGGCTGGGGAACCACGCTCCTTTTCAGCCAGCGCGGGCCCGCCTCTCGGCTCTTCCATACCGCTTTCTGCACACTTGGTCCCAATCCCCATCCAATCTGCTAGACGATCTAACTAGGCTACCAGCAAACATGCGTTACGGTCATGGCATCCTTCCCCTACTAGCCCAGCCAACACCCGCCGCACCTGCAGCAGCTCCCGCAGCATGACCTCCATGTCCTCCAACTCCCGCACGATCTCGCCGAACGACGGCCGATCCGCGGGGTTGTGCGCGATGCAGCGCTTGCCCAGATACTCCAGGTGCGGGAAACAGTCGGGCGGCCACTGCGGCCGGAGCCCCTGTGCAAGAGATGAGCAAGAGGCGATACACGGTGAGGAAGCAGAGGTAAGCAACACCGCGAAGGTCAGGTTGCGAAGGCACAGGCACTGGGTGTACCCAAAGTTAACTCGTACCAAGGAGTATGTGCCCGTGCTGCCTAGGGCAGTTATGAGGCATATTGGGTAGCACGCGGTACAGTGTCCGAGAAGCGTGTGGCGAATACCAGTATGGCGAAAGCAAACAGCTCCCAGACGGGAGGCGCGACACTTACTTGGGACACCGACTGAATGACCTCGCCCTGGGTCATGTTCTCGTACGGCTTCTTCCCCGTCACCATCTCCCACCTGTGGGAGCGAGGCGGGAGCACGCTCAGGATAACATGCGGCAGCACCGCTAGACACTGACCTCCGCACCGCGGCTATACGGGGCGGCGTAGCGACGGCAGCAGCAGCGGCAGTCCAGGACCATACCCCAACGCTGCGCACTTACAGAAGCATGCCGAAAGCGAAGACGTCCGTGGCCTTGGACATGGTGCCCGAAAAGTGCTCCGGGGCCATGTAGCGCAGCGTCTGCATGGACAGGGCAAAAGGGACTCCGCTTAAAGACGTAGACTCACACGCCACGCCTTTTGCCCGCATGTACAACGTGCGAAGCGCGCTCTGCAAAGTGCTCCACTACGAATAGTGGTTGGCATGTCATGTCATGTCAGGATGTCAGCACTCAGCAGGCTGGAGCGTCATGCTGCGCCGTCCGCACCGCACAGCACAGCGCGCCGTGCTCACCCCCCAGGTGTTGGTCGCAATGGGCCCATGCGCCACGTGCGACAGTCCAAAGTCCGCCAGCTTGGCGATGAAGCCGCGTCGGTCCACCCGCGCCGACGTGAGGAGCACGTTGCCGGGCTTCAGGTCGCCTGCAGGGGCCAGCCATGGAGGTCAACACTAGTTATTAACGGTACGAGTTAATTAAACCCAATAAAACGGACATGACGAGGTGTTGCCGAGAATTGCTCAAGCAAAGCCGGTACCTCCGCAGCTTGTGCGTCAGTGCATGGTGCCAGTATACAGCCTCGTTCGTTAACGGGCGCAAGGTGACAGTGTGACGGGCTACGCCACGAGGAATGGCCAATGTGCCGGCCGTTTGACCAGCGTCGTACCGTGAAGCACGTTGCTGCTGTGGAGGTGCTGCATGCCCAGCGCAATTTCGCGCGCCGTTCGGAACAGTGCGCGCGCTGCAATGCGCTTGTTCCAGCGCGGGCTTTCCCGGAACACCTGCCGCTTGTAGATGGCCTCCTGGAGAGTACCCTGTGGGAAGTACGACACACCAACAAGGAAGCCAACCAGAAGCGCCCGGGAATGTGTAGCGCAGGTCCAGCCCAAACGGTTGCACGCGTTCAATCTGGGGCAGTCCCCTGGAAAGACCCCGGAGAGCGCGGGAGCTCAGAACGCTTGGTGTCCCATGGTGCAGCTCCACCCAGGTGGCCATGACCAACATTCCACTCGTCACAACCGCCTCTCGTTTAAGACACCTCACTTTAACGGCACTTCCGCACCACGCTGTAAGCGGAATATGCCCTAAGCACCAGCTACCGCTCAGCGCCCTGGGTCCTGCTGCTGCCCCGCCGTCCTCTTCTTACCCTGTCCGCATACTCCATGATGACCACCGCCACGTACTGTCCCGGCTTCACTTGCAGCTGCAGCAAGATGTTGGACACCGAGATGGTGCCCCCGCCCGCCTTGTGGCGCGGGTCGCCGAACCTGTGGAGCGGAGGAGGGGGGACGTGAAGGAGAGGAGGAGAAGCCATAACCCCATGAAGACGTGCTTCAACGTGCTCAAGCTTGGGGAGATGGGGCATGCGGGGTTTCTGGTTTTGGAATGTGAGAAAAAGGGAAGGGGGCGTGTGAGTTTAGGCATCTGGGTCAACTGGGCGTCTGAGAATACGCCCCGTCAGCTGCCCCACCCGGTTCATGGAGCACCTTGCCGCAACCCGTCGCCGCTTACCCGTCGCCACTGACGAAGCGCAGGCTATCGCCGCTTAGTCGCCGAGCGTCGTCACAGGCTGCTCCATGGATGGCGTGAAGGGATTCGTCATCCATGAGCGCGCACCGGGTCGTGTACGTCTGCACGCGGACGTGTGGGCAATGAATGCGTCACAGGTGAGCGGGACAGTGTTGTGCGTTGGGCTTTGGTGAGCCATACATGGCCCTGTGCCGACCCGGGTTTGGTGCGTGAAAAAGCCAATCGGTGTTGCGGTTACGTGTGTTCAGGAAGCTGAGCGTAAGCAACTAATTCACAGAACTCTTAGAAGTAGACCAAGGAGCAGAATGCGCAGGTGGATGTGTAACGCCTCCAACCCCGCGTGCACCCCCTAACGCAGGTTGGAAGTGGGGAGTCAGCGGGCATTGTCAACCATGAAGGCGCACCTGAATGACGTTCGGATGGGACAGCAGCTGCCCAAGCAGGGATTCCCGCAGAGTCACGCTGTTAGAATTGAGGCTGTCAGATACCACGAACTTGATGGCAACCTTGGCACCTTGCCACAGGCCTATAGGGGAGGAAGGACCAAGCCTTTACAGGAACTGCCATAAGAAAAGGAGCAATAATTACTGTTTTCCCACCCTTGAACACTGCAGCAAACGAGCCGTTCCCGATGAATGCCAAGTCCTTGATGTCACCAACCAGCTCCTCTGGTCGGCAAAGCTGGATGTTTGACTGACATAAAGTCTGTTCACTAGTCAACTTTAAGCTGTGCGTATAGCATCCAGGCATAGGCTGGATAACCGGTTGAGGGGGTTCTTGGGCCGGCTTTCCTTCCTCTGTTGAGGGCTGCGCTCCATCCTCCATCGACTCCTCTACTGCCTCGGAAGAGTTCAGTTGCTCCTCAGGCGCTGGTACAGGGCTTGTGCCGCTGCCGGCCCCCGGGCCCGGAGCAGCAGCCCTTTCCGATGCCTCCTGCAGTTATGTTTGACAAACGCATACCCCATTGCAGATATTAGAAACATGTTAAATTATGTTCGCATGTTGCTTTGTCTCCACGTGCCAGTCGTCCAAAGTACCTGAGTGCTCCTGGTAAAGCTGGAGCTAAGCTTCTTTCCCAGCGAGCTTGTCAGCGCCCCGCTTCCGCCAGGGACCAGTGCCGTAACCTCCGGCTCTACAGGCTGCTTTGGAGTTTGTCGCGAAACCGCAGCAACCTCCTGGTTCACAGCCTTCACGACACTACGTGGTGCTGCAGGCGGGGCCTTGCTGGCCCCTCCTCCAAAGCATGAAAACAATGGCATTTTTAGAACTATTAGCTCAGGCAGAATGCGCGCCGCGCTAGCCTGTCTCCATATTTCCTTAAAAGAATGGCTAAGGTTGACAGTACCAGCGCTTTCTACTAGCAACGTACGCCTGTTTGGTTGTGCACGCCCAACTGAGCTTCAGAGACGTTTTACAACCAGCAACCGGCTTGTCCGTACACCTGTCGGTACAATTTATATTGCTGCATGCTGCGCAAAATTACGTTACCTCTCTTTGTGGAGTTGTTTTCCTTGCAATCGGCTTTATGGTTCCATAACAGGGCGCTTGGTGGGCTGACGAAGTCTAATAGGGCCGAGATGCAGTTACCCTCGAAACCTCAAGCCTGCCTGAAGAATGTGCGCGTATTGCTGCCCTAACTGGTGGTGAAGATGGGAGCTCGTCATCCCAATTGTACTAAATGCTTTTGCGCTATTTTTGCCGTTTCTCTTTTGGGGTCAACACGATATCCCTGCTGACGTCGCAATTGTACCTGTATGGCTAGCAAACATATGGACGCCTGCCACTTGACTAGGCGATTCCAACAAACTGACGGCAAGCTTTTCCACATAGCTGCACGCCCAGCTCCCTTTCCTTGCTGTTGCAAGCACCAGTCGCGATTCTTACATGCCCGAAGTGCGGAATACGGCCCTTAGTTAGACGGCACATGATAGGCTTTCCCCCCCCCCGAACTGATATCCTCCCCGAAGCCCCGTACCACTCAACCCCATTTGACATCTATCACCGTTCCCGCCGGCCCACATCCAAGTGATCCAACGCCTCCAGCGTCTTCGCGCTGAACTGCCACCCCAGCTGCGCACAACAGGACTTCAACACAGACGCCTGCTGCTCAGTCAGCCCGGGTGCCAGGCATGCCACCCTCCTCTCCACCGCGCGCCAGAAGCGCGGGCCGGGACAGTATCTCAGAACCGCCAGCGCTCTAACAACGGTTACCAGGTCCACGCCTGCAGCAAGCGGGATGTCGCGATACACCTGCCGTACCAACTGCCGCATAACTGACTCCTCGGGGCGTTGAGCAACACGCGCGAGCGCCCATAGTGCTAAACACACGTTGCTCAGGCCGCCGCCACCGCCGCCGCTGCTGCTGCTGCTGCTGCTTTCATGCCTTCCCGTCGCGCCTGCTGCACCGCTGCGTGTGGCTGGTTCTGAAGCAGGAGCGGCACCTGGGTCGGGAGGATGTGAAGTTGAGACGGAGGTGGTGGTTGTGGTGTCGCAGCAATCGGCCGCTGCCAGCGCCAGCACGCCTGCCGTACGGTCTCCCAAAGGGCAACCCAGACGCGCTAGGGACCACAGCAGCATGCGCGCAGCCCGCCCATCGTACCTCCCTAACCGCTGCCGGTAAGAAAGGAAACCCTCTTCATCCCCACTCCAAACCCCGCCTTTGCTCCCGCAGTCCATCGCATTCCATTCCCCTTCTCTTGCAAGCGCATCCCGGTCCGCATCCGACTCCCAACTAACAACCGCCGTTGCCGCTGCCAAGCTGGCATCTGTCGTACGCATCCGTTGGCGTCGTACCCCACAACCGCTCCCGCTCGCTGCCCCCGTCGCTGCCGCCACATGCCCCTCCACCACCCTCCGCGTCCACCCGGCCACCAATGCGTCCGGCCGCAGCCCTATGCGGGCCATGGCCTGCAGCGCGGTCGCCAGGGAGGCTGGCTCCAGGGAGCCCTCCTGCACCGCCAGGGCCTCCAGGCGAGCCAGCACAGCGGCTGTCCAGGCGGCCGGCACCCGCACCCGCCATGCAGCCACGCACCAGAGCAAACTCGCAAGGCACCGGCCGGTAGCTTGGATGCGGAGGCGCTTCGGGGCGCCGTCATTTGACCACTTTGCTGTTGCAGAGTCGGCGAACGGGTAACCGGCCTGGCCAAGGGCTGGATTGCTGGATTCTTTCCCGGCCTGGTTTCTTTCCTCTGGCCCCGCTGCCTGCCGCATGGCTTCCGCTGTGAGGTCGAGCACTGCCGCCAGCCATTCCCCTGAGGGTTGCAGGCCAATCCTGGTGGAAGCAGTGGCTGTAGCAACGAGCTCCTCCGTTCGCATGTACGGCAGGGCGGCCAGTGCGGCGGGCCAGAAGGCCGCGACCCAGCTCGGCGGCGGCTGCAATTCGAGGACCGCGGCTGCCCAAGCTGTGTTGGCGAGCTGCTGTGGGTTGTACTGCAGCAGGCGGCGACATGACACATGCAGCAACACCGACCCTGCTGCCTGCAGGTCCGCATGCAACAAGCCAGCAGGCGTCCTCGATGTCATATCGGACTCAGCGGTTGCGGCCGGCCCGGCGGTCGCTGCCGCAACCACCTCCGGGACTGGCTGTGATTGCCGTCGTACTGTCTTACGAGGCCCCGGGTCCTCAAGCCCCCAGTCCCTAAGCGCAGGCTGAGGGGGTCCGCTGGTGCCTTCCACAGCATCTCCGCCCTCTGTTGCGTTCTCCGAGGTGGAGCTCGGCGGCTGCGGTGCCGCTGTCCCTGACGGCGCTACTGGGGGTGCCAGCAGCCGCAGCCGTGCCAGGGCCCACATGCCGTTTGCGACATCGTGGGCGTTACACTCGGGGGCTGCCGTACGCATGCTCTCCAGCAGCGCCCTCAGCGCCTGCTGCTGGTGCTGCTGGTGCTGCTGGGCTGCCGCAGCACCGAACAGCGGACCCAACCTGGCCACAGCCCAGAGCGTGTTGCAAAGGCCCTGCGAACGGCAGGAAGCATGGAGGGTCTCTGTTGCGGCCGGTATTCCCGGGGGGAAAATTATATAAGTGAAACGAGACCCAATCCCATATCCCGACTCATGCAGTGAGCGCATTCGAAGACAGTCCCGGGGGGGGGGCGCATGCATACGCTGCATGCATATCACAAGCAGGATCCCAGACCTGCCCAGCAACAGGCGCGGTTAAGGCAAGTAGCGAAGCAAACCATTGCCCCCCAAAAGCACAGCGGGACGACGGGGCAATGTCGTTGTTTCTACAATACGTCCATTACGCCCTTGCTCGCCTCCTTCAGCACGCTCCCCGGCCCCGGAATGCACAGCAAGCCGCCTCTCTTCCCGTCCCTCCCATCCCGCCACTCTCTAACCCCAAACACCAGCAGCCCGATGACCTCCCGGCTCGGCCCTGACTGGTAGCGGTACACACCTGTGTCGTGAACGCAGGGGCCTTGAGTGCTGCGGCCTGCAACGCTGCAAGCAGCCAGCCGTCGCCCGGTTGGAAGCGGAGCCGTGCGAGCGCCCATAACATGTTTGAAATATGTTGCGGGTCAGCCATCAGCAACTGGCGCTCCGCGCCAGGCAGCCAGGCGTCCATCCAGGATTGAGGCGGCGAAATTCTCAACACGGCCAGCGAGTAGAGCGTGTTGGATAAGGCCTGTGACGCGAGGGGGGCGTGGTGTGCGGAGATGGGGCCGTGGCAAATCAGATTGCCGGAAGAAAATGAAGGAAAGGCGCGCGCGATGGAAGAGAGAGGTCGCAGTGCGGTGGGAAGAGGCCAAAGCTGGTTGGATGCAAGAGTGGGCAGAAAACTGGTATCGTCGGCACGGCATACGCTTGGCTGCTTTTGCAGCCACCCTAGCTGCAGCCCTCACCTGAGGGCCAAACGCGTCCAACCGCGGTAAGCTAGCCTCCAGCAGCGCTCGTACTAGCCGTTCCACCCGCGGCCGTTCGACCTGCTCCTGTCCAGCGTCCTCCACGTTTCCGCGTCCCGCCCGCGTTCCCTCGTGCGCGCTCGGCCAGCCTTGTCCCACACTGCCTCGCCCTTCCGTCTGCTCTTCCTCCTCCATCAGGACCTCAGGCAACCGCTCTGCAATCTGCGCCAGCGAGTAAAGCAGGCTGGAGATGTGTTGGGGCTCCAGCGAGGGCCCTACGTCCGGTACGCGGCCCAACAGGGCCCACAAGGCGGCCCTAGCACGCTCGTGCGGTGGTGGCTGCATGCGCGACGCATGGGGACCGGTAGCGGCTGCTGCTGCTGCAGCAGGCATGTGCACTGGGCTCCCGACTGTGGTATCGCGGGCGGATGAAGGCGACGGCTGTGTGGAAGTCATGCCGTGTGCGGTCGGCTGGTACCGCTGCATGCTGCTGGCGACAAGGGGCTGCTGCTGAAGCCGGTGCGGAGCCGCTTTGGGCGGCCTCATCTTGGGCCAGAGCTGCAGCAGCAGGCGTGTGGCGGCCCACGTGGCATTGGCCAGCACGCGTGGCTGCGGCGGTGACCATGGTGGGTCCCTTCCTGGGGTCGCACCATGGCTAGGTCCCCGCTTGTGAGTGCCGTTGCTGCCGCTGCCGTGGCTGTACCCAGCACTCGCCGTGGGGGCTGCTTGCGAGCCTGAGGGGACAGGGGCGCTGCCACAGCGGCGGGCCAGGGTTTCCAGTAGCGACAGGAATAGCTCCTCGGGTGAAGAAGCTAGGGACCAGGGCGACGAAGCCGGTGGGGCCGCGGGTTCAGCAGCGGCGGCGGCTGGGGTTGCGTGTGGCGTGCTGCGTGGCGGCCCGGCGGGTGGTGGTGGTGGTGGTGCGTGTCGCGGCGGCAACGCATGTGGTGAAGGCAGTGGGGCAGCGGATGACAGGTAGGCCGGCCCATGCCCCAGAGCGTTATGGAGCGGTGGCGTTATGGGTGGCGGTGGCGGCGGTGTTGGTTGCGGTGATTTGTTGGCTGGAGGCTGCATGCCAGGACTATAGCGTGATTGGAGCCCCGATGTTGACTGAAGGGCAACACTGGGTTGCCCTGACGGAGGCGGCGGCGGCGGCGGTGGGGGTGTTATGCGCCCTGGCGTTACTGCTGACGGCGGCGCATGTGGGCTGCCGTACTGTAAGCCGTTTAGCTGCGGAACGGTGCTGCATTGTTGTAACCGACCGGGCAGCACCAGTTGGCCCTGCGGGCCGGTGGGGGGCAGTTCCGCCAACCGTTGCCGTTGTAGGGTCGACGGCAGCTGCTGCGCTCGCTGCTGCTGCACATGCTGCTGCAGTTTCGGCCCTTTTTGCTCCGTGGGCTGGTCGTATTGGGAGGAGGATGGCGACGCATGCGGTCTGATGCTTGGCTGAGGTCTAGGCTCGTTGAGGTTTAGCTTTGCCAGACGTGCCAGAGCAGCAGCCAGGTGGATGTCATTAAGCGCTCTTGTGGGGCCGTACTCCTCAGTGATCGCAGCCAACTCATGCCATGACCGCGTCGCAGCAATGTGACGTGTGATGAGGGCTCCGGTAGGTCTTAGGGAGGCTCCGGATGAAGGTATGGATACGGTATCCGAAGAAACATGGGTTTGGCCGTCACTACTATTGGCGTTATGACCGAGCACCCCTGGCCTTTCATAAGCCGTGCTGCTTGAAGCACGCTTGGGAGCATGCCGTGGCGTCCATGCTCCGCTAGCCGGCTCGGCGGTTGGACGCGCTGCAAGTTGGGAAGGGTTAACGCCGCTCTCCGTCCCCTGCACAAAGCTCCCGAAGCCAACGCCAACAGCAGGAATTGGACGAGCGTGAATGTGAGGAGGTTTAGGCCGGCCTCCGTAGGTTTCTGGTTGGAACGGGCGCCGGCGCGAGTGATTGGTACAGGCCAGCGTAGTTCTGATTGCATAATCCTCAGCAGCAGTATACGGACATACTGCAAAGGCGATACACATTACGGTATCAGTATGTTTTTGCCGGAATCCTCACTTCACACGAGGTGGGATGCATTTCCAATAGTATTGCTGCGACTAAGTAGCACTCTAACGTTGCAATGATGTTTGCAATTCCAGCAAAGAAAGCGATGGCTGCGAAGCATCTCTGCTCTTCCGAAACCACAGCGATCCACCGTGACCAACAAAAAAGCCTGACAGCCAAAAATGCAGGCCAAGATATTCAGCAGATTGCATGCCATTAAACTGCTAGCACTTCAGGCATGGCGTTCCAAATACAGTTCTGCTTGTTTGCGCGAAAGCTTGCCTCCGTAGTGCAAGCATACCTTGATAGCGTTTCTGCTACAACATATTATAACCATAAAGATGAGTTTAAACCCTTCTTCCTAGGATGAAAGCAGATGGTTCTGCACCTGCGGTGGCGCACATGCGGTGGTCTTGTGACGTACATGCCATGCGCGCCGAAATTACGCCTTGGGCGCTAGATCATGCGTCGGTCTTAATAACCTTTAGCCTGATGTTGCATGGGGTCGACATGGATGAAGTAGGTTGGTTGGGATGGTTACTGGGTGACCAGCGCAGAGCGCAGCTGTTTTCAATAGTAGTGTAAATACCGCTACAGGCCCTACAATGGCCTTCAGGGAGGCATCGCACACTGCGGGTGGCCCTGTTACAATGCCGCGTTGCGGGGACGGGCGAATTGCGCACGTTACACCGGCACTGGCCCTTCTACGCCCAGGAATGTTTATTGGATGGCAAAACCAAAGTCCTAAACCGAAGTACAGTAAAGTATCTTTCAAATTTTGCTGTTTACGTCTCTTATAACAATCAGGATAACGGTGCATATGCTCGGGTCATCGGCCATGGGCTCCATTCATACAGCGATCAGAAATAAACGTTGCTACAAATATAACTAAAACGGAGACTTAGGGCCCGAACTAGCCTAGTTAGGGATCCAGAGGGCCTGCGAGGGCCTAGCCGGCGGGCCTAACGGAAATGGCATAAAGGCGTGTTCCAAATTGTGATGCGGTCATTGCACAACATACAGCTTAGGCTGAGGCTGCCTACTTACACAATTACGCACAAACCAGTGCCTTGCCGAGTCAACATCAGCCGATGAAGCCGGGGCAGTAATGCCTTCTTGTGCTTATGCCATTAAGCGCTTTCTCCTATGCAGGGACGACCAGAATTTTACCAGATATGCAGACTCGCTCGACTTGCCCGAGCGCAGGCTTCAGCCCGCAACGGCCACGGCGGGATGCCAGGAGGTGACATGGCCCAGCGCGGTGCTGCCGTGTCTTGGACAAGGTGCATCGAAGGTAATTTCTTCAGGTCGGATGTCTGGCTTCAAGGTGCGCGTAGCACGTATGAAGTATGAGCAGCTCGTCAAGCGTCTCTTCACCTACCTGACTTACCTGGGTGCATGATGTGGCTTACATTACTGATATCCAGGGTGTGAACGTATTGAACCGAAATGCGTTTTCTGAAGTGGAAAGCTGGTGCCAAGACTGCGACGCGCTTGTCAAGCATTTTGGCAGTTCGACAGCAAGGTAAGTTAGATTAATACAAAGTTCAGTACGTATAAATGGTTACTCTTGGGAGCGTGGGCCCGGCTTGGCTGGAATGTATTAGGGCCCACCTTTCCTCGCTAGTGTAGGCGTTGCCTGCAAGTATAAACTAAAGTCCTCCTATGTGCAATGGTCTTCCCTGCAACCACCTGACGTGCAAGTGCTTGGGAGACTGGGACTCGCTCGGCCTTCTTGCCAACATAGGCACGAACGGGCAGCGGCCGAAAGCCGTTGCAGGGTCTTGCAGCCCTGACTACCGCCATCCTAACAATCCAGATCCGTCGCTCACTACCCGAGTATAGCAATCCTCATGAAAACTCTAATACGTCGCTTATGTTTTGTCGTCAGATGTCGTCCACACTTTCCTCGGCCCTGACTGCAGCCTCTGCGTGCTATCCGAGGACGGGCAATCATCCGTGGTGGTAGCCGCGGGGGGCCCAAACGGCCTAACCAAGTACCCAGTTGGCACGGTGTATCCTACTGCTGCTGCCGCCGCTTGCTCAGCGCGCCGTACTACCATTGAGTCCGGTTCCCTGTGCCTTCTTCTTTGTCAAAAGGTAAGGATCGCTATGGAATTTCCAGTGCTGTATGTTAAGAAACTGGTAGTGTGTGTGTGTGTGTGTCCAGTTACGGGGACGACCCGTTCCGGTAGCTTGGCACTCTGTCGGGCATGCATTTCCCAATTGGGAATCGGTGACGCCGTAAGTCCTACCGCCATACAACCCACCGTCAAACAGATTCCATACCGGTATGACGCACAACCCGTGATGCACATGCGTTTGTCCGGATGCATGCACCCTCGCAAGTCCCTGACGCTGTTTACCCCCTCTCGGCATGCAGACCGTCATCAGTAGCAGCTGTCTTGCAGCGGAGCTCCGACTTGCGAAGCCACAGCAGCGGGAGCAGCAGCAGCAGCAGGAGGAGGATGGAGGACTGGCTGCTGGCGGTGCCTCATGTGCATTGTACGGCTCGCACTTTAGGCGCGCCCCTAACGATTCCCGCTTCCTGGTGACTCCACTATGGTTTGCGGGCTCGGTGATTGGGGCCCTGGTGATTGATTGGCATGCAGCAGAGCCTTCGGAAGCTCCTGCTGCTGGCGGCGGCGGCAGTCCGGGGGGCTGTGGAGGACGCGGCCAAGCGGCCTGCTGTCAGCTACGCATGACGCCGTTGGATGCAGCAGCAGAGGCAGTTGACGAGGGCCGTTGCGGGGACTGCGTGAAGAGGAGTAAGCCGGCGGCTGGCCCTGCTGTAGGACCCGGAATTGACGGCACCAGGGGTTTTGGGTCTGCAGCAGCAGCGATGGAGGAGGCTCGGGCGCAGGCGGAGGCTACGGCGGTGGGGCATTTGGTTTCCGCTCGCCTTTTTCCTGACGAGCTGCACGTGCAGATGCTTCGCCAGGTAAGCGGGTTCTGGTCGTATGAGTGCTTGTGGGTGTGTTGGGGGCTAGCAAGGGTTCTTTCCGCTTCCCTCGTCTACCGGTAAACGTGCTGGCATTGCACAGTAGAAATGGAAGTCGGGACGTTGCGTGTGCATGCTTGCATCCGGAGAGGGGTAACGATGTTATTTGCACATGGTGGCATTTCCGAAGTGGACTCTTCAACTATGCTGGTGGTTTACTGCCTACCAATATCCCATGCAAGGCCCTCTTTCGGCTATAGCCTAGAACATCTCAATACGGTACATGCACGGCCGTGGCTTCCCCTCCCAGGTCTGTGGTCTTGCAACGTCTCTGGGGTCGCACAGTGATGCTGGCGACGCGCTTTGTAGCATCAGCAGCTGTGCCGAGGTTCTGCTAGCCCAGCGACACCAGCTCCCATGCAACCAGCTATTCTGTTTGGCAGCGGTGCTGCCAAAAGCGCTGGGAGCATGTGCAGCTGCGGCGGGTGCAGCTGGCAGCGCAGGTACAGGGAGCGCAGGTGCTTACGCCCGAACCGCAGTGACTGCGGATGAAGCGCTGCCTGTGGGTCTCCCGCCAGCAGCAGACCCCACGGGCAACGATGGTCTGCATGGAGTGTTTTGCAGCGATACGCGCACACATGCAGCCGTGGCCATTGTAGCCACACCAAAGGCTCCTACAGTGGCACGGGCGGCCTGTGCCGTCAACACAAGAAGCATGTTTAGTAATGAGGACTGTCGGCAACATTACAACGCGTTGCAACCCTTGGCCTTAAACCTGACCTTGATCGGCCGCGCCGCCGCCGCTGCTGGGATCTCCTCTGCTGGTGAGGCGCACATGACGACCCATGGGTCATTACCTGCAGTATTGAGCTCTACTGCTCGTACAGGGCCCGGAATCAGCATCGTCACCGACCTGAAAGAAGACATCCTGGATGAGAACAGGCATGCTCTGGACGTGATCCTAGCACAGCAGGCTGCAGGTCGGCGCTTACACTCCGCCGCTGCAGTCTGTGCGGGTAATGACCCCCCTGCTGCTAGACCTTCAATCGAAAATGAGGATGCTAGTGGTTTGGCGGGTGCGGAGAAGGAGAAATGGAGGGCCGGGCCGAAGTACGGCTCCCAACAAGCGAGGTGGAAGGCGGCTGAGGGCGGGGGTGGCGGTCCTCGCCTGGCCTTGCTGGTCTGCAGTAGCATGCCGCTCCCCGAGTCTTTCCTGCGGATGCTGGCTCGAGATGCTGCCACCATTGTGCAGGTAGTTGTTGCTGGTTATTAGTTAGCAATTACAGACTCCACCCCCACCTCACTCCTGAATACTCAGTTATGACCTGCTCTCTTCCTGCTCCGCAGCTGTGTGACGCGCCTCTTAGGACCTTGCTGACCCATGGGCCAGCAACGGGCTCCTGGGCACAGCTCTTGGCACACGGTGGCTCCCAGCATCAAGCCGGCCTCCCGGCACTGCCGATGGCAGCAGCACCTCAGAAATCTGCGGTTCGTGAGTCGCGTGGCGTTCTCGACCTGCTAACAGACTCGCGCGGTGAGCGAAATGACAGGAACGGCAGGTTGACCTGCCGGGAATGCAGTTGTATGTGCATGCTGCACACAGAGCTGCATGCAACGCCACTGTTAGGTGTCGACAGTCCTTTACTAAACCGCATGAACAGAGGTCTCCCAGCTATGGCCCTTTTAAGCTCAGATTCCGTTATTGTAACAGCCTTGCCTGGCCTTGCTGCCTATTTGTAATATGCCTGCCTGACATGCAAACCTTGCAGGCAACATCCCAACAAAAGCTCTGTACGACACGGACAGCAGTTCCCGCAGCGAGCCACGCACAGGCTGGGATGAGTTCGACGTCACAGACCGCGCAGCCGGAGACAGCATGATGGACACTTTCCCAGCAGCCATGTTCTACAACACAGCGTCGGCGGCCAGCACAGGCAATCACGCCGCTGCTACTGCCCTGGCTGCTGCTCTTTTCCCGTCGCCACTGCAGGCGCTCACTGAGACCTTCAGCAGCAGCATCTTCAACCATGTTGTCAATGACCGACTGGACAGGTGCGTGTCTGTGTATGTGCGCCTAAACGCACGTACAGCACCCGCACATACAGCAGAAGTGTTGCCGCAATCACAGTATTAGTAATAACCCATGCTGACATCGTGTTGTTGCTTTGCGAGTTACCTATCTTGCCATTCCCCTACACATTACCCAGGCGCGCGGCAAATTGCAACAGCACCATACCCCATTCCCTGTGTCCGTAAACCAAGTGTCTCAGAAGATTAACCTTCCCAGCTGTATTTGAAACATTTCTCCCCGTCATCCTCTGCCTTTATTGCTCAGCAGTTGCGGCGGTGGCGGCCCAGACGCTTACGACGAACTGTCGGCTCTGCGGTTGCTTGAGTGCGTGGGCCGAGGCGGCCAGGGTGTGGTGTATCGCGGATGGTTACACCAGCTGGAGGTCGCTGTGAAGGTGCGTTATCGGCTACAGTTAATAGTTACAGTCTCTACGCGCGTGTACAGTGTGTCAGGTATGATGTCGGAGGAAGGGCGAGGATTGGGGCTGGATTCGAAGCTAGGGACTGGAGTGGTTCGCGAAGATGGATGTGCGAGTTGCGTTTGGGTTTGGATACGCGTTTGAGGAATGAATTAGGCAGGCTTGTTCGTACGAGGGTGGCTCCTTCCGGCATGCCTGCTGCTCTGTAAGCGGTTGCAGGGCGGTAGGGATAAGGGACAAGGCCCAACCTTAGGCCTCACATGACCTTCCGTGCTTTGCATTTGCTTTAAACAACTCCCGTATGTACGACACTTGCCGTTGCAGGTGTGCAAGTACCAGGACCCCTACGTCGCCGCTTCTCCATTACTTTGGAGTCAGCCTGGGGCCGCCGCCAGTGCCGCTGGCAGGCTCATCTCCACTGCTGCCGCCGCCAGGGCGCATGCTGACGCGCCCCCCTGCTCCATTGCCTCTCGTGCGGCTGCTGCCTCCCATGCCGCCGCCGGCGCTAAGATGATCGGAGCCGGCGGGGGAGACGAGGAGTGCATGCGGCGCGGCAAGCGCGACATGCTTCGCACCGCGGCGGAGCTGGCAGTCGCATGCAGCCTCCCAGGCCACCCCAACCTTGTGCAGGTGATGCTTCACTTGTAACCTTCCTGGTGGATGGCCCTTTGCAAACGTAGAGTATACGGCGGTATATTCATGCAGCCCTGCGGCTCGATGCGTGGCCGTGCTTCTGAGGTTGCATGGCTGTCCTCTGGTTGCTTGCATATCAGGCTCCCAATCCCGTCGCGTCTTACGCAATGCTCCTTCGCTGGCTGCTTTGCCTCCCTCGTGCTTCCTTGCTTGCAGCTTTATACCTACTTCACAGAAGTGCAGCTGGTCCTACCTGGCACTGCTGCCAGCACAAGCGCTGGAGTGAGGGGCGCTAGCGGCAGCACGGACCGGCCGTACCTGCTGCGCAGCTGGCAGGCACTGGCGCTTGAGCAACAGTACTGCCATCAACAACAACAGCAGCAGCAGCAACCACGACAGCCGAAGCACGACCAGCAGCAGCAGCAGCGGGAGTTGGTGCTGGTGATGGAATACTGCGACGCGCGGGACTTGCGAGTCGCTGCGGAGACAGGCCAGCTGCTGCTGTGGCCACACAGTCATGCGGGTCGTAGAGTTCTTAATCTGCAGGTACGGCGGTACGACAACGTACGGCAACGGCGTTTGCTAACAGTACGGCAGTTTTCTTTATTTCCGTACCCCACATATCACATCGCTGGTCTTAAGGGCTTCCACCTAGGTCGCCTTCAGTAGCACGGTACCCTCTTTCTGCTGACTACGGAAAATCTCTACATGCGTGCGAACTGCCCATTACACAATTCAAACCTCCCTCCCGGCTAATGTTAATATGCATGACGTCTGTGCCTTCTTTCTTGACGCCACACAACCACCAGGCCATCTACATGACGCTCATGGAAGTGGCTCTTGCGCTGCGTCACCTGCACCGACATGGCCTGGTGCACTGCGACGTGAAGCCAGGCAAGCCAGGGACCTCCCATCCCAGCCCTTGCTAGGCCTTCCTAGTAACCCCAGCAACACAGCTGCTGTTGTTGGCATCCCTTCCCTCTGTCGGAAGAAGGTCCGCAGCACCACCAGCAGCATTAGCAGAAGTGGCCAAACTGCTAGCCGTCCATACAGTGTCCATTGCCCCAGCAGTCCCCAACATCCCGACCACCTCTCACGCGCCGTCCTTTTAACCGCTGCTGCCGCTGCTGTTGTTGCTGTTGCCTCGTCAGGCAACGTGCTGCTCCGTAGCAACTCCCGCGACCCGCGCGGTTGGACCTGCAAGCTGAGTGACTTTGGCTGCGTGCGGCTGTTGAACGAGTCGGACGGCCAGGGGCGGCCTGGGTTCCGAATGTCAGCGCTGGTGGGCTCCTACACGCACATGGCTCCGGTAAGTGGGTAGATAGCACGCATGGGCTAGGGTCATTGGCGCAAGAGGTTACTCTTTTCGCGGAAAAGGGTTGGGCGTCTAGGTAGGTTGCAGATGGCAGCAGGTAAATTGCCGTAGCAGCTGGAAAGGGGAGAGGGCCTGCTGCAAACATGCAAAGGCGCACAGGGCTTGAGGAAGGGCACGCGTGGGAAATAAAGGGGATCTGCTCGCGGAGGTTTTGCCTACTGCTCACTTTCCTTAATGCCTTACACTGCATGGCCCTAAACTCCTAAATGCAGGAGATGTTCACGCGAGGCCAGCTTCTGGACTCCAGCGTGGATGTATACGCGGTGGGCATCATCATGTGGGAGCTAGCGTCCTTGGCGCCGCTGTTCCCGGGCAGCGCCCCGGAGGCGGTCGTTGCGCTGGTCCGCGGAGGGGTGCGGCCGCAGTTCGGAGACAACGTGCCGCCCGAGTACATGTAAGAGGAGGGCGTGGGTTCACACAGCTGGAGGGCGTGGGTGCGCGTAGGGCAGGGAGTGCGGGTGTGGCGAAGTGGTGATGAAGGAGCGGATGAGGCACCGTCTAAAGCTGCACCGGCGGCGCTGCGCTCCGATTGCTCTTTGCGAGCGGGAGTTAACGCGGTTGTGGCTAGGGCTTTCGCGAGCGGTTTGCCTTCTCGTTGCCCCCTTGAACGTTTACCCCATTCCCATGATCCAAACCTTTTCTGCTCATCCCATGCTCGTCCCTCGCGTGCCCTCACAGCTCCCTGGCGGCCATGTGCTGGGCTGCCGACCCACGGGTCAGACCTTCAGCAGCCGAGCTCGTTCAACTGCTACAGCAGCTCTTGGATAAGCTTGCTCCGACTGCACCCGCTGCGGCTGCGGCGTTCCAGCAGAACTCTCCGTCACCTCCTCACCTGCATACGCCCGCTCGTGTGCCGCTGCCCGTGCCCTTCATTACTGTTCAGCAGCAGAAGCAGCAACAACACTACCTCCAACAGCAGCATATCCAGCATCAGCATCAGCGGCAGCATCCGCAAAGAGCGCCGTTACAGCAGTCTCGGTCGGCACTCGATGGAGGCAGCCGGCGCCCTGCTCTCGGCGGGCAAATGGACATCGCAAGCCGCGGCAGTGCACATGCCCCATCACACGACAACAGGCGCATGATGCCAAGGTTGCCAACCTCTCGTTCGCACCCCTCAGTACTACCCGCAGCGGCGCCGGAAGCGGCTGCAGCGACACCGGCTGCATCAGGAGCAGCTGCAGCCACAGCAGGCGCAGGTTCCGTCATTATTGCTCCAACAGCCGCGTTGTCTTTGCCAACATCCCCGACCACCCCAAGAGCTGGGAGGTCACTGGAGGAGTCACCGGCAAGCTCCAGCACCACTGCATGCGGCAGCTGCCGAGCTGATGCAGCCTTCACGCCTTGCGCCTCCTCAGCCTTCAGCAGCAGCCGCAACCCGCTATCTAAAGTCCCAAGTGGCACATCTTCCATGAACACAGGCATCGTAGGGGCGGGCTCCTTGCCGTCCTCAACCTTCCTGCCGTCCGTCCTTGGACGCAGCCCGCAGGGGCCCCGGTCAGTGATGGCAATGCCATCGGGGACGACCGAGGAACGTGCGACAGCAGCAGCCATGGGTGGTGCAGCGAGCCCTGCTGACAACTGCTGCCAGCAGTCGACAGCAGCAGTCGGAGCATGTGCAGAGGCGGATGGGGACGTGCCGCTATGTGCCTTGGAAACATCATACCGTGGAAGCGCATACAGGCAGTTGGCGACATTGCTGCCGCTACAGCTGCAGCAGCCGGGCCTGCAAGCACCAGGCCAGCAAAAACGCCAGCAGCAGCCACTGCCACAGCCCCGGCAACGCTCCAGCATCGACATCCCTCTTGAGCGCTGTCGCGAGGAAACTCTGCCCGCTGCAGCAGAGCCTCTGCCGGCGCCTGTTGCAGTCATCTCAGAGGTTCTGGCATCCCTTAACCTGGTGCGCATTTCGCTAGGTGCTAGTGCTGCTGGGTCCTCGCCTTAATCTGGACATGTCTCGACGGCGTCAGAAACTTGCTTGCCCTTACTGTCGCACCTGGGGACGCCATTGTACGGCCTCTCCTGGGGAACCGAGATATGCTTGTTGGGCTGCGGCACTTTGCAAGGAAGAGTCACAAGACGTGTGTAGCCTGAGTCATGGTAGAAAGCTGCCTGTTAAGCTTCCGAACGTGTGGGAGTTCCGAACATTTAAGAGTTGGGAGAGTTGCTGCTCAATGAACGCCTCTCGTACGCCTAGCTGGAGGCTGCATCATGCAGGGCACATGCCCTCATTGGCAGTGCGCGGAGTGGGGCTCGCTGCTCGTTACCTAGACCAGTAAGCTAGTAAGAGGCCAGGCTTGGTTTGGTATTGCCTCGCAGCAATGCAGCAATGCTTCAGCAGTTGGGCTGAAATTGTCGGTTGTTTGGTTGGCCTTTACCTGAGACGGACGCTTTTTCCAAGCTAGAGTGTGCTTCACGCACCTGTGCGTGGTAAACCCTTGACCTAGTAGAGTGACCCGCATCCCTGCATGCATGGGTTCATGTCTCCGCCCTTTTAGTTTATTGCTAGGCATGTTCCCCTGTCTTTATTTCCCCCATGCGGCTGGCATTCTGGCCGTCGTTAATTGAGGCAATGGTCAATGAGGCATGCGTACCCCTTGTTTACCCTGCCAGCCACGTAGCATGTGTGGCGCAATGCAGGGTTTCATGTATCTGTGAATCGTCACATTTTCCTAAGGGTGACGACAAAGAATTGAGTAGCTTAAGCCGTCGCCATTTTCGAATTAAGCTTTCGTACTAAGCACGTCGGGCTGCCAGCTGTCCTTAGCCCCGGGCGCTAGCGTTTGGGGGCCTTGCAAGCGCCGTACAACCTGCCACAACCTACTCCTGTGCGTGTGTTGATCAGTACTTATGGGTGCAGGCCACAAGGAGTGTATCGTTCGTCGTGGGGCATCTTTCCGTTTATTGAGGCGTATGGGTATGCCACTCTTAGTTATATGTGCGTTTGCTTTCGTAAATGTGCGTCTAGGCTAGGTGCTGTAGGTTCATTGCTTGCAGACCAGACTATATTGGTGCGGTACCCAAGCCTCGTTACTGTGGCCATGTTGCCTCCTAGCACATGCATGGCAATCGCCGTTACTGGTTATGCTTGCCTGGTTTGGAGTTTCAAAAGGGTTCATCATGTCATCATGGATGCAAGTTGTGGCTGACGTGTAGGAGGTTCCGCTGGCTGCCGGTGCCTGATATTGCTCCAAGTTTTACGCCGCTCCCGAATTTCGGGGGGCAAAGGTATCACATGGTGGGTCCGTACTGCACTGACTGCAACACTGACTGCACGGACCCATGGGTCACAGCATGTCAATCTGGCTGGAGCATCATCCTGAGGACATCTTGTCGATTTCTCGTCGTTACGGCCTTTCCCATTACGTACGTGTCGTACGTTACGTACGGTTGCAGAAGCTTTTTAGGGCCGAACAGGCAATGTGTGTCCTAACTTCATAGGCTGCCAGGGTTTGGTGTGTTGCCCTTAATCGCCAAGTCTTAGTGCGCGAAATTTCCCATGCAATGCGCGTAAGTAACTTGGCGCCTTCAGTGGGCATTTTCTGATGAAGACATTATTTGGATTTGCGACCTGTCTGCGGGCCCCGTCTTATACGTAGTGAGGAGAGTGCACGTGACCGCTTTGGGCGGTTAGTGCGGCTGCGAAGTGAAACCAAGTTCTCCAGAGTAGCTTTTTCTTTTGCAGCGGAAGAAGGTGCGGCAGCGTCTGTGTTCATCTAAACTATGCTTAAAAGTTTTAAGATGCCTTGTCTTAATGAGTGGGGATGGAGATGCATGTGGAAGATATGGATAGAAGTGGATACGACCTCGTCATAGACTGAGCGCCCGGTATGTCGAGCACTTTGCTTACGAACCCATAATTGCCAGGGCGTTATGTTCGGCACCTAAGATGCAGCGCTCCGGGCTTTTGTTCGTTTGCGCGACCCCAGACGTTTAGGGCTGCATGGCCCTTGCAGCTCTGCTGCTGATTGTTGTTAGTTACACGTTTGTGCTTGACACCCTACAATGAGTTTATTGCAGCTGATTATTTGGGCGAATCGTTTTGCAGAAGCATGGCTTGCCACTTCAAAGTGTGACGCTTGTTGAGCTAGCGCTGGCGTACTCGGAAGGGATGCTCAAGAACTGCTTTGAGTAGGCATGCGATTGTAGCCTCGAAGCAACGTGATTTTCACGGCTTGCATCATGCGTGTGTGCAAGACGGCGCCTCTTGATCACACATGAGCGTATGCAGCTAGCGCAATACCGCCATTATTGGCAGTGCGTGGGATATGTTTCAGTTGAAATGCCGTGCGAATTGCCAGGTAGCAAGGAATGCGTTATAGTTTGCGAACCATGGGTCTCAAGTGTGAACTGCATCATTTCTGAGAGGGGAAGCACGTGTCATATCACATTCTCTGCAATGAGTGGTTTGCGGTGTGCTCCTGCCGTTGCTGGGGCCCAGCAGCGAAGTGAGAAATGCCGGCTTTCTCTGTTAATCCTTATTATTACCAATTGTCCATCTTTCAAGGCGCCTTGAAGGTGTAGATACCCCTTGTGAGGAAAAGCGAAGCGGCTGTGCGGCATAGTGAAGTCTTCGTGTCCTCTTACCAATGTCCGTAAGGACAAGAGACTTGTCTATTATTACTGCGCGCGGGCCCGTATGTTTGTTTTCCAGGGCTTCAAGCAGTTGTATTATTAGAGCCGTTGGCTGTCTTTAAGTCGGTGCTGTGTAAGTCACGCTGTGTACGGCCGTACAACATATGCGGTTTGCCGTACGTACGACATACCCTACCATCCCTCCTGCCTGGTAGAACAAGTCATATTGTGCTTTGGTCTCCGGGACACAACGCTCCATCGCTACGTTCCTGTGGCGTGAGGTTTTAAATCAGAAGAAGGCTTGCGTTGAAGATAAATACCGGTAGCGATTCAAATTCTAAGGGCGGTTTGCCGCACAAGTGTTATGCGTCCTTGCTGCCTTATAGCTTCTATTTAGCTTCTATTAGCGTGTACTTCAATTCAGACTTGTTACTGTTGCCGATATGGCAGAATTTGTAATGGCGAACGCAGGCAACGTGATGCTCAACCATGCGCCCTGCAAACAGATAAGCAAACGGCATCCAACGCATTGCAACAGCCACGTACGAATGGTCAATCCACTGTTGGGCAGTTGTAGCATCCTGCACGCAATAATCCCTCAACTGGCCAACCAACAGACCTCCAACCAACCACGGTGCCAACAACAGCAACGCAAAGCCCAGCAGCTTCGCTATTTGAGCCGTCATGCTGGAACCACAACAAAGGGTAGTGTCGACACGACCAGGACCACGACCAAGGCACTCACGTTGCTTGTCATCCCAATTTTCCCAAACAACCTACCGATACGATATTTGCCGCCACATCCGACGTCCCAAACGTCGGATCAGCCCATCTTTCACCACCCTTTCACTGCCCGCCCCGGTCTGCCCCTCCGCCTTCATCTTCATCGCCCCCGCCCAATCCGCCTCCCAGGGCGTCGTTCTTAGCGGACCTCGGCTCTACGGCTGTGGCGGCGTCAGAAAGGGCAGTAGCAACCCGTCCGGAAGCGCTGCTACCTGCTGCAACTGGACTACGCCCACCCTCCTCCGCCAGCGGCGCCGCCGCAGCAGGCGACGGGGCTCCCAACGGAATGGGTACGGCGTTCCTATTGCAGCCGACCCCAGTCGCCATGCCTACCAGTGCAACCGGCGCAAGCACTGCAGCTCCCGCAGCCGCTACGGGCACCGCCACCGCCGTACCCACCACACCCGCCGCCGCCATTACCGCCGCCGGCGCCGCCGCCGCCGCCACCTTCCCTCCCAGACGTACGGCAAGCACCGCATTAGCCATCGGGCCCATGTAACCCGCCACCGCCGCAGTCATCGCCGGGCCCATCCCCGCCACAAGCGATGCCACCGCAACCGGACCCAGCGCAGTCACCAGATCTGCCGTAAATGCCGTACCCAGAGCCGCCGCCACCTCCGCCGTCAGCCTCGCGCCCATAAGAGTCGCCACCTCCGCCACTCGCTCAATCCCAATCGCACCCAACAGATCCGCCGTCAAGCCCACGCCCATCTCCTTTACTAGACCTGCCGTACGCTCCACGCCGAGATTCTCCGCCACGCCCGCCGCCACGTCACTGCCGAAACGTCGTACCAGCTCGCCAGTGACGGCGGTGCCCATGGCGGCGACCAGCGCCGCCGTGTCTGCGCCGCCGAGCTCCGAAACCAGCGCCGCCACGTGTACGGTACCCATGTTTGTCACCAGTGCTGACGTCAGCTGGGGGCCCATGGCGCGAACCAAGTCCGCCGTGGCCGCAGGTGTCATGGCCTGCGATGTCAGGAAAGCATTCTTTATCGTGATGTTAGCGACCCGTGGGTCAATGACCCCGCTTACATGCGTTGATTCAACGGTTTGCATGGAAAACCAACAACCGGAGCGAGCGGTTGCAAGCTTCCCTCTCCCTCTCTCTTATCTTCCCCTTCGTATCTCTTCAGGCAATCTGCTACTGGTACCGTCCCTCTGCTGTGGTTGACTGCACGCTGGCATGCAGGCCCGCACCTGCACCAGTGGAGCTACCAGCTGCGGTCCCATGCCAACCACCAGCTGTGATGTGGCCTCCGCACCCATCGCCGCCACCAGACTGGCTGTGGGAGCAGTGCCCAAGGCGGCCACGATGCCGGACTGCAATGCGACATACACCACACGTTCAGGACACCGGGAACGGACATCTAGGAAGATGTATGTCACCATAAACCAAGCACAGGCTGGATAGTGCAGTCACGCTAAGCGCAGGTAGGACAGTCGACAAAGACCCATGGGTCGCAGGCGCCTAGAGGCCAAGCGATGGAGCCAGCAGGGAAGCAGGGAACCGGCCTCTTACCGTAAATTGAGGCCCAAAGGCACGAACGAGCTCCCCAGTAAAATGCGGTCCCAGGCAAGGGCCGCCGCCGCCCGCATCGCTCCTCGCCGTCACTTCTCCGTGACCTTCTTCGGTGGTGGTCGCCGGTGGAGGGTCGTCATGCCGCAGGTCAGCCTTGGCAGTGGCTGTGGGAGCGACGCCGGAGGTGGCGGCGTCGGCGGTAGAGACGGCAGCAGCGGGGCTATTGGCCGTGATGGAGCTGGCGGGTGGTTGGAGCGGGCGGTTGGAGGAGCTTGGGGCGGCCTCCGTGGGCAGGGCTGGCGGCGGTGATGTAGGCGGCTCCGTCGCTGACGCCGCCGCCGCCGGTGCCGGTGTTAGTGCCGGTGCCGGTGCTGGTGCCGGTGCATCCGCCGCCGCTGGTGCCGAGCGCCCAAACACCAGGCAAGCCGTGAGCTGGGGGCCCATGGCTGATACGATGTCTGCATGGAGTGGGTTAACAGGGGAGGTGAGTACACGGTAGCAGCAAACCCGGTCCAAACACAGGAAGGGACATACAGCCACCCACCCACCGTCTTGCCCACGCAGCTAATAATGCAAGTGTAAGAGCTAAAAGCTGCACATGCCAAACACGCATGCACTCGTGTAAAATCGCCCAGCAGCAGGCCCACTCAATCCCGCTCCTACCCCTGGGGTCGCCAACTCTTCAGTAATTCAGCAACTTTCACCCCTTCTCTCCATCGACCCAACTACACACTACCACCCACTCACCCGCTGTCAGCTCCGCTCCGAAAGCCGCCACCAGCGCCGCCACCCCCTCCCGCCCCATGCCCCGCACCACCTCCGACGTCAGCGCCGGCCCCATGCAGCCCACCAGCCGCCCCACCAGCGGGGCGCCCATGTAGCGCACCAGTACGGCAGTGTCCCCGGATCCAAGCTCCGAAACCAGCTGGCAGATCAGGAGAGATCCCATCTGTTGTAATAACTCTGCGGTGGCCTGTGTTGTTGCGGATGGCAGTTGCGCATGGCGGTTTCATGGAGGTTGTTGCGGGTCGCCAGCGGGAGAGCTAGCACCTCACAATTGGCGGGCTATGGCTAAGAGTTACCGGTAAGATGTCCTCGACATCCTTGTTGTTGTGATTTACAGCCATGTCCAACTGTCCAACTGTCGGGGTATGGTGGTCATGCGTTCCGTACAGTCCTATACCGGCCAGCTGGGAACCAGCATGCAACAACCTACCCACTATCCGCAGCCCAACCCATTATCCGCAGCCCAACCCACTATCCGCAACCCTACCCACTATCCGCAACCCTACCCAACCCCCTCCCTCCTTACCTCTGCCCCCATGTCGCGCACAATCCCCGCCGCCAGCTCCGGTCCCAGCGCCCGCACCAGCCGCGCCGTGCCCCCGGCGCCCAGGCCCGCCGCCACCGCCTCCGCCGCGGGGCGCCCGGGCAGCGGCAGCAGTTGCCGTACCAGCGCCGCCGTGAAGTTGGCTCCGAAGGCGGTTACCAGCTCGGAGATGAGGGGTGAACCCAGCTGGGAGGTGAGGCCGGCGACGGCGGCGGGGCCTGAGGCGCGGGGGGGTATGAGAACGGAATGTGGGAAAGAGAGATGACATGAGATGTCTTATGTAGGTAAGACACGCGTCCAGAGCAGAGTACATTCCCGGTTAGAGAGTGGGCTGCCAAGACCCCGTCAGTGAGGGTACGGCCCGTATACGGGTACGGAAGCAGCCAACCATGAGATCATTATAAGCAATAACGCTCGTAGCAACAACCGTAAGCAAAAGACGAAAGTAAGGCAGTGCACCCCTTAGCAGCCGGCACCCCACCATGCAGTACAGTTGTACAGCGGCTATTAGCACAACAACAAAAGCTCCTAGCTACCCCCGTGTACGTCATGCTGGTACGGCAGCACGTACTGCTGCCGTACAAGAGACACGCCGCACCCACCCAGCGCAGACTCACCCAGAAACCCACCACCCAGAGACTCACCCAGATCCTGCACGATCTCAGCCGTCAGCTCCGGTCCGATCTCCGCAAGCGTCGCGGCAGTGGTTTCGGAGCCCATTCGCTCCACCAGATCCGCGGTGCCCTCGGCGCCCAGCTCGGAAGCCATGTCGGCGGCGGTTCCGGGGCCCAGCCGCGTGACGATGTGCGCGGTGCGGCGGGGGCCCAGCCGCCCCACCGTCTGCAGCGGGAGTCATTCGGTGGGGGATAAGAGGGGCGCAGGTGAGAGACATGACAGGCAGCAAAGAAGGGGTTCAGAAAAGGAGCTGCTGGACAGAGGGGACTGAAGAGTGAAACCAAGCCTCTGAATACCACTTTGTAAAAGCCGTGTGTTGCCCAAACCAACGCCTGAGCCAGCAACAGGCAGCCCCCATTGAGAAATACCTGAGCCGTGCTCTCCAGCCCCAGCACGCGGTGCAACACAACTGCAAGCGCCTTTGAACCCATCGCCGCCGCCGCACGCGCCGTCAGCGCAGGCCCCATCGCGCGCGCAGCCGCCGCCGCCAACCGCGCCCGACTTGACTTGTGCCCAGCAGCCGACGGCGGCGCGGGAACGACCTCCTCAGCAGCAGCGCCGTCGGTGTTAAGGACGTTTTCCGGAGCTTGGGCGTCGACGTCGGCGCCAACGTCGACTTCGATGGCACCTCTAGTCTTCGGCCGTCGGCGCGGCACGGCGGCGGCGCCGTCGGAGGTGCTGCCATCAGCGCTGCGGGACCCCCGGCGCGGGAGAGGCTGCTTCCGTACGACCGCTGCGACGCCGCTGCTGCTGTGCGGGCGGTTATTGGCGCCAGTGAAAGGGGCGAGGCAGGAGGCTGCTGCCGGCACCCAGGCGAATACGGGGTTGCCGCTGCCGTCACCGCCGTCGCCATTGCCGTTGACATGTCGATCATGTCCCCCATCAGGCTGGTAACTTGGAAAGCTAAAGCCCCGCCCCCCTGCGTCGCCACCAACGGCACCACCGCCACCACCGCCGCCTTCCAGGCTGCTTCCGCCGCCGCCAAACGCCGTCCCAATCGTACAATCCTGCAACCTTCCCGATCCCTCCGGCGACCCCACCGCAGAGCCGCGGGGACTGTTGGAAAAGTCGGAAGACGAACCGTCGCCGCCAGTGCCGCTGTCCGTCGCGATGTCGTTCAGCAGCGCGCGCTGCAGCTGCGCCTGCACCTGCGAAGGCGACGGCGG